TCAGGGGGGTGCATGAATGACGAAAGCCGTGCGAGAAGAGCACGTGGAATGGCAGATAAGGATGAGTGAGATTGCGAGGATTGTGTGCAGGAGAGAGTGTATGTGTACCACGTGCTGTAGAGGGCTGAAGAGGTCAGAAAAAGAGCTGGTCAAAAAGCTAGAGGACTCACTTGGGTGTCATCGAAAAAACCTGGTGGTATTCGACGGGCCTGAATAGGTGGACGTCTGGTGGCATCAGTCTAGGATTCGATCTTAAGATGATTGGACAGGGTAAAGATATACGTCACGTACGTCCTTTAACGACTTTTGAGTTGGGACCTGCAAGTGAGAGATTAGCGTGGCTCGAAAAGCACGATGTACATATCTGAACTCACATGAGGAATGGATAGTAGGTCCTCAAGGCCAGCGTCTTTGAGGATGGCGTGAATATCCCATACATATGCATTTTTGTCCTGGCAACCAGTGACCAGCACTTTTCCATCAGCGGAAAGGGCTGCGCAGTCTACTCCATCTTCGTGTTGGAGGGTGGACCGACTTGGAGGTTGGTATCGAGATTCCATAGACGCACTGTTTTATCCCATGATGCACTCACAAGGAGGCGGTCGTTCTGAAACAAGGTAATGGCTGTGACCCAGCGTGACCCTCCAAATTGGCGATCTGCTCCCAAGTGGCTGTGTCATATATCCTAATTTGGTCGTGTGATGAACCGGAGATAAGCTTCCTTCCGTCTGACGTCCAGGCCAAGCTGGTAACTGTTAAATCATGCCCAGTGAAAACCGGCACCTGTGGTTCCCACGTACCTGATCTAATAAGATATGACAGCTGCGTGTGCTGGCGGGTCTAAAACGACGTGTTTCTAATTATCCCCAGCCAAATGAATAAAGGCTGGATACTGAGGGGCCTTCAGTGGTGCAAAGAGAGTACTGGTGGTGTTCCAGCAGTGTCGGCACCTATCTCCGTACCCCGCGTGCTAATATTAGCTCATTTAGAATGCCGCCGGCTGTCGGATGTAATGGGCGAGGCCACGTCAGCACCAATCATTCGTGCTCGCTGTTGCCGACAGCGAGCTCGTGTATTTCGCGTGGATGTGCACAGATTGGAGGCGGACTTTCACTGATATATAGATATACGTAGAGTACTGTAATTGCAATGCTTCGTAGGTAGAATAACAGGGTTCTTGAGGTCCAAACCTTACAAAGTCAACACCCTACTACTAAGTCAAGCTTCGTCCTCGCTGCTCTCCTCCTCGGATGTGCAAACAAACTCAGCACTCTTTGGAGCCTGCATTGATGACCCTGGTGCTCGTGCCCTCTTTCTCTGGTGCGAATTTTCCTTGCCCTTTCGTTTGCGAGGTACCCCTGCATCAGAGCGCTTCTTGCGTGGCTTGGTAACCACCTCTCCTTTCTTGCGGCGTGCGTCAAGCAGAGCATTATACTCCTCGCGTTGCCGGGGACTCATGCGGAACCAGTGGCATGAGCCATCCTTCAGTGCACAACGGACCTTGAGGAGGGAGTTGAGATCGTTCAAGCTGGTGGGGGATTGGAATGGAATGCCTTCAGGCCAGCCCCTCAGGTCTATGCCGAGCTTCTCTTTGATAGCAGTATCGAAGCTTGCATAGTTGATGCGGATGTCACGTCTCTTAGCTACAGTCTCTGACAAAAAATTAGTTAGTATCGAGTGAGTGCGAGAAACGAAACACGTACTTAGGCCTGAATTGAGGAGCCGTGTGCATACACGTTGCATGTTTTGCACCGTTTCACGTTCGTCGAGGCCTAGGATAATGTAAGAGTCAGCAGATATGCAAGTGAAAATGTGAAGTGAAACACACTTCGACCTGCCATGCACGCCCACTGTTCCAGTTTTCTTGCGATCTCGTCTGCCTCCATTTGCAGGACGTCCTCCCAGAAATCCATCACATTGTCTGTCCCGAACCACGTTGCCTGAGCTGTATCGTATACATGTCCACGTGAGGCAAACACGCAGGCATAGATTCCGGTCCGGACTGCTAGACTATCAAGCTACGAGTTCATTAGTTGTGAGGACTTGGTGAAATCAAGCAACTTACCATCTTAAAAACATTATCAAGGGTTGACTGGACATCACGTGCAGCGGAGGCGTTCGTCGCACGAACACTCATGTTCTGCATAGCGCGGTGTTCGATTAAGTTGTCGATATATTGTTGCTTCTCTCCTTCTGTCAAGTTCTGCATGGCGGTATCCTCCTTCACCAACATCCGGAGATCCTTAGCTCCAAATTTCGCACCACGCGGGAGATCTGTAGACACAATAGATAAATCAGTTGAGAATGACGCACAGAAATTCACCTTTGTTGACTTGCTCTGCCTTCACGTGCATGAGGGCATTTTCAAGTTGTGCGCTGCGGCTGCTCTTGTAATTTTTGATCCCTCCCATCAACTTCTTGACCTTCTCGACAGTCACGCCATGCTCAAGTGCGATGTCGTTCACCTTCTGCGCTTCTTCGGCAAGCATTTGTTGAATTGCGCTGTTCAACATATCTTCAGCCTCTTTGCGTTGCTGGGAGGTAATCTTGCGTGATGCTCGTTGTGCCTTGGCACGAGCTTTTTGCGCTGTGGTAAGGGGTTCCCGCGATGCGAGAACAGGCCTGTCGGGATTCCGTGCTGCCCAGGAAGAGTTGTTGGCTTCAGCCAAATCTACGCGTGGAGCAGCTGAGCTGTGTTGAGCAATCATCGTACGCGAGCCTTCAATGGGCTGCTGGCCATCTACTTGTGTATCGTCGATTGTCGAATGCGCGTCAGTATTGTGAGTCAGACTACCGACCAGTTCTGTTGAGTTTTCGAGCGTGTTGTCCTCAACTGGGGCCGTGTTGCTTGAAGTGAGTGTGGCCCGGACATCACTCGATACAGGAGGAATTGACACGCCGTGAGATTCATTGAGCAGAGCGCTGAGAGGTGGGAGTCCGAAGTACAGTGAGGGATCATCCCAGTTCAGTGACGCAGTGAAACTGAGATCAGGGCGACCAGGGTCAAATTGTCGAAAAGGTTCGGAATATTGGAACGGAGGCTGAGAGGAGTGGTGAATGTCGTGTGCAGGAGGGACTGGGCCTGTCGTTCCAAGATCCTTGCTGATATTGAGATCTAGCGATGACTTTATTACACAGCGCACATTTTACCATTGTAAGAGACTCACCTAAAAAGCCAAAGCCAGTGTCACCACACAATGGATCAGGGAAGATGAAGCCATCCATGGATGTGAGCATTTGTACCAGCCACGCTGGCCAAAAAACTGCACCGTGCAAAAAATCACGACGCGCTGTTTGTCAACCAAAGAACACGTCAAGATATTTGCCAAATCATGGAAAAAAAAATTCACCGTAGTAATGTCTTGCATCTGCCAGCATCACGTGCAAGTTCAAATCCCCTGAGGAGGCGGCTTCCAGTGAGGCAATGAGAAGGGTCGCATGACCATAAGATAATTGTGTTCTAGTTGCGGCGCACATTAGTATATTGCAAGGACGAACAAGGAGAGCTCCGTTGCTTCAAGTGAGACTCACTGATTTGTACAAATGGTGAAACTAAACTGATGCACGAGGCGTGAGCGCATGCGATCATCATCGAGTGGGCTGAATATGTATATTTCTTCAAGAAGCCACTCTATGTCGGTGCTGGCCGCAACAAAATAAACCATGGACCATTACGATGATGAACGCGATCCATTTACCTGAATTCTTCCTCGGTGGTCTTGATTACCTGTCTCACGCGTTCGTACACATCAGGTATCTGAATCCCATACATTTCATCAGCCTGGGGCTGATTGAGGATGGACACGATAGCGAGTTGTGTTGCTGTCAATTGAGCTAGCCGGCTGTAATATTGTGGAGTATAATGAGAACTGATTTGGAGCGATGAGCCGAACAATGGAAGAATGAGGTGGTTCACGCTTAAGTGCGAGAGGTAGTGCAGGAAGTTGGGATGCAGGAAGTTGGGATGCAGTTTGCTTTGAGGTTGACGCGGAACGAAGTTCAGGCTCTTCGGCGACGTCTACAACGACACACAATGATCGTTATTTTTAGCTCAACTTGGGTCCATTTTGCTTCCGCAGTCCATTTTGCTTCCGCAATGTGCATGGCTTCTGCAGGGCCTGGACCCACGTGACTTACATACTACACAAGACCAAATGTCCAGGTCATCCACCATCCATGTCGTCCAGGTGTCAGCTCAAAGTCTTCATCATCCTTCTTCCCCGGATCATCCGGCAGTGGTTACCTTAATTTTGGCTTGTCTGGAAATTCGAACAGCAGTCACCAACCTATCCCTTCAACGAGCTACATCACTCAATACCATGCACTTGGCCTTCTGTACTTGATTCGCCAGCAGGATCGTATGGCCGTGACTAAACCGATACCGCAGCTTGGTGGGGGCAAGTCTGGTGCAGGAAGTGAGGGAGGAAGATCCAAAGTATGTCTTTAGCTTCTGACTGATATGGTGAGCGGGAGCGGTTTGCATGTGGGTAGGAGAGGGAGCGGCTTGCATGTGGGTAGGAGAGGCTGATATGTCATTGCTCGCGGTCGAAAATTTAGTGTTCTTTACTTGAAAACAATGATATTGCATACTGAACGCGCATTATGCGGTACTTTGCCAGACCAATGAACCATAGCGAAGCGCATCAAAGTATGTATCGACTCCGTGTTCCATCATTGACAACAACTCCTCCCATGCACGAACGTGCACGTCTACCGCATCTACAACAGATGCTATTCCATCCCGCAATTGATCTGTGAGAGGCCCATCAATATCACGGGCCTCAGTGTGCAAATCATATGCCTGCTTCACCACGTCCTTTACCTCTGCGAGCCCTGCCTCATCATCCGGCTTGACTGAATCCCAACCCTCTCGGTCTACCTCGGATACGATCGACATCCCATGTGACTCCATGGAATTTGTGTTGGAGAGTCCGATCGCGGTAACCTAACGTTAACCATAAGCTATCGAGACGCTGAAGCAGTTCTTGAGTACCCTAAGTGCAGATATTATTGGCAACATGCACATAAGTCAAATTCAGATGAGTACTCACCGCAGCTGCCCCTCGACGACGTCGCCATCGTGTGCGGGACTTCACTTGTTCTTGAAGTCGGTGACTACTAAAGGTGCGTTACATGCTGAAGTGATAAGAAAGGCTGATACCTACCGCGCATAGCTATCCTTCTTTGATTTTAGTCGAGCCTCATGACGCTCCTCTGCAGTTTTATACATGGTGGGACGCATGGTTTTATGGTGGTTGCAGTTGTTGCAGAGAGATGAGCTGAAGCCGAGTCAATTTCTCGTAGAGCAAGATTTGAAAATACACCAATAAACTGAAGCAACATTCAGCCACACTTCGGGACACAAACTCTGTTCTATGTAGCCTTAGAATTATTGGTATTCAATACATCAAATTATCGTGCAAATGTCAGACATGGTTCTGCAGCGCTCAAGAGTCAATCACACTGATAATGCGAAGTTAGGGTGTTATCATTATTTCGTAGCATCCATAGATAATGTTCTACATCCTCAAAAGTCCCGCAGGCGACACTCGATCTCAACCTAAACTAACAGCATTCATATATTCTGATAAATCCTCAAGCTGATCCCATAGCACATCACTTGATCGCGCTGATGAAATCGATGAACTTGATGAACTTGGAGTGGTAGGAGGTGTTTGTGTGAATGTCGAGTCGGTTGGGGAGGGAGAGTTATCCCGCGGAAAATCTTGGGTGAGACTCGGTATTGTGATGTCAGTGTTCAAGACAGCGGGAATGTTCGACTAACGTGGCATGTCAGATAAAACTGCGCGCACTACTGGCTGGGACACTTACTGGGCCAGTTATTGCCTGCGTGATGTCAGAGTCGACTTTGTGGGTCTTCTCACTGACAGTTTTGGTCTCTGTGGCATCGACCGTCGTCTTTGTGCGGGTGACGGTTCGGTGGGAACGAGTCTGCACAGTACGTCTTGTCCATGTGCGAGTGACGGTCCCCGCGGCGTGCCTGCGATTCTGAGATGAAGGTTCAGAAGCTACATTGATCAGTTACCAGAATGTGAGTGGAGGAATAATGTAACGTACCTGGTGGTGTAGCAATACTCTGATTCATGATCCTCACAGAATCACGCTGATGGTATATGTCGTAGATCACTGGCAGTGGGCAACAGCGCTGAAAGATAAGTTAGTCACGTGCATCTGACGTGCGCCGTGCAGGTGAGTGGTCGTTGATCGCGCAAAGGTAAATCCATATCATATTTGTCAATGGCATTAGGACGCCCCAACAAACGACCACGCAACAAGACGGGACTTACCAGCTCAAGGATCCGCCACGTTGTGTCTCATCGGGACCGTGTGCTGCATCCAACACGAGAGGTCCTAGGGCCAAGTAAGATTGCTGAGCGGGCAGCTGGTACGAATGTCCGCAAACGAGCTCGCGCAGAAGGTGAACTTATAATTTCCAAGTGATAGTATGAAACCTGACCAAATAAAATCACCTAGCACTGACAGCAGATGAGAAACGCGCACTTGAGGCGCTTCGAGAACAGGACGACTTCGATTTCGAGACTCACGATGACCCCGGTATGAACGTCCTCGATGGATCTGAGCCAGTGGACATCAGTCATGCGGGAGGAGAGTTCCACGAGCTTACCAGAGAGCTACTAGGGGATTTCTACAACATGTGAGTACCATAATATATCACACAACTCGTAGTACTTACTGAGATGATCCCCAGAAATGCCAATACAAAGTCTCGCAGGCCAGACTACAGGACGAGGCGTGATAGGACACGGCGGCGCACCGAGGCATTCGATAGACAGATGCCAGCCTTGACAAAGGCCTACCTCGATTGGCATCTCTCAATTAGCAATGCTGCCAGCGGCGACTGCGGGTTTTTTGCGCACCATAAGAACACTTCTCAGGCCCGGGAGAACACAGCGGAGGGTTCCATCCAGATCAAGGTGGTGGATGTATTTTGTACGATGTACATCATAAACATGCACTGTGCTGACATACTATATGATAGGCGCTGAGAAAGTTCCTCTCACCATACTATCGACGGACTCGTTTATTGCATCAGCCCTTGTACGACAAGGCATCATTCCCTCCTCACCCATAAGTCCAACTACTGGCTTAACAGTACAGGCCCTCGAACTCTATCACACCGCACATCAACGAAATCCTCATTTCTCTATTCAAGCTTACGTAAAGACATTGTGTGACTTGCAAGGGGTGCGTACCTAATGTCTATGTCAACACCCAAACACGCAATGATTTAAAACATTGAACAGGTTCAATTTTACGCTTATCTATCTCGCCAATTCTCGATTGCGCTGGACGTTTACCTACAGATTCTCACCAGTGTCAATATGCTAGTCGACGAGGCACTTCGCCGTGGAGACCCTCACTGGCGCTTAAAGCATGCTTGTCCAGCATGTACATACAAACTGCAAGGTGAAGTCCCCATGAAATTCAGCTTACTCTATGCAATGGACGGCAATGACTCACTTAAGCGAGTCTTGAAAAAGTCGACGCAGGATGATTTGGACTCTGACGACAATTCTCCCTTGGCCCAACGCTCATCAGAGTTACCCACCACGCAAGTTGTCGGTGGCGACCGTTATTTGTTAAACGAGTACATCGAACAGTTTGCAAGAGACTCGCCTGCCGATATGTTATCCCTTGATGACGACAAGGTTTATTTTCTTCATTCTTAGCTTCACACTGTGCTAATTTGACTGCAGGACAATCCTTGCGCAGGACGCTGGAAAAATATGCGAGATGAAAAGACGAAGAAGATGTGGGGTGTTTTCGACGAGTCAGGTATATTTATGTCTATCTGCAGGCATGGTTTCTCGCTCGTGATAGCCGACATGGTCCAAAGTGGAGAACAGTAAGTCATTAATCCCCTGTTTGCTTGCTTGCTGACCCATTTTTCAGAGCAAAGTACCCTCTAGCTGTCGTCTCAAAACTTCTCGATACATTCGGCAGCAACCTTGGAGGAGGTTACGACATCGGCTGTCGCTTTAAGACTACACTCAGCCGTAGTTCACTAGGTCAGCGCGCACGGGAACTCAATCATACCTCACTTGTTGGGGCATTCCATGGACACGCCCACCAACGTCTCTGTCAGCTTGACCATCTCGCCACATATGTGGATGGCCTTGGGCTGGAAGACCTCGAGGGCTGCGAACGGACATTTTCGAAGTCGAATGCACTTGCCTCCTCTGTGCGATACGCGAGCGTGTTTCACCGGCGTCAAGCTATCGTCCATTACTTTGAACATAACGATGATTATGAGATCTATGCAAATCTTAGTAAGTCTTTTAATCGATCACCAGCGTGCTCAGAATAACATGTGATTTTTTTGTATCCAGGTACATTCTTATATAACAACTACAAGCAGGCGCTCCGCATCATCTCTGACGGCACCAACTCCCTGCCCAAGCTCATGCATGAGCTTGGCCTCGAGGACAAGAGTGTCTTTGACACCTGGTTGGCCGAGGAACGAGCCTATCTCACATCGTTGAGTCATGAACCGAACCACGAGACCATCCAGATGGAATACTGGCAAAAACTCTTGAATCTATCAGGTAGCAAGTGAGTAAGGGTCTTTTGTCTGCTCGCTGACTACTAACGAATTTTTAGGAAGGACCTCGATGCTGCTACTGCAGCTTGGACCGTCACTACGCCAAGCACTGTAGAGTTCGGACCCCATGATATCGCGTCAACGAACAGGATCGAGACGACACGTAGGCATGCCATGGAAAACTACGAGAAGGACCTCAAGGCTGTCCAGGAACTTGAAACGAAGCTCGGCGTGACTCGTAGATGGGAACAGGAAGACCAGGAGTGGAAAGATGTGGGTCGTCTAGTGGCAAACCGAAAGTTTCAGCGTGCGCTGGACCATCTGGAGGGTCTGGTTGTTGCTCGAATTTTTGAACTTTCGAAGATGAATCAAGCGGGGACGGGTGAGTTTTGATGCTTGTGTCTTACTCAATATTGATGGCATTGTCAGGCTACAAACTGCGCAAACACATTGGCAAGGCGCTGCAAGTACGGTCAGCGGCCATTCGGACGGCACTAGACAGGTACAACACTGCTGCTCGAGCACTACGCCCCCCGCGTGCCTCCCTTTCATGGGAGGAAGTCGTTGAATACGCCTTTCTTTCCGACTTCGATCTCCTCCGTGACGCACGTCAAGACATATCACAACGTCCTTGGGCAACACCCACCGGACGCCTGACCATGGATACATATTTCAAGACGCGCCGTGCCCGTGAGGAAATACAGCGTCTCGACATCGAAATCAGACGTCTAGCCACTTACCTACACGACGAGAGCCGGTACCTGACAGAGTGCGAGAAGCAGCTGCAAACTTTGCACCCCGGGCTTGCTCATCAAGTTTCCTTGCACCGCAAGATTCGCGCGCGGTTCGCTGGACACCACTATCAGTGCCTGCATGATATCAGTATGCTGGAGGGCTTTACAGGATCCATCACGCTGGGTGAGAGTGTTGAACGAGGACCGGGAGCCAGCGCAAGCTCCCCTATAGTCTGTATTCCTGCGCAGCTGGTTGCTGATGGGCTTAGCATGGTGCCTGAAGGCGAGGATGATGCACTGGAGGACCTTGAGGACGATGAGAATGCTGACGTGGATGGTGAGGAGCATGCTCGCGTTCTCGAGAGTATTCTACAGGTGACCTTAGATGTTTGAATGTTTGAGCTCATCATAGGGATTGCATTTTGGCTGTAGAACGACGTAGTACATCATTATATACATGTAATACTACCTATGCAAAAAAGTCCGCCTCCAATCTGTGCACATCCACGCGAAATACACGAGCTCGCTGTCGGCAACAGCGAGCACGAATGATTGGTGCTGACGTGGCCTCGCCCATTACATCCGACAGCCGGCGGCATTCTAAATGAGCTAATATTAGCACGCGGGGTACGGAGATAGGTGCCGACACTGCTGGAACACCACCAGTACTCTCTTTGCACCACTGAAGGCCCCTCAGTATCCAGCCTTTATTCATTTGGCTGGGGATAATTAGAAACACGTCGTTTTAGACCCGCCAGCACACGCAGCTGTCATATCTTATTAGATCAGGTACGTGGGAACCACAGGTGCAATATATATGTACATAGAGCGAGGAAAGCCAGTTTATACTCAAGTCATAACTTATCACCAGGCAGTGCGAGAGTCTAGACAAGCATATGTAATTACTGTACAAGATTGACTAGCAATGAAGACAATGGAGGATACAAGATCATATCTTCTGGGATCTCTTAGAGGGTTGCCTCGCCCTACCTGATCTACGAACCACAGGCTCAGTCCTAGGCTTCTTGGACTTACTTGATGAAGCATGGTTAATTTTTCTCTTCCTCCCTTTCTGCACCACCTCTTCAACCTCCTGCTCCTGCTGTTCTTCTCCCCCAACTACATTCTCCTCTGACTCAACATCCTTCTCCTCAACCTCATGCCTTTCCTTCTCTACCACCATCCTTATCTCCTCATCCTCAACCTTGTCACTGAGTCCCTCTTTGTTCAGCCTCTCAATCTGACCAACAACTGAGAATAAGACTTCCCGGACAGCCTCATCCAGAGCGACCAAGAACTGTAGATCAATAGCAGAATGAGGTAGGTAGAAAGGGGTATTGGGATCAGCCTCGTCTTCCTTATACTCTATCACACGCTTAGACTCCCTATAGAGGAGCCCAATTCCTAGTATTACTGGCATTGCCGATGATGGCCCTGAGATTGGACAGGTCTGTAGCTTGTTTAAGCTGGCCATCAATGTCGCATATGAGGTGTGAATGTCCTCAGAAAGATAATTTTCGCTCCAAGACCAGTCAGCCCAGGTAGGCAAATCTTGGTGTCGCTCTGAAATTGGCTGTTGGACATATAAGCCATAAAATTGAAAACAGCACCAAGTGACACTAACATTCTGTTTGGCTAATATTGCCAGGTCCCTAGTGGCATCCACAAGCTCCAAGTAGTTTTCATTCTTGCTAAGGGTTTCTAAAAATGTGTATCGGTCATTGATGGCAACATCATCTGGTGTTGTCTCATGAGCGGCCGGCTGTGTTGTACGTTCTGTGAAATGAGAGGCAAATGGAGCCGGCCGGCCTTGATCTTCTTCATCTAAGTCTAGGGTGCTCACTACTTTCGTCTTGGACTTCCCAGTGACCCGAATATCAGCATCCTTGGCCTTAATAAAGACAACTAGCTTCTGATTTGTAGCAGAACGTCGTTCCCAATGCATCCATAGACAATTTACCTCCTCTGTCTTCATATGAGAAGGGTCTTTGACCACAAATCCTGTGGGAACTGAACCAGGTTCCAAATAATTGGACGGGCTGGCAGTTATCACGCCCCAAGGTACAGGTCTAGAGCCACCTGTGCAGACTTCTACAAACCATTGAGTCAATCAAATGTCATGCACATATTGAAGATGTTAGATCTTACTGTATGAAGTATGAAAGATACTTCTAATCAATTCATGTTGGCCCTTGAGGCCAATACCATCACGAAGAGGAAGTTTTGCATACCCCTCATCATCTACTATGATTTCAGGTAAGACAGGTCCATCCTCACAGTCTGAAGCCGCATGGTCTGAATCCTCTGAAGGGTCTATCAATTTAATAGTCAGTGAGCATGATATTTAAAATCAAATGAAACACATACAAAATTCAGTCTTAGACCATTCTCCAAAGGATTCAAATCCATTTGCAGCCCACTCCTTGATACCACTCGAGCTCACAGAAATTTTTTTCTTGGCATTCTGAGGCGTAGTTTCGTGTCTATAGTAGTTTAGTTAGTCTTGAGATTTCCATGTTGATTTGATGACTTACAGACTGACGGACAATGTCTGACTAGCTTTTTTCTTATGACTAACAAGCATTACTATGCGACAACCCATGGTGCGCCGAATTTGCTCTGCAAAATCTTCCAGAGTTTTCTTGAGGTTATTCTTACGATATCTCAAGCCAAAGTGTTAGACTGGAATAACTGTAGATTTGAAGTAAAACTTACATTGCCTGAGTTTCTTCTGGCACCCCCTCCTCATTCCATTTCTTCATGGCAAACTTGACCTCCTGCTGTTGTGAAGGTGTCATGTTGTTGAACCACTCCCTGGCATTCCCAGTGCGGTACTTGATTGAATACTCCAAGCCTTTACTCTGTTGTTGGGCCTTGTCATATGAGTCGATCTCCTGCTTAAATAATTTCTGTGCTACGTCCCACTCAGACAGGGGTTTCTTATAGAAAGATGGTTCTCTTGGGCGACTCGCTGCCTCACGTTCGTCTGCCTCTTCCTTGTCTTTGAGACTTTTGGCATAGTATTCTTTTATTGCCTGTAGGTAACATTTATGTATATCATCAGACAACTAAATACATGTACAGTATAAGAATTTTGTGACCTTTTTCAAGGAAGTAGGCAAGGCAATGGGTTCCTCTTGCTCGTCTTGAGCAGCTAGTATGGCCCTCCGAATCTTCCTCACCACAGGCTTTCCAACAGATGAGGAACCTGCAGCAAAAATGGCCTTAGAGTGAAGGTCGAGAATTGGCTTAAACGCAATAGACCAGTCGGTAGACATCGTAATTGATTCAAGATAAAAATTGCAGGTAGGCTGGTACAGGCGGTAGGAGGGTGGCTAGCCGAAATTAATTTGAACACCCATGTTTATCAACAATAACGTGTGACTTATGAAAAGTCACACGTTATTGTTGATAAACATGGGTGTTCAAATTAATTTCGGCTAGCCACCCTCCTACCGCCTGTACCAGCCTACCTGCAATTTTTATCTTGAATCAATTATCAAATTGGATATATTGAGACGGTCAAATTCACATCAAGTAACAAGATTAAAGGCACATTATACTTCCATTGAGTGGAGTTAGACAGTGTAGATAATAGACAAATTCACATCAGGTAAAAAGATCCAAAACACGTTATACTTCCATTGAGCGGTGAGGGTATCTAATCAAGTAAGATGAAGAAAAATGAAACATGAAGGGATGTACGAAAAAGCTAAGACAAAATAATTGTATCCTAATCCTCATCCTCATCAGGGACACTAGGCATGGGCCTCAAGACAACCGAAATCCAGCAGGAGCCAGGTCTTTTGCCTGGCAAAAGGATCCTGGAATGAGGTGGTTGTGAGAATACATACTTTTTCCTACATTGGCCATTCTTGCATTCAAAGATGTAATCTTTGTGCATGTTGACAGAACACCAGGTGTTACTCCACCCACACTGTGGGCACTGGACCGGCAGGTACTGACCCCAGGGGCGAAGTTGGGAATGCGTCCAGGCGAGCTTGGTAACGGCCAACGAACCTGAGTTGTCAGGCATCAGCAAGAACACGTCAGTGTGGCGCCCAAGTTTGTAGGACTGGCCCAACATGTCAGGGAAGACGATGTGAATGGGCAAATGCTCGATGATGACCAGCTCCGCAAATGCGAGCAAAAGGTGGGTGGCGAAACTCGGCTGAAAACGAACAGCATTAAAGCCAATAGTGGCTGTGATGCGATGACTGTTAGGGTTAGTTAGTATTTGCAAAGATAAGATCAAATGGACTTACTCTATGACCACCTGTTGCAAGCCTGAAAAGGAAGTGACGTTGTTGATGAGCGCGCCACACGAAAACAGCCATAAGTATGATTCCGCGGCACCATGAATCAGGGGATGCCAAGGTGAAAGCAGAACATCGAGAACCTTTGGTGTCAAATGAGCAAATACAATGTTAGTCAAAAAAATGCCACTTACAGAGTGAACGCGTGCCGAAACGTATGACTTCTTGTTGCCCTCGTACCCAATAAATGGATCCCCATGCTCGTTGTCGGTGTGGTTAGTGATGGCGACGACGACACGAGCCCAGTTGGAGCTCATCAGCGACTGGATGATGGCAGTCGCCTGCAACCGGTACTCGTCGATCTTTGAGGCATTGCCGATGTCGAACGCGATGGACTGAAATTCAAACCCTCCGCTGGGGAAGTATGGCCGAAGGAATTCAAAGGCCAGTTTGAAACAGCCGCCGGTGACGTCGTGGTCGACGAGGACGAGATGGAGCATGAGCGTGGGTGCCGAAGACAGTTGGGAATGGAGTGAAACCTCCAACGTAGCACGAATTTGGAGGAATGAAGGAAGGAGTGGTTGCCCCTTCCTGTAAAAACCCTATAAAATGAAGTGAATGTTAGTTAGCATGAAATAAACGAAAAAACTTACAAAATAGGGCGACTGAGATGCGCGCCCGTGTCGTTCCATGCCAACATGGCAAGATATGCAGACGAACGTGACGTCATCGGCCTGCACTGCGTGTGCACTGGCAGGCGGGATGTTCATGCAGTTTGAACACATCACCCGCGGACAGGTGCTGCAGAGGAAGAGGCAATCTTCCCCTACAGAACCGTCTCTGCAGATGAGACAAAACTGCAAATAAAGACGCGTGTTAGTGCAAATAGTAGGTAACTAATCACTTACCTCGTTGTGTTCAGACGGCTCTCTCACATTCAGCTCACCCGGCGCAGTGACCGCTCCAGTAGATGCCGGCAACGACAAGGCAATTCGTGGCGCGGTGCCACCGGTGGACTTCTTGCAGGTTTGTTTAGACTTCACCATGGTGAAGAGAGACTATTATAGATATATTCAAATTAGTAGATGACACGGCAAATAGCACTTACAGTTATGTAGTTCAAACAGATGCAAAGAGAGGAGAGTGCCGGCTGAATGTACTTAGAAAGAAATGAACAAGTTTGAACGTTGGTTGATTGTGACAAACAGATCCAAATAGTCACGTGATTATCAACAATGAACTCAACAGCGTCATAATATTGGCTAATCCACAATTCAACGCGTCGCGTGTCAAAAATCCACAAATGACACGCGACGCGTTGAATTGTGGATTAGCCAATATTATGACGCTGTTGAGTTCATTGTTGATAATCACGTGACTATTTACAAACAATAACAAACTGACACGTGAATATGAACAACAACAATCAGTTCTCACGGTTCAATCTCTTCTTTCGTCTTACCTTCATCATTCTCCTTCATCCTTTATTTCTGCCAGTGCCGTTACTTCAGGGCGACTTCCGGTGTACTCCTTTGGGTTCTTGCAGACTGCAGCTGCAAGAATTCAAAGGTACTACCCTACAGTCGCCCTTCAAACATAGTAAGTTCAACTTTGGTGGTGCGCCTACTTACTAACTGTTTTCATTTACATATACTCTCTTTCCCTTGAGGTTTCTCAAGGTAAGTACTTAATTGCTCACACACGCTTGCTAATGTCTGTTGTACTTAGGATTTTGGAGACTTTGGATGGCACAGTGACAGCCACTCCTCCCTTTGAGCGCCCTCCTGGCAGTTCCCTAACGTAAGTCCTTCTTTTCCCACGTCTGCTTGCTAACATTTGTTCTATTTAGGATTATACTTACGAATTTCGGGACTTTGGATGGCAGTTAGAGCCACTCCTCCCTTTGAGCGCCCTCCAGTTCCCAACGTAAGTCCTTCTTTTCCCGCGTCCGCTTGCTAACGTTTGTTCTATTTAGGATAATACTTACGAATTTCGGGACTTTGGATGGCAGTTAGAGCCACTCCTCCCTTTGAGCGCCCTCCAGTTCCCAACGTAAGTCCTTCCTCTCTCATGTCCGTTTGCTCACGTTTGTTCTATTTAGTATTATACTTACGAATTTCGGGACTTTGGATGGCGCAGTTAGAGCCACTCCTCCCTTTGAGCGCCTTCCAGTTCCTTAAACGTAAGTCCTTCTTCTCTCGCGTCCGTTTGCTAATGTCTGTTCTATTTAGTATTCTGCTTATTGGAACTGGGGGTTGCGCAGTGCATGCCACTTGTCAGTGGCTCCTGCTTCTTGAAATTGGCGGTAGTGCAGTGCATGCCACTTGTTAGTGGCTCATGCTTATAGGAACTGGGGGTTGCGCAGTGCATGCCACTTGTCAGTGGCTCCTGCTTCTTGAAATTGGCGGTAGCGCAGTGCATGCCACTTGTCAGTGGCTCCTGCTTCTTGGAATTGGCGGTAGTGCAGTGCATGCCACTTGTTAGTGGCTCCTGCTTATTGGGACTGGGGCTCAGCGCAGTGCATGCCACTTGTCAGTGGCTCCTGCTTCTTGGAATTGGTGGTATTGCAGTGCATGCCACTTGTCAGTGGCTCCTGCTCCGACTTTTTAATAGCCTGCTCCAACTTTTTAATGGTGGTAAGCGCTCAATTCCTGATGACCTTAACTGATCTGTTTTGTTCTCTAGACTGCTGAACCTGCCGGTACTTTTGTGTGGCAAGTGCTCTCTAGTTAAGTGTTAATCTTGTCTTAAATTTCGGTCTAACGTTTCTACAGGACAAATTTGTATTGTATTATATATATATTTGCTACATACATTTTCACCTGGAGTGTTGAGGCTTTGGTGAGGAGGGCCCCCTCATTGAAGTCTCGCCTCCCCTTTTGTATTTGTTACTTTATTTGTTTGCTTACTTGTAGTAAAATTTATTGTCACTCGTACTTTGTATTTGAAAATGTATGTTGATGGATGCACTTTATTTGCTGCCGGCTGAAAAGGTCACGTGACCGTGTGTATATTAGCAAAGAGCCTTATTAAGAAAGCAAGCGCAAAAGCACAGTAGTGTATAATAATCAAACGCTGCACAGACCAAAGCAATTATTATCTACTACATGTCTTAGATAGATAATGTGTTATGTAGATCTCAATTCTGCCTTGATGCGGCTCACCATTGACATGCTGAAGGACGCTATCATTGATTATTGTCTGCCAGTCAAAATATACTATTGGCATAGGCAGATGGTGGCAGAACACTAGGACAAGTAGCCATGACGCCATATGATACAAACTTCCCTTCCCGGTCAGAAGGTTGATTCTTCTTTGAAATTGCCTTCTGACCACAGAGGGGAGTCATCATATGGCATCATTGTCACCATCTGCCTGGGCTGCTAGCATATTTTGGACTGACGGACATTCTCAATACCCTACAGGCCGCTTAGAGGCTAGCCCGCCCTCAAAACTGTTCGTGTTAAGAGTTCTGCCTCAGAGGTAAGTTGGCTACACCTATACTGCAGGGTATTGAGAATGTTTTCTTCGGTTAACAAAGAAAACATTTTCAATACCCTACAGTATAGGTGTAGCTAACGAAGTATTACCTCTGAGGCAGAACTCTTAACACGAACAGTTTTGAGGGCGGGCTAGCCAGTATATGCCTCAGAGGTAACCTCAGAGGTATCTCCCCTCCATGGTCAGAAGGGAAGAGTCAGCCTTCTGATGGTGCAGGGCAGTTTGTATCATATGGCGTCATTGCTACTTGTCCTGGTGTCCTCCGGATGCCAATTTACTATTATACACTACTGTTTTTGTGATTGCATTCTTAATAAGTGAGTCCTTGCTGTCTCTCAAGGCATTGAACTCCAGCTGGAAGTGTCTCCTGTTATTTGAGACAGGGATCCCACAGTGTAGTCCCAGATTCAGAATATCATTCATTCTTCTGTGGTAGTCTGCCAATATTAGTCTTCACTCTTCCAGCATCTGAGCGAGTTATTACAGTACTAATTATGTCACAATCTGGGCAAGACTTCATTTAATCAGTCTTCCATCAGTAGATTCCATTCATATATCCAAATTTGATCGCGGGACAATTTTTTCGGAATCATTTCATATAAGTTAAATTGAGTCTTGATCCGAACGAGCTGGTTGAAAATTTTCCTTGCTCACCATGGACCAACAAATGAGTCAATCAATCAAGCTGAGAGCAGCTCTGACCACAAGGATCAAGGAAATTATGGGAAAATCATCAGCAACAGGGATCTTCAGAGGGGGGATATTGCAAACTCACCTTCTACACAAAGCAAGGTGAGAGGTTATATTTAGGGCCTTATTTGATCCGCTCTATTAAATGGTCTCACTTAAGATTAAGAATTGGACATGAGCTAGACAGTTGCTTAGCAACACGTGATGTCAACTTCCATGCTTCTGCGTCAATCTCAGAATATGAGATCAATCGAGCTGCACTGACAGTTGCCCATGCAATGGTAAATCCTTGTGAGTTGTTTCACTCTGCAAGATATCACCTGGTTTTAAATTCACATCATTTGCAGATTATGTGGATTGGGATGTTGACAGATTTGCCGAAATGGCCAAAGTCTCTACACCTAAATCTGATGGTCCCCTCGCTAATACCAATCAGCTACCAAAGTACTTTTCTGCAGCTATGATCGGTAAAATTTCAGTACCAGCTACTATTGTGGACAGGCAAGGTAAAATTTTAACAATTTACTTGCCAAATATTCTGTCTTCTTCTCGGGTTGTATGTTCATTCTTCCTTGGGAATTCCCCTCATCAATTGATAAATTAAATTAGGAATATGTGAACTCAGCCACTAAGGGTTTACGGACTTTACTTCTTGAAACAATTACGTCCTCCACCCAACAGTCTTGGCGATCTCAAGGCTTTGTTGTCCCAGAGGGGGGTGGAGAATTTGGAGCAGGCAGAGTCACAGTATCACCAGCATATTTTATGCAAAGACACGAGGTATAGGCCAAATTTAGTGGTTGTTTAGCTACTTTTGACTTTGTTTGATTTCATTTGCAGAGACTGGAAGACCCAATGGTTACCTCGGCTTCCTATAAGTCTGTGGAAGTCCAAGAGTGGCTAGCTGCTTTATCAGCTACTGAATCTTTCTGGAATGCCATTACCGCTGTATCGGCTCCAGATCTATTTGAAGCAGGCACCTTGGCAATCACTCGTATTATTGAGGAACTTCAAGGTTCTGATAGAACATCACCACCCATCTGTGATTGGCCCTCGATCTTCTCAGGATTGGAAATAATTGCAAATCATACAACTTTATCACACAGAGATTCTGGTGGCGCACCTTCTCTTTTTGATCTTCTGATTAGTTTAGGCAGTGGCCATGAGGCTAAGTTGACATTAGCAGATGTTGGGGCCGAACTGGATTATTACCCTGGGACAATGGTCTTCATTTCTGGGAAGGTTTTACAACATTCTATTGGTCCATGGGGTCCGGGAGAAAGGCTCGTTATTGCCCATTTTATGAGGGATAAAATCCACTCTAGATGCGGGGTATCCAGACCCCCCTTTCCAACACAGGCCTATTTTTTGCAGATGGTGGGGCAGCAGGATAGTTATTTGTTGTGACAAGTAGATGATAAGAAAGGAGTGGTTCTTGGAGGAGGAGGGGTGGAATGGGACAAATCAAGTGTTTGACAGTATACCTACTAGATTAGTTGATGTGATCTAGTGATTCCTATGAATGGTTTCAACTATCAAAAATAGAATGTTGATAATATCAATTTTTCCCCCCACACGTAACCCTATGTCTCCCAAGAAAAAAACTCGACTCAAGGCAGCTACATTTTCCTTCCAAGGAAGAGGTCGTTTGTCTAAAGGCAAGGACCTTGATGTTGCCTATGTGTCTCATAAACAAGTCATTGGAAAGAGAAGGAAGCCAACCTGGGTGGAATCATGCGCTGATAGCCTTTATGACACTGCCCCAACACCATCTCCATCCTCCAGCCCTCGTAAACGTATTAGAGAAGACACTCAAGGGTTGCAAAACAGTCATGAAGATTTTGATAGACAAACCCTTGGTGACTTTGTTTCCTATGTAGAGAACTCACAAAGAAAAACCAAGGCAAGCATAGTGATTCAGTGTCTTTTAATGATGTACTAAATAGAGATTATTACGACCAGACACAAAATGACTTCATCCAAGAATATCTGCCTTTCCGAGACTTGTACTTGGATATTCTCCTTGACTTGGAGAAACCCTCCGATGTATCCCAGTGCCAGTCTTGTCAGATTGGTGAAGGGAAATTCCGCTGTTTGACTTGCAGTGGAGATCAGACATTCTGTCGTTCTTGCATTGTCAATGCTCACCAGTTTTTGCCCTTCCACAAGGTTCAAGAGTGGACTGGGAAATGCTTCAACGACACATCACTTGAAGAATTGGGTTTTATCTGGTATATGGGCCATGGGGGACAACCATGTCCATTTTCTGACGACATGCATGCATGGGAGAATATTCCGATGGACGCAGAGGCCGATTTTTCACCAATGGAGACAGTTCATGGTTCAACTATACCAACCAAGTTGACCATTGTACATTCCACTGGAGTGTTTTTGCACAACATTGTCTGGTGCAGCTGTCCTGGGGTCGATTGTCAGCAGCATTTGCAATTGCTGAAAGCTAAATTATTTCCAGCCAGTATCACTCGACCACAGACTGCCTTTACTTTTGATGTCCTCAATCATTTTCTAATTGACGCACTGGAGTGCAAGACTTCAGCATCCAGCTTCTTTGAAAAAATCCGTCGAATGACCAATAACTGTTTCCCAGATACTGTTCCTGTAAGTCTTATAAGTCTTCTTGGTGAAAGTTAAACTAACAGTACCAATTTGTTTTTCTAGAATCGATATCGAGAACTTATGAGAGTGTCTCGACTGTGGAGAGACTTGATGAGTCGAAAATGGTTTGGCTTTGCCCATAATGATGAGCAGAAACTGGACAAGGGTGATCTGGCTTGGTTTTGCCCTGCTTGTCCACAGCCTGGGATTAACCTACCTCCTGACTGGCAAGCCAGATATGAAAGGCAAGTCATTTATCCATCTCATTCTAAGGAGAGGCGACTCAATTTCTCTACCACACTTGAGAATATCATACTCACTGGCTAGCCCTACACTGCATAGTGTACGAGAGCTCCGGCCGGACTGACTTATGTTCTAATCAAGCTGGCCAGCATGGCATAGACTGGATGTAAAACCAGGCCGGCCGGCACATTAAATTGGCTTGCTAGCTTGACACAGATAGCATGCATAACCATGCTGGCCGGTTAAACTGAGGTGCATAGATGTCACTCAAAGACATGCCAGCCAGAGAGTTGGTCCGGAGAGAGACTTCTACTTTTCTTTTTTGCACATTTTTAACCTTATGCTTACCTGTTTGTACAGTTGGCTTGTTTCACAAAGATATGTGGTAGACGGGAACTTCACTGCTCAACATATGGTAATGAGAAAACCACAGTTGGACATTAGTTTGTCAGACGGGCTTGGGTATATGGTGAAAGATCAAGAATACCAGACTCATCTGTCATCGGCTGTAGAAAGTAAAGAGGTGAGTTGGCTCATGACAACCACTTTTCGTTCATGCTTCACTATCTTTGTAGCGGTCTTCTTGCAGCAATCATCGTGCAGTAAATGCAGCCAATATCAGCAGGAGCAATCTTCGAGCTACAGGTGTAGAAGCAACTGCTTGTGCTCGACATGGATGCTTTGTTCCTCATAGTATAGTTGATTTTCAGAAGGGCGAAAGGTCTGTGTATGTCTTCCAAATCAACATGTTATGCAAGCTCAGGTAATTTTTAGACACATGAATATTGACTACTCAATATGCAATGCATTGAATTATCATTCAGCTGGTATAGACTCTTTCCTCATCATTTATGATGTGGGGTGTCAGTGGAGCATTAATTTTCTACAGAGAGTAGCCCAGAGCAAGGGCTTGTCTGTACCTGAAGATATGCACATCGTTCCAGCAGTTGGAAAATTCCATCTTAGCGCTCACAAATTGGCTTGCTTTGCAAGGTACAGCCTCAACTTTATTCAAGGGGCTGGACATGTTGATGGGGAGATTTTGGAGACTCTGTGGGCACCATTCAATAAGATCTCCCCAACTGCTCGGTCAATGAGTCAGGCTCACCGTCAAGAAGTTCTTAATGATCATATGCGAGACTCAAACTGGAAAAAAATAGTGGGAATAAGTAAGCCCTCCAAATTTTGCATTTGAACAAGCTTGACGATTGAGCTTCCAGTGAAGACTCTCTTGAAAAAGTACAAACGAGCTCTCAAAGGTGTTGATGACACAAAGTCTCCCTTTGACGAGCTCACTCTGTCTCTGGACCCTGAGAAGATTTCGATATGGAAGATCGATGAGAAAAAGGCCATGGAACAACGTGGAGAGTATCTTGACATCTATCAGTTGCAGATGAACAAAGGTAAGTGAACTCTGTCTAGTTGTGAGGCTGCTATTCTTGTATAGACATCTGATCAGTATTTGTATCTAGCTCCAACTATGGCAGAGATTAGACTCAAATTAACTGAGTCTGAGAATACTGACACTAGCAAACCTGGGACAGTCTCTTGGCTCATTACTGGCATCAATCTGGAGGATTTACAGTATGTAACCAATAAAAATAGAGAAACCGTTTGACATAGTACTATTTTAGGGATGGACTAAGGGCAGATATTCGACAACTTCCTACTGATGCAACCCCAGGACAGAAAGTTTCTATAGAAGAGAAGCGACAGAGATTGACAGCTAGGATAGCTAAATTTCATGAAACAGCCGATGCCATGACTGCTGGTATGGATCTTGGAACTGCAACAGTGCATTCCGACGATCCTAGATTCTGCTATGCAGGTCATGATGAAAATGGTTGGGGAGAGGTCTCAGATGAAGAGATCTCAGAGTATATTGACGAAGAAATTTTGGCTGAAGAGATGGGTATCTGGATGCCATCATCAGTGCCCTACCAGGATGCATTGGCTCTCGGACTGGGTCCCCTCCAAGCTGAAGAATTAGAACTTCGAAAGGGCCAAGCCAATGACTGCCTCGAAAAGCTTCGAATGGCCCTTGGTCATAAGGCCATCATCTATCGTCAGTATTTTCGAAGTGCTAATTCTACATGGGCTGGGACTAGGTCAAAGCAAGAAGCTCAACGCTGTCAGCTCAAAATTGACAAGTGTATAAGAAGCTATCAGAGGGCAAGGTCAGCAATGGAAGGTCTAGGCATGGACAAAGCCACCTTGGGGAGTCTTTATCAGCCAATATCGCCTACAGAGCTCAGTATAGACAAAGAGGTGACAGAAGAAAATAGATTTGGACAAGGGTCAGACAGGCTGGCTTGGTTTTGGAGGGGAAATAATGCAAGCCAAGGTCAAGACGATGCCTGGATAGATGAATGTAAGAAAAAATCTTTATCTCTATGATATGTCACTAAAGCTCCAACCGATCTAGTCTACAGGGTGAACTGGTTGAAGGCTAAGGCTAGATGGAATAGATGGCAAGAGGAATTAAGGCTGGTAAGACATGAAATGAGTTGGACCATAAACTGGTTCAAGTACCACCAGAATGAATGGGAGAGAAGGGATGGCCAAGCTACCAGACCTGGTCATCAAGCCTATGCTTATCAGCAGGTCTTGATGTGGGGAAGATTTGTTGAGGAGGCAGAGAAAAATTTCAATGGATGTCAATTTATACTTTGATCTGGTATACTGTCTTTGCTAGGAAAAATATGACAGGATAATTCTCAATGCTAATGAATGACAAGGTAGCTTAGCTAGCACTAGCTCCACTCTATGTAGTCCACAGCTGGCCGAGATAATTGTATTTAAGATATGGACTGGCCAGATGGTTCCTACAGCATGTATGTACATGGCTGGCCCTTATAAGAGTATATAACTAGCTTATATCTACCCTATGCAGTCCATGTAATTCTGATACCAATAACTGGTTAGCCTTGATTCTACAATAGACAGAATCAAGTCGGCCGGTATGAAATGTTGAAACCAATAACCAGCCAGTCTTGATCATACATGTTGTAGGAACTATCTGACCAGTATACAAATCTGAAACCAATGACTGATCAGCCTTGATTCTACTATTGTACAATTAAACCGAGCAATATTAAAACTAATAACTGGCCAGTCTTGATTCTACATGTTGTAGAATTAAACCGGCCGGGATGCAATGTTGGAATTGAAAACCAGCCAGTCTTGATTCTACTGTTGTAAAATCAAACCGGCCGGAATGCAATGTTGTGATTGAAAACCGGCCAGTCTTGATTCTACTATTGTACAATTAAACCGGCCGGGATGCAATGTTGTGATTGAAAACCGGCCAGTCTTGATTCTACTATTGTACAATTAAACCGGCCAGGATGCAATATTAAAACTGATGACTGGCCAGTCTTGATTCTACATGTTGTACAAGCTATCTGGCCAGTATGAAATTCTGTAACTAATGACTAGTATAGAAATTACAAAACAATAATTAGCTAGTCTTGATTCTACTATTGTACAATTAAACCGAGCAATATTAAAACTAATAACTGGCCAGTCTTGATTCTACATGTTGTAGAATTAAACCGGCCGGGATGCAATGTTGGAACTGATAACTGGCCAGCCTTGATTCTACTGGTGTAAAATCAAACCGGCCAGGATGCAATGTTGGAACTGATAACTGGCCAGCCTTGATTCTACTGGTGTAAAATTAAACCGGCCAGGATGCAATGTTGGAACTGATAACTGGCCAGCCTTGATTCTACTGGTGTAAAATCAAACCGGCCAGGATGCAATGTTGGAACTGATAACTGGCCAGCCTTGTTTCTACTGGTGTAAAATCAAACTGGCCAGGATGCAATGTTGGAACTGATAACTGGCCAGCCTTGTTTCTACTGGTGTAAAATCAAACTGGCCAGGATGCAATATTAAAACTGATAACTGGCCAGCCTTGATTCTACTATTGTACAATCAAACTGGCCAGGATGCAATATTAAAACTGATAACTGGCCAGTATGACATTCTGTAACTAATGACTAGTACTCGTATAGAAATCCCAAACCAATAATTAGCCAGGCTTGATTCTTCTATAGGATTAAACCGGCCAGCTTTAATTCTACGGTTGTAGAATTAAACTGGCCAGGATGCAATGTTGGAACTGATAACTGGCCAGTCTTGATTCTACATGTTGTACAGGCTATCTGGCCAGTATGCAACTTAATAACAAGTGACTGGCTGACTTGATTTTACAACATGTAGAACCAAGACTGGCCAGTTATCAGTTTCAACATTGTGTCCTGGCCAGTTTGATTCTTGATTCTACAACAGTGGAGTCAAGGCTGGTCAGTCATTGGTTACAGAATTGCATACTGGCAAGCTTGATTCTACCTGCAGTGAAATCAGGCCAGCCAACTAGCTAGCTGAATTCTATATCTTGCAGGCATAAAGCTAGCCACTACCACTGATGGTAATCATTTATATATATATTAACACTAAACACTAATTCTACATACTCCGGCCAGCTGTATTATACATTTTGTAGGCATAAGGCTAGTTATTGTGTTTACAGTAATTCTAATATGTATATATCTACACCAGTCAACACTGATTCCACATACTCCGGCCAGTGACTGGCTGGCCATGATTCTACAGACTTTTGGCACATCCGGAGCCAGGGTTCTACATGGAAAGTGACTGAAGGGTCTGAAACATCACCGGTGTGACCTTGGAGAGGAGTACCCACTCCCTGGCCAGTCTTCATATCCCACACCCGGATCGTCTTGTCATCTGAACCAGACACAATATGGTGCCCATTTCGCGAGATCGCGACAGAGCGAACATAGTCGGTGTGCCCTCGGAGAGGGGTGCCCACTGCCTCCCTATGTAGTCTCCATATCCCATACTCTGATCGTTTTGTCATCTGAGCCCGATACTATGCGATTTCCATCCAACGAGACTGCGACGGAACGAACCCAGCCAGTGTGCCCTTCGAGGGTACCTAAGACCTTGCCGGTTGCTACATCCCACACACGGACTGTCTTGTCCACTGAACCTGAAACGATGTGATGTCCATCCGGTGAGAATGCAACAGACACAATATCGCCAGTGTGGCCTTGAAGAGGGGCACACAATGCCTCGCCAGTTACCGTATCCCACATGTGGATCGTTCCATCGGTTAAACCACATGCAATATGTTTTCTGCCTGGTGACATTGCAACCGACCAAACGTAGGCATTCATGTGGATTATCCTTTCCATCGGAGGCCAATTTTCGACATGGCCAGCGACAACGCGAGGGGTGTGAGGAAACTTTGCGGCGAATTTGCGAAATATTCTCGACTGCATTGGAGCGAATGGTAGAGCGGACAGGTATAAATGGGGAGTGCTGCGTACAATGGTGGGTGCGAAGGTGCGGACGAAACGCAGGGTATCCCTGATAGCGTCACTAACATGCGTAAACTCGGCATGACCCTACAACCACCCCACTACTCGTAAGAATTTGTTGGGAAAAGAATGAGCTTGAGCTACGCACCGAAAACCAATCTGCAATACATGAGAGGGTCACTGCCGAGCCACCAAGGCTTCTCATCAGAGCCAGTGCTTCCAACCACCAAAGAAGGCGCTCTCCATCGAAGAAAGCCTCGACCTCCTTAGCGAGCGGTGATTCGAAGGACGTAGAGCCGACATGAGTCCCAAAAAACCGACATGAGTATGATAGCTCAGCCAGAATGGATTCTTTGACTCGTTTCTGCAAATCAGGGACAGAAGAGTTGGGCAAGTACGAATTCTCTAAGGAGCAAATGTTGAAGCGAAGCCCGCGCTTTGAGTCGCCCATGACCCGAAGCGAGGCAAAGGCAAGATCTTTATGCACCGCTGATGCATCAACAAAGAAGTCATGGCTCCGTGATTCGTCTGTGAGGAAGTCGTAGAATGATGCATGAAGTGGACATATGGGAATATCAGAATCTGAGGTGCCGGAGACAAGCGAGCCAAGATGCCCCATGAGCAGCTTTACGTCGTAGCGGTCATCATCACATGGGAAACACCGTTGCATCGTGTTCAACACATTGATGGGAAGTGGTTCCGACGATGCAAGAATTTGACCCATCACGGACCGAAAGATAGGAATCGCCTCCTCATGCATGTGCTTCGGCATGATATATATCTGCCAAGATGCGTTGGTACATCTCATCCAGAAGATGTACGCCTTTGGCAGATGTTTCAGAAATGTCGTGGAAACGGCGCATCAGGCCTCGGCTCACGATGTTCGTGCTCTTGATATATTCTGAGGCGAGACGAGCCCATTCAAACAGGCCATCAGATTTCAGAGCTAGCGCCTTGAAGTGGGCATTGTTGAAAATGTGACGCAGATCTTCTAGCCTGTGGGAGATATGAAGTTCGATGTCGAGTTCTGTGGACGCAGACGAGATGTCATCCAGGGAAATATGGCGAACATGTGGCGCAGCGAGGGGACGAGAAGTGAGGAGAATGCAGAAGTTAGCTGGGAGTTCGGATAGTTGTGAAGCGGAAGTGATTAATTTGCCAGCGAGTAGACGAAGAATCTGTTCCCGGGAATTAGCTTCGCCGCTCTCATCCAATGCCTCGATGACAATCAGGACGGGTACAGCGATGGCTTTTGAGGCTATGCTCGTGGGACCGATGATGAGTTCCTGCCATTGTTTTGTGATATCTGGAGTCCGCTTGAGTCCATTGTGATCACTAACTGCCTGCGCCAAGGCTCGCCACACGAAAGGGTTGCAGTCCGCCAATTCACTTGCGATGGTCGTGAATATTTTGTCCTGACGGCGATCCGCTTGCCGAGTACGGTCGAAGCAGAAGCATGAGCTGAGACCACCGTGTTCGATGTATCAGTCGGCTATTGTATGGGCGACAGCTGATTTACCCTTGCCTGCTGTGCCAGACAACCACAAGATGCGCGGAGCACCCTCCTCGGTGCTGCTGATCCAGTTCTGAATATCCTTCAGAAGGTCTTGCCGAGTATTTGGCAAACAACATTTGGACGTATTTAATCCTGCGCCCGTAGCGTACTCCATGCCTACGAGGTCCAAACTCTCAGCTATGCCAGGGATCGTGGAATGTCAGATGAGGCGCAAAGAGACCTGAAAACCGACTCATACCCATATAGTGGACGATCACAACGGTATCACGAGCCGCCCGGTCTCGGAATTGCTGCATGAGACTGTCGAGGACATTGTTATAGTTCTGGATTGTGGTGTCCGTTTCATCGAAAATGTGCTTGCCGAGTCTTATCCCTATACGAACAAGTAACATTGAGCTTGGGGGGACGAAGTAGTGGGATCGACTCACAGGCGCTCTTCGTCTCAGAGTAATGGCTGATGAAATCAGCACACTCCAGCGTCTGCTGTGCTATCTTCCCATATATCGCTAGCATGGACTGAATCTTAGCCAATTCCTTCTCCTCCGTGATAAAAGTATAGACTTCAGATATCTTTGAGAGGAGAAGAGAAACAGCGACATCGCGGTCTGCTTGATCGAGAATCATCTGTTACCAAAACTTTGTCAACCTGCAACAGCGATGATTGAGAAAGAGGCCTACATTGGATGCGCAAGTGAAGATGCTCAGTGCCACCTTCACGTAGGGATGGACCTGCGCACGAATGTTAGTCACATACAGAAGAGACATAGATGGTTTGTACATTCGCAATCGTGCTGGCGATGGAGTTGAATGCCTTCAAGGGTTTGAGCAACGCAGAGAACGTATCGATTGTATCAGAAGCAGATGGTAGGTTGTTGGTCGCGGAAGAAGCATTTTGGAGTATTATTGGGACCTGGCTGGCGCCTGCAAGACCTTTGTTAGCATTGGCGATTCTTTCGCGCACAAATTTCGGGTCGAGATGTTCGACCTGAGTGTAGGTGTCAGCACATTGTCGAAACAGACAATGAGGAAATTCCGAACTTCGTTAGTCGAGCTTACTTCTACAGTCCCCAGCGTTTCTTCTGAGGATGATTGTTGTCATCCATCTAGTAAGATAGGTGTTTGGATGTGCGTGTTTTGGTGCAATGTAAGTGGGAGGCGTGGTGGTAGCAAATAGGATGGACTGGCGCCTACATGTCTGCAATGAGGATTGATCATTATTAATGATGAATATTAATGTTGGGAGCGCTCGTTATCGAGTTTGAACTATTAATAGCATCGAAGGTGGGCCTACCTTTATTTATTTGTACATGTTTAAGCTGAGCGCCCGACTCAAATTTTCCCGTATCGTCATTTGCAGTGCCCCTGGTGGGTAGTTTGAATAACGGAAGGCAAGCGATCACTCGCTGTGCTGTATTCGAGAGCAACATTTCTCGCTTTGTAGATAAAGCCGTATGCGTTCGGGAGAGTGAGGGAGAGGGAGAGGAGTAAGATGAAATATCATTTAGTATCTGTTTCTAGCGAGAAAAGGAATGAATGTATTTCATACGTACAATGTTGTGCATGTTGGAGACGTGAAATGAGATCAGTATGATGAGTGAAGTGGTAAATCAGTGATTTACCACGAAAGCTTCGCTTTCGTGGTGGTGGGGAGGGTCTGGCTCTGCCGGACTGCGCTTGTGTGCGTGGTCTGGGAGGAGCAGTCTGAGTCCGGGTTATTGGGGGTTGAGAAAAGGTTTTTTGAGAGAACCGGACGCAGAGGGGACAGACCCTCAGAGCGTGTTGTGATCGAGTCTCGAGGTGCGGGATGGAGGGGACCGCAGAGAAGAAGAAGAGAAAACGAGACCAAACCATACCTGGAGCATGGCTCGAATACGAGTCGAGTGTCTCTTCGAGACACCCGACCCAGACACAACACGAGACATGAGAAAAAGGGAATTGTGAAGGTGCGATGTGCATATGATTGAATTAGTACAGATCTAAGAGGGTACAGAATGAAGACGACGGTATTCATGCATGTTGGATTGTAAATGCGTGAGAGCGATGGGAGTGGATGAAGCAGTAGCAATAAATAAAGGAAGGACAGACTCAATCTGACGCCAGTAGTCAAGGAATGCTCTCGATTTCCAACGGCCCTGCGTTGCTACGATATCAGGGTGAACACCTTCTAACAGAAGTTCCGTGGCCCCGCCGATGCGAAAGGCATGTCCAGGCATGATAGGGTGACCAGCCGCTGACCAGATGGTGTTGATGCGATCCATGAACCACGTTTTCGTCATTGGTGACCATGAGCCGTCTGCTGTTTCAAAGGAGAACAACGGAGCGTGAGAAGGAATATTGGTATTGACGTCAAGATGTAAAAGGAGTGCGACGAGGGGACATGTGGGGTGATCCCGAGCTGTGACACTAATGTCTGCGCCATCGGTGCCCGTAGTTTTTGTCCATGGAATGTGAAAGGACAGTCGACGTACGTTGTGAGAGTCTTGTACAACAATGGGCAGAACGGAACGGGAGACGTGTTTGATGACGTCGAAGGTGTTTGGACTGGGGATCAAGAGTTCACCGAGACTTAGTGTGACGTTAGAATAAAGTCGTGGTCAGAGAGGAGTGGAAGTCCTACCGACAACAGGACCAGAATGCCACACATGCAATGGCGAAGACGGCGGTGTCGAAGGAATTTGATAAATCAAGTCCTTGACCTAGTTGGACAAGTGCGTCTAGCGTGACTGGCGGGTGTTGTGCTCGTTTTGAATTGGGAGGTACTAGACGTGTGAGACCATGTTTCATGTGGTGCAGGAGTGGAGAGTCAGTGCCGTGCCAATGGGCACCGTTGACGATGTGCCAAAAATGTAAACCTGCGAGCCAATTGCTCGCAGTGCTATCGGAGATGGAACCTGCAGATGCTGCGATGAACGCGGAGAGTAAGGCAGAGGGGGCTGGCATGTGTTGGGTTTCGGGAATGTGAAGTTTGTCGCAGTACTGGGTGAAACGGAGAAGTCTGGCACCATAGTTGCTGCGGGTGTTCTCGTCGAGAGACTGAGTGAGTACGAAGAACATTTTGAGGATATCAGATTCGGGAAAGAGTTGTTCTAGCTCGTGTTGATGGTCAAATCCATGTGGAGTAGTCCAAAGGAATACGCGCTCACTGGCGAGTACGTGCGGACAGTGAGCTGAGGGAATGATGGAAGCATCTTTGCGAGGCTTGCGAGGGATTCTCATTCGTCCATCAGGACGTGTGATGGCGGCTTCACGGACTTCGACAGAGTCCAAGCGATGTGGGTCATCTGGGATGTTGAATACGAACTCAATCTCGGGATTGAGGTTGGGTTCCATGTTCGATGAAAGGAGAGAGTTCTGCAGGAATGGGGATGCGAAAAGGTATGCGAGAGGAGAGTGCGGGTAGGATGCCTCGGGAGATGGGGTCTGCAAGATTGATGCTGGTGTGGACATATATAAGCGATATTGAGAGATCCGCCGCGCGAAGTACAGCTTCAGTGCGTCTGATGCACGTGTTGGAGGCGAGGTTCGAACAACGGCCTTTACGGAAGGCACCAATGGCACCTTCATTGTCACTGCAGATGAGTATATCGGCATTGGAAATGCCAAAGAGGGAGGTGACGGTAACGGCGAACTCAATTGCGATGGTTTCCAGCCAGCTGATGTCATGACCAATTGGGTCACGCCAGCCATCCCGAACGACCCATGCCTCCCAGAATCCATTCCAGTACAGGCCAATGCCTGTGCCGGTCGAGGCATCAACCCAAATGTTGTAGTCTCGTGTGGGAGGTCTTGGAGAAAGAAGGCGAGGTGTGTGATTGTGTTCGAGGAGGTCAAGCCACCATTTGAGATCAGATCTGACCGATTTCCACATGTAGTGGGGAACAAAGTCTGCGGGAAAGTCTGCGATCCATCGATATAGGGCGGATAGATATGAGCGGCCGTGTAAGAACACGAAGGCACAGTGAGTGAGGGTACCGCTGATCTTTTCAGCGGCCTTCTTGGGAACTTGGCGAGTGGAGTAAGCGTCCAGGAAGAAGCGAAGACGGTGGACATATTTGAGACGCTTTGCCTCTGGAAGAGCGACAGTACGAGCAGGAAAGTTAAAGGTATAACCCACATAGTCCTGTACATCGGCAAAGTCGGATCCTTTGCTTTTGTGCCAGGGTATGTTAATGGGACCGATGTAGTCCTTTGCTGATTGGATGTCATAGCGGTACCGGAATGGAATGCCGTTGGAGATACCAATGAAAGGTCCATCTGGATCTGGGACTCGAACGACGAGGAAATCGTCGACCCATTTCCATGTGGGACCAATCTTCGCATGGTTCCAAATGTCCACGGTAGCATTGGCCACTTCCCCTTGGATGCCAGCTGCAGAAGATGCGCCGAAAGGGAGGTTATGATCTATGTAGAAGAGATCGTGAAAACGCACCACTAAGTAGTGTTTATGATCTGGGAGGATTGGAATCGTGCAGTAAGCACTTTCAATGTCTAGAGAGGCTGCTTGAGTGCCCGGAGGGGCGGAGGCGACCTGTGACAATGATAAGCGGAGGTGCTTGGAATGGGAGGATCAATGGAGGATCAGGAAGGGAGGAAGCGGGTCCGAATGACCCAGAAGTACCACCATGATTGGTAGCACTTTGTGGATAGATCAGAATGGATCTGAAGAGGAATGATGTGCGTCCGGACTGCCCAAATGATACACTCCTCAGCGATGTGTGTCGCGAGGTCATGCAAAGGATAGTAGTGGAGTGGAGAATGCACAGGGAGAAGAAGAGGAGGAGGGAAGGAGGATGTACGAAGGTAGCCACTTGTTCTGCTTTGCCCCAGCGAGTGGGAAACTCTTTCGCGTCAATCTCATCATTGATTGAACGGCCCAGGGTGCCTTTTTAAGAAAGATTGCGGCAGACACGTAACTTGGGAGGATCGCCTGGTGCCCCATCTTTGGTGGCGACCTGAAGCGGCGAGGAACGAAAGGGACCGATTTTGGCTTCTAGCTCTCGCTGCGAGAAAGGTCCACTGAAGCGACCTAGTGCGAGTTCGGATTCAATGTATTCTTTGATGGCATGCTCGTGTTCGTCGGCGCTGGGAAGGTTAGGAGGTGCATAGGTCGAAAGGATGGGGTCAAGTCGACCGAGGGGAAAGCCGTGTTTGATTTTGAACACGAGTTCTGGGTAGTCCTCAAGAAGATTAGCATTGCGCAAGAATGTATCAAGATTGTCAGCTGAATAAGGCGTGATGATTTCGGAGAAGTCTGTGTCTGCGTCGTAAGGTGTTTGGATGATGCTGAGGTTGTCTAAGTATACATGATGGGGAGCTGCAGTATTGGGAATGGGGTCCATGTCCCACCAAGAAAAGGGAATCAGGAGCGGATCAAGCCCCCAAGCATTTGCGACTGCAGGCACCGTGTTCGGTGGATCCGCAGAGTGAACAGGCGTGGATTTCACCTCCTTTGTGGGTGCGTTTGGTGCAGACTCGTTTACCATTGCAGAAAATGTTGAAGTCAACGCAGTATCTGACGTCTGCGTTGGCTCGTTGGACCAATTGTTTGTTGACAACCTTCGAGTGTGTCGACGAATTCGATGACGACGAGTCAGGACAGTTGGGGAAGGTGTGACCGAGCTGTGCGCATGCAAGACAGAGGGGAGGGAGACGTTCGGAGTCGTTGGATTTGTTTGGGGGTCGAAAGGACTTGTCGGAAGTTTGATTCTTCCGAAAGGAGGAGTCACGAGAAGGGTAAGGTTCATGACGGTGACTCTTGAGATTGATTACTGCTTCGCTGACAGCTTTTAATGATTCCTTCCTGGCGACACGACCTTTAATATCTTCGAATTGACGGTAGTACTTAGCTTCGTCGAGGGTTTGGGGGTCTGCCGCATATGATGCGCATTGTTCGATGTCGAATGTTAAGATGGCTATCCAGTTATCTGTGAAGTCAGGGTGTTCACGTAGAATGTCATAGTGATTGGCCCAGCACGTGTGAACTTCGGGGGAGGCATGTTCCTGGAGGAAGCGAAGGTAGCGTGACCAGGCTTCGTGCCATTCTGGGATAGAGATCTCAGATTCTGCGGGGAATTGCGAAATGTCAAGGAGATGACACTTTGTGGGGGCGGAGCCTCGATGGGAAGAGTAGAACGTGATGAATTTGAGCATGGATGATTCTAGGAAGAGTCATCTGGTGATTTTCGAAGTTAGCAAGGAGAAGGGAATATGTTGGTTGTTCCTGGCTAATTCTAAGATGTACGTGTGAATACCATAAACGTCCCTAATGGAGTGCGAACATGGGGCAGAACGCTCTCTGGTGATGTCAAAGATGAGGGAAGGTAATGTGTTTGTATTGGGGGTGGGGACGGTAGTAGTGGCAGTGGAAGAGGGACCTAAGACTGTGTTCATGGAAGATTGAAATGCAGATTGTTTGGACGGGGATAATTTTTGGAAAGCGGCAAGCATACTAGACATATTAATAGTGGTGGCAGTAGGTGTAGGAGTAATGGGTCTCGAGGAAGATGAAGTGGAGGAGACGGTGGGTACTTGTAAGGATGTAGACATAATGTTAGTCGTAGGAATGCACCTGTTCATGGCAGGGTGATGCATAACCATGGCTAACTACAGGTATTTTGGTTATGCATGGCTGTAGCTAATCCCCAGACCCATGTATTTTATGCATAATGGTGCCTGCACCTCATTGATCCTTCCCACAATATTTCCACACCTCATAGCTTCGCATTTTTGGCCACCTGCCGTGGGAATTACCCCACAACACCCAAAACATTACCCAATATGTTATACCCCACAATTTCAATTATTCCCACACCCTCCCCACTTCACTGCAGCTTCACCACCACACCACAACAGGTCCCCCTTTATATACAAGTAGTTTAGTATATATGTGTACAATATAATATAATAGACTGCTTTTTTTGTTTGTTTGTGTCACTGCTCCTCCTCCAGGAGCAATTCAACATAGGGTAGGGTACAGAACACTTTCGCATTTTTGCCCCTTTGGTGGGGAAGTGTTCTATTATATTCAGAACATGTTTAGGAGTATATATGAAGATATTTCCATCTTTATTTGACCCCCTGAAGCGCCCTACATCAATAGATATAGCACATATGCAAGAAAACACAGAATATGTTCTCATTTAATTATTTCTGGGTGGACAGACTTGGAAAAATTATTTCCAGAATCTATTAAACAATAGTAACAATGTATCAGAAGCCCAGGACCATAGGACAAGACCTTGTTGTGTGGTGCATCCCCCCTCTCCTGGTGGTTCACCCCCTGTGAAAAATTTTCCTGAAGGACCGGACCTTAATTGAGGTGAGGGCTCTATTTCTATGTACACTTGGAGTAGATACATCATATAGCTGGCCCAGGACACACATAGGATCTTGCTACAGGAACAAAAACATAGAAAATCCCACTTTTGATACTTTTGATGTTTTGAGTGCCTTACTCTTGCATAAATAATCCAGCCTGATCATATATCATTAGCATAGCATATATACTTGCTTTATATGACACAGATCAGCTCAAAATAGGCTGAAGATTTGGCTAGTGTGGATGCTTGCTATTTCTACTGATAAGGAGCCTATACTTTCAAAACATCGAAATTTAATAATCAGACACCTGGAGTAGATTTCAAATATATTTAGTATCATATGTCTACATTTACAAAACAATCTATCAAGAATTGAGTGCTGAGGAAGTGAAATAGATAAGAAATTGAGTGTGGGAAAGTTCAAAGACCCAAAACATCGAAAATGGTCAGTTGGGTAGTAGTAGGACTTTAATACTGAGTTAACTCAGATATACACCACATCCCTTCCACCACCCTCCAACCTCAGGGCAGTATGTAGTATAGGTTCTTTAGTAGTCTACCATGTATCCTACATATTTTCAATGAAATATCTGACCTGTACCATATATAAATGTGATTTTGTGTACAAAGATGTCAATTGTCACTTTTCACACATATGTCATTTTACTTGTCATTCAGTCAGTCCTTCATGGATCTTTCTAAAACTTCAGATTCATTATCAGGGACATATAAGAGAGGTATTACAGGTCTCTGATTATTTATCACAGGCTTGATTACTATGTAGGATTCTTATCAGTAGAAATACCCCCTATACATCAGATATCACATTTGCGCCCTATGTGGGGCTGATCCTTGGCATAGAACATATGTGGGAATGTACTACTGATTATATATGAGCAGAACTGGTCATTTATGCAAGAGTAAGGCACTCAAAAACATCAAAAGTATCAAAAGTGGGATTTTCTATGTTTTTGTTCCTGTAGCAAGATCCTATGTGTGTCCTGGGCCAGCTATATGATGTATCTACTCCAAGTGTACATAGAAATAGAGCCCTCACCTCAATTAAGGTCCGGTCCTTCAGGAAAATTTTTCACAGGGGGTGAACCACCAGGAGAGGGGGGATGCACCACACAACAAGGTCTTGTCCTATGGTCCTGGGCTTCTGATACATTGTTACTATTGTTTAATAGATTCTGGAAATAATTTTTCCAAGTCTGTCCACCCAGAAATAATTAAATGAGAACATATTCTGTGTTTTCTTGCATATGTGCTATATCTATTGATGTAGGGCGCTTCAGGGGGTCAAATAAAGATGGAAATATCTTCATATATACTCCTAAACATGTTCTGAATATAATAGAACACTTCCCCACCAAAGGGGCAAAAATGCGAAAGTGTTCTGTACCCTACCCTATGTTGAATTGCTCCTGGAGGAGGAGCAGTGACACAAACAAACAAAAAAAGCAGTCTATTATATTATATTGTACACATATATACTAAACTACTTGTATATAAAGGGGGACCTGTTGTGGTGTGGTGGTGAAGCTGCAGTGAAGTGGGGAGGGTGTGGGAATAATTGAAATTGTGGGGTATAACATATTGGGTAATGTTTTGGGTGTTGTGGGGTAATTCCCACGGCAGGTGGCCAAAAATGCGAAGCTATGAGGTGTGGAAATATTGTGGGAAGGATCAATGAGGTGCAGGCACCATTATGCATAAAATACATGGGTCTGGGGATTAGCAACAGCCATGCATAACCAAAATACCTATAGTTAGCCATGGTTATGCATAAATATGACAGCATAGCCTGAGGAATGGGTGAGGCATTGGAAGAGGAGGTGGAGGCGATTGCAGGGCTGTTGGTTGACTGACGATTAGTGAGGACGTTAGCGAAGGAAGGGGGAACAACGAGAAGAGATTCGTCGTTTTCTACGTTGGTGTCGCCTTGGTTGCGACGCGTTTGACGCGCTTGATTACGCGTTGTGATGCTTGTGTTCTCGGCGATGATTTGATCGCGGGAAAGAGACGTTCTACCGATAGGGGGATTAGAGTTAACCATCGTGGTGAAGATATCATAAGACTGAAGTGTAGTGGTAACGGAGTGAAAAAATGACTAAAAATCAGAGCCGAGTGCCAGAAGGTGGTGGTACGAGGCGAAAAGATTCAAGAGACGTTTAGACAGAAGCGCGCACTTATCTATATCTTAGCGCACGGGCCTGCTGCTATGAGAGTGCGGGAAGTGTCAGACAGATTTCACGTGCGGCTTACAAAGCCCTAGATCAACGTGGTGTCCTCGCAGGCTCGTATACACGTTGATCGTCCACTGAGACGTGTCTAGTTCCCGTGATCTGATTCAGAGTCCTCGCTACCCAGATAATAACCGGAATCCGACGTGACAGGGGTGTCGCCCTTTTTTGAAATTGGCCTCCATAGGGGTACTATATAGTCAGTTACTCTCCTGACTTCTCGCTCTGGGAAAATCTTCAATTCAACAGGTTCTTCTTCACCGTCATCTCATTCAATTGAGTTGAGTCCCATTGACTGCTATCCATCCACAAGATGAAGTTTAAATCAATCAGTACTATCCTCCTCCTCACTGCAACAGCCGTGCCCGCAATCGCAGGCCCAATCGGATACGCCATCTGTCAAACCGGTAAGGTTGACGAACACGATCATCGTGTAGCTGTCTCAACTTGTTGCGCAGGCTGCAACGGCATCGCTGTTGCATGCTACTCTGCAGCCGGTTTTACATTCGGCGTCGCACCGCCTGCAGCCCCTCCCGCTATTATAGCTTGCAATACAGCACTTGGGGCATGTATGGCAGCTTGCGCTGTAGTCGCGTTTGGACCCACTCCCTGAGCGAGTCCATTCGTGAATGCGGCGAGAAGAACAAACACGTCCAAGGCTTGTTTGTAACGTCTTCTTTTGACACTAGTGTATTATTAGCTGTCTGTTTTTTGTGAGTCGACGTTCTACTAGTATTCACGTATTGTATGATTTGTATCAGTGTGTCGGATCTTCGACTGTACAAAGTACTTCTATCTTACCGTCGTTCTAACTGTTTCTCACAAGTAATGTTTTCGCTGCCTGGAATGTAGCATATGTTGACACGATTGAGCGCATCCATGGTCGTTGCGATGGACAGAGCTTTCGACAGTCATTACATAGTACTACGTAGATACTGATTGTCAGAGGATCTTTAGTGAATTTCAATTTCGTTCCTCGCTATCACGTAGGTTGTTACTTCACTCACTTGGCAGACCTGAATAGACAAACGGAAAAATATACCGTGTATGCAAAGATGCAACAATACAATATTAAGTACTATAAATCACAGGAATATTTCGAGGAAGCGCAGAGACTAGATCATATCCACCAATTGATTCGACACAGCTCTGTGTAACGAGCGAGCACCCTCCGATGGAACATAACTTGGCAGCGCTTTCATCACAATTGCCTCCACATCTTGAGGAGTCAGGGTCTTCTCAGCGTTGCCAGTGAGAGAGTACACCGCTTCAGCGGCGATTGCCATTTTTTCTTCCAAGGTGAACGGAATAAAAGGCAACACGGTGGTAACGCGAGACAAAAGTGAAGCCTGGAAGAGACAACATCAGGGAGTCCGTAAAGGATCTGACCAATTCAAGCACTCACTCCGAGGCATTCCGAAACAGGAGGTCTCGAAAGATCCATGAGATCTCGGTACTCTTCTCGAGTGATGGGTTTGCTTGGATCTGGTCGGGAATCACAGTGCTCAAATACAAGGTTATGGCCTATATTGGACGTTCCAAGCCAAATCACTTTCGTGAGATCAACATGTCGCTTTCCTACTTCAAGGGAACATCGGCCTTTAAAAGAGTAAAACATTGTCGCACTCATAATGTTATATGCACTCACCAAGCTCCCAAGGCATGAGAAGAGAATATAACGCCTTTGGATCTTCTACCTTTTCGATCTCCTAAGGTAGAAATGAGTAAATTTTGCGGAACAAGGTTGAGAAGAACGTACGTCTAGCACGACTACGCATCGCTCGCCTTCGTTGTTAAGCAGAAATTGGGCCAAAGTATCTGAGGAAGGTTCCTTCGCGAAAGTATTTATTAAGGTGTATTCCATCGACAAAGAAAACATGACAAACCTCATACGGACTCATAGAGTATGATTGCCATAGATCGTGCGTGGAACGCAAGGTGGTCATGTTAACGGTATGGGTAGGAATATCCAAGAGACTTCCAACTGCAAAAAAAAACAATAAGTTGGAGGGGTAACTCGTAAAGATGAGTTACAGACATTTGCGGGCCAGTAAGCTTTTCCCATGACCGCTCGGACCTAGGGGAGGTATAACAATGCACCTTGTGCTTAGCTGGAGAACATACCGCAAAGCAGAACCACGATGGGAGCCACTGACAACCGTTGAGAGTGCATACTCAACACCCTAAAGAGTTGTTCTAACACCCAGTCTTGACCGATGAGATCATATCGAACTCTTGTGAGGGGCCGGAAGAATGAGCGATATATAAGCTGAGATGTTTGTCGAGTATGTGTTGAATCGGCTCTGGTAACGTAGTATCTAAGAATCGAATGAGCAAACAGTGAAAAAATATCGAGAGGCACTAAGTACCTCGTAGCAGGATCCATTCCTTCTGGCATCGTCTCTCCAGGCTGTGAATGTGAGCCTGAACCACCCTCACTTTCCTCCGGTGACGCTTGTGCAGATGGATTCAATTTTGGATTCCGCAACGCCGATGGATCTGCGCCATAGGCTAACAAGGCCTTGACAATTTCATTCTTGTGCGACAGCTTGTCGTTTGTCAAAGTAAAGGCCAGGGCGGACTGAGGACCAACTTGGTCGTTTGGTCCAGCTTCGCCACTCTCGAGCACCTGTCGCACTTCATTGACATCATCGCTCGCAATGGCAAACAAGAGAGTCGGCTTTGGCGTCGCTATTGCATGAACTGGAGCTTCTAGAACGGACGAGGATCGTGGAGGAAGGCCGGAGACGGAACGACGAATCGTGCGATTGTATTTATCGGTATCTTCCTCCTCTTCATTGTCGTATGTCAAACTAAGAGTTGACAGTCGGCGTGTCGAGGGGTGGAGCGGCTGATTAACATCATGAGAGTCTCCTCGATAACGCGAAAGGCGCCAAGATGGAGCCTGTTGAACTGGTGCAGAGTGCGACTGCCACTCCCTCTGCGCAGGATGAACAGGAGACGAAGGTGTAGGAGTAAATGCAAGCAATGATGAAGTAACATGAACGGGTGTGAGGGTGTTGTGAATATGCTCGGGAATGCTTGAACATGGTGAAGGCAGCTGCCCACAGAAATCAGACCGGTACCAAGGGCAAAAACATTATGAGCTTACGCACCAGTGAATTATACGATAGCGAAGTACTAGATGATACATTGGGCGAATGAGGTGAAGACGAGTTGAAGATATGATCTATATTCAAGAATGAGTACTACAATCACCGAAAAGGAATTCAAAATAGTGACCGGATAATATATTAGACATGATGGACGAGGACGAGGATACAGACGACCTCGGATTAAGCAAACTAGACTGAAGGAGAACTTGAGTGACGATGTACATGAATTACTGTCATTTGATAACTCACCAGCTTGAGAGGTTTTAACCCAGTAGCGGATGGTTCTTGTTGCAGTTCAATGGGAGATAGGAGCCGGTCGGCCAATGGTAGGTTCGGTGGAAAGAAATCGAGCTGCTGCTGGGCAGCGTTCGCACTGGCGGCGTTACTCTCTCGTCTCGCTGCTGGATGAGAGACAGGTGAAACGGAAGAGGGCTGAGTACGCTGCAATGGCCTTCTGGCTACAAACTACAGGGGCATGAGTAACGATCAGACAATGTCGCTTCAGAAGCTTACCTGTGGATTGAAACGTCGAAAACCCAACGGCACCTTTGTGCTCCCTGCTTTGCGCGACGGAAGATTTGATATTACTGGAGCGGAGAGAGAGGGACTATTTGCTGTAGACGAAAACCCGTCTGTATGGGAGGAGAACCATCGCTTCGTATCACGTCCATTCGAGAGAGATAGAATGAGTGGTAGACTCTGAGCAGTAGACGATGAGGATGGCTGAGCCTCAATGGTCGATGGAATGCGTATTGTAAGATTCAATGGAGCTCTAAGTGTCGCAGGGGACCCCATCCTAACTAACACAGAAGAATGTTTCTCCTCATGATCATGTGTCGTTGATTCAAGAACAGATGCCGAATGTAGATCCGGAGATTCCCCCGTCTCATGGGCTAGTTTCACGTTAGTAGCCTCCATACTTGGCAAGTGTGCATCCACGTTTCGATCGTCAAGTGCTTGCAGGAAGTCTGCATGTTCGTCCAAATTACTGTCGACAAGGTTAGCCGGGGTGAGGGCCATGGGTGACGGAGAAAAGCAAGGAGCACCCGGAGACCGTGAATCAGGTTTCACGGTGGCATCTGAGATAGCACGACTCCTCTGTACAAATTCAATGATCGATGGAGCATCTGCGGAGCTGGAAGTCGCAGCCGAGGAGTCGTTGACAGTACTGGCGTCAACTAGTGATTGGTCGTGAAAATAAGCTGTCTGAATATCCCGTTTTCCCTGAAGTAGGAATGCATCTATGTCATAAGTTCCGATAGCTTGCTCGGCAGGAGTCTCCAAGGCCGCTGGTAAAGATACCATGTCGACCAAGAGGCCTTCAATGCTAGGTTGGCCACAAAGCGCATCGTTCTCGTCAAGTTCAACGGGGCTAACACTCATACCTTCCCCGACGGACAAAACATTTTCTGCGCCACTCCGACGACGAAGGTTGATGGAAAAGTCACCCAATTGAGAACCCCAAGACGTGCGCACGCCGGCCTCGTCGTGATCGAAGTCTGCATCATCAGATAAGAACGCCACAGGAGGCATTGAAGACATGCGCAAAGCCTGTCGGACATCCGCATCCAGAGCATCATGCCAGGAATCACCATGATCATCAGTCTGGACACCTGAACCACTTCCAGTTGTGTCTAGAGCATCCCCTGCAGGCACTAGTATGTCGTCGGAAAGGGAAAATACATGCCCGATGTGGGCTAGAAGTTCACGGGAAATCCTTGGCCGCTCGCTGGGGTGAACAATGGACGACTCTTGACTTTCCGTTGGGTCGCTTGTATGGAGTTGATCTTCGTGGAGTTCACATCGATCCATATTATCATCCCATACCGACGATGAAGTGGACTGCGCTGGTGCAAGACCACTCTGTTGTTGTGGCGAGGGAGGGTGAGAGAAAACGGTTTCTTGAGTCATGTCGTCAACCGTGGAGTCGCACTCAACGGAGAGTATGGACGTATTCGGAGACGAGCAGCCAGACGGGAAAGTACCCACAGATAATAGCGATACCTTTGATGACAATTCTCCCTCCATAAACTCGGTATCACTCGGATACGAGGAAACCGAGGAGGGTGCCATGACGTCATTGACCCTGCTGACGATATCAACGTCGCACGCAGCGGGTTCGGGTAGTGGAGAGGCCGGAAGACTGGAAAATTTCATGCCGACAAGCACTGCTTCCTGAGATGGAAAAATCCCATTGACAGAGGACGGGCGAGTCGCAGATGAAGGCGGAGAAACCAGTGACTTTAGAAGGCTGTCAGTATCAAGAAACGCACATCCAGTGTCATCCTCAGGCACGGAATCAGGCTGAAGTGATGATGCTTCTGAGGTGCTATCATGAATGGGCGCACTCTCGGAAATGAAACCGGATGGCTGTTTTGGAAAGGATGATTCTGCTGGAGGAGTTAAAGGAAGTGTTAACCCCATCCCAGCGAGACGGACGGTAGGGGAGAGAGGCTCTTCGTCGAGATCAGATGAAAGATCATAGGCATCTAAAATAGATAAAGTCGAAGATTCGTCATCGTCATGCTCTTCGGCCACCACTGGTTGGCAGGGGGGAGGTCGAACGCCGCGAACATCATATGACACGCGTCGATCTTGTAACAAAGATACTGAAGCACGGCGAAAGGGAATCGAATCGAATGCAATGCTATTGCGCGTGGAATGAGGTGGAGAATGCGCTAGCAGTGCCGGTCCCGTCCAACTGTCGGCATAGCCCGAGTCGATAGAGTCTTCCCGCTTTAGCGGAAAGTTATAGCTGTACATTGAGAAAGGTCGCAAGCGCGCAGAAAGCTCGACGGGGGACAGAAGGTTGTTGTAAGCTTCTTGTCCAGGGTTGTTCAAGGGCTCCTCCGTAAGGTCATGAGGACATGCAAGGAGCGACAAGACAGAGCTGGCAGTACTCGTAGAAGAGAACCTGGAAGGCGGAGTGGGGAACCGCAAGACGGTCATTGAAGTGGATTGCGAGTTATCTTCTCCGGCCTCTCCGGGGTCCTGTTCCTGTTCTTCTGCCCCATCCTCATCATCCACCACATATGAGGGAAATACATCCCTAGCCTCTTTATAATCATCTGAGTCGATATCATGGCCTGCGAGTATCTCCTGTATCTCCCCGACATCCTGAGGCACTTCAACAACAGAGTCCTGGGTATCACATAAATCTGATTCTTCCATTAACGTAGAAATATCCATGGAAGAAGCGTCCGGGGAGAAACCAACCACAGCGGTTTCTGCTTGGGAATTTTGCAAAAAAATATCGTTCATGCCAACAGGTCGAGGTGTGAGTGTTTCACTGTCCTCCTGAGTAGTTGGACCAATTACATCTTGAAGAACCGAAAGTAAACCGAAATAACGAGAAGTGTCATCCACCGGGCTGACATGTTGGGTAGAGCGTGGACTCGCAGAGTTGACCACGACCGAAGGAGGATTAAGAATGGTCTTTGGAGGAAAAAAAACGCGGGGCTCGATAGGCTGCTCAACGCGCACATCAAAACGCGACTGATTGAGAGGACTCTTCACTTTGATATCGTGAAGGAAGTTGCACGAATCCGCGAACAGACAGCGTCCTTGAGAGAAAAACGGACACGGCCGCGCTAGAAAAGAAAGAAAAATCAAAATATATCCATAGTATATACGTAGGAACACACTTCTCTGGCGCCATGGAGGATCCTGAACTGTCATTCCACTGATTCATCGAATGACCTCGGACGCGGACGGTGTGTACAGAACATTTGCTTCCGTTATTGAACCAAGACAGTTCCCCACACCCATAATAGGAATTACAACGGACCCCAGATACCACCACCCTCCAATGGCTGCCCGTCTCCCCCAACTCGCCCGCCTCATTCTCTTTACTGGCCCAAATTGTTCCCTTTGTGATGTTAGTACTTTTCTTTTTCTTTGTAAAACTTTCTAATTATTCACGCTAGGTTGCAAAACTAGAATTGGCGAAAGTCAGGCAGTCAGTACGTCACAAGTTCTCAACACTCAAATGCGACATACAAGTTGCTAATAAACGAGTAGTATCAATTCGACCTTGAAATAGTCAACATACAGGATAAAGGCCAGGAAAAGTGGAAGAAGAAATACGTCTACTGGATTCCCGCGCTCCATCTGGATGGGAGGGAGATAGCGAAAGGTCGCTGGGATGCCTCCACCGTGCTCGAGTCGATGAGGCAGCGGAATGCGTCGCTGGAAGCTCAGGAGGAAGTTGTCTAGAGAGTAGTCCCTACGGGTCTAATGTCGCCTGCAACTTTTACATCGATACCTCTGGGTCAGCTGGGTTCCAAGAATTGTCACCGCAGTTATGCTTTTATGACAGGCACATCTCCGGTATCCTAGGCGAGAACCGCAGTCCATCCCCTACACTCATTGATGCTCGCTTTTGTTTCAACTGCGGCTCACCTGATCACATCATTGGGTCCTGTCCCGAACCGCATAATCGTCCCCTCATCGCGCTGTCGCGACAACTTTTCAACTTTTTGCGCTCTGATGGGGAAACGAGGGAACCGGGAAGATTTCATGTTGTTGAAGCTTGGAAGAAACAACGGCTTGAATGGTTGGAATTTTTCCAGCCCGGAAAGGTTGTTGGTCCTGCCTTACGCGAAGCTTTGGGCTTGCAGCATGGAGACTCAGGTCATCAGTGTGCATGGCTATACAATATGTCATATTGGGGCTATCCTGCAGGATGGATAAGTGATACCGATCCAAGGGATGCCGTTCGCCAAAGAATTTTAGGAGACTTCGACACTGTGATACACGGTCATCCACTTGAAGATGCCGATGACTCCTTCCTCGTAATTAGTGGCGAAGAGGACCACGAGGTGATCGACCTAAGTCTTGCAACGTCTTTTTACTTCAAATCAGGCGGGGACGAAACACCAGTTGTCGATGATACTTTGTCTGCCAGCTCTGAATCGGAGCTCCACTCATTGACACCCCGTAGGTGGGCAACATACCCCAATGATTATTTTTCCTCAGACCACCTCACTGTCTACAATGGAGCGACATTGGTATCATCGGACACCGCCACTTCTCGTCCCAGTAATACTTTTACCGCAGAAAGAAGAGCTCTTTGGGAGCAAATCATATCCGGAACTCAATCTGCCAATGCACTTGTTCTTCCTTGGAGATTACCTGGGGCATTTTCTTCGTTGCAATCACACATCGAGTACCAACCACCTCCACCACCTTCCACCCCCCCTCCACTGCCACCTTCTCTACCTTCACTTCCTCCGCCGCCTGCACACCCTCAATATTGTGCACTCATCACTGCCACAGAGGATGACTCAAATGACAGCGACATGGACATGGATCTTTCAGATAATGAATAGCGCGCTTTACCACTGCGCTAGCATGCTCTCGTACTTCACAAATCATAGCGGTATCATATGAGTCAGTAAACTCTATGACGCTGCTTGTGTTTGAGATTGAGTACATGAATTTATCTTGACGATAATATAGATGGATGCTAAGGACATTAGCCTAGAGTCTGGTCGACAACTTGTCATCTATGTCAACTCATGAATCAAATTCACTGTAGTATGCCATCATCGCCACCGACGGCCAGACTGGCCAAAGTGCTTGATCATCGAATTCCTCCTTTCCAACCTGTTCAGGACGAAGTTCTAAGAACTGTCTTTTACTCTATCAGAATGACGTGAAGAACGACAGAATGCTTGGTTTACATCTCTGCCGAGCTAATTACGCCTGAGCTGCCTGTGATTCTGAGCCTTCGTCGAGCGGTGTTCGGGTAATTGGATAGGGTCATGGTCCATGCTGTTGGGCACGGCTTCGAGGGGTGAAGAAGTCCGTTCCATTCCATCTGTCCAGACAAGGAGGCGATGGAGTTGAGTGGTACTTCAAGTTCATGTCCAGTTCTTGTATACCCTCAAGTTATCCGCGTGGAAACAATTCCAGATAGTACAGTACCGACGGTATGAGTGTATGTAAACATAAAATCTTTGTGCACTCCTAAACGTTTTGCGAGAGCGAGCCCATTAGGTAGAAACAGAACGAACGAAATCCAAGATGGTAAACAGGTGTTAAATGAAATTTGTAGGATGTGCATAAATGTCGATTGACATAAGGACATGCTAAAGCAATGCAGCCTGCTACTGTCCGCGTCGGCCTTCCCCCGCGCTCGTGAGACCAGTTGGCTATGGTATGTGCGATGGCTGATTTGCCTTTCCCCGCAGTGCCAGACAACCACAAGACGCGTGGCACGTCTTCACCCGTGCTACGGATCCAGCACTTGATCTCGGATAGAATATATTCCCGAGTGCCTGAGAGACAGTTCTTAGTATTCCGTCCAGCACCAGCTACGTATTCCATGCCGCTGACGTCTAGGTCCTCAGCTAAATCATGGGCATCAAACTTCAGAGAAGGATCAGGGAGAACTCAAAGTTAATCGTACCAATACGGTGGACGGTTTCGATGGTGGTGAGGGCCATTTGATCTCGGAATTGTTGCATGAGATTATCGAGAACCTCGTTGTAACATTGCATCGTGGCCTCCGTTTCACTCAAGACATGTTTGCCAAGTCTTCGCCCTATGAAGAGCTAAATATTGGGCGACATTGCATTGTGATGAAAACACTCACAAAAATTCTGCATGTCCGAGTAATGGATGACAAAGTCAGCACACTCCAACGTCTGTCGCGCAATCTTTCCATAAATCTCTAGCATGGACGAAATCCTAGCCAATCTGTCCCCTTCCACTAATAAAACATAGATGTCCGAGATTTTCGAGAGTAGACGGGACACAGCAGCATCTCGGTCCGCCTGGTCGAGAATCATCTGTCGCCCATACAGTGTTATTGACTTGCGAAGCGTAAGAATATAAAATTGAGCACACCTTGGACGCGAAGGTGAAGATACTCAATGCCACCTTCGCATATGGATGGACCTACGCACAAAGATCAGCTACACACAAAATTGAGATAGAAACCCGTACGTCCGCAAGCCCCGTAACAACGGAGTTAAACACTCTTAATGGTGCGAGAACTTGGGAAAACACGTCGATCGTATCGGAAGCAGATTGTAGGTTGTCGGATGCTGAAGCAGTATTTTCTACCATCCCTGAGACATGTTTGATGCCGTCGAGATGTGTCTTGGCATTCGCAAGCTTTTCCTTAACAAGCTTCAGGTCAGGTTGTTCAGACTGACGAGAGAAGTTAGTCTATGATCAAAAGAAAGATCACAACATTACGAACTGTGATAGTCAAACTTGTGTTTACAACGCCCACATCGGAAGACTGGTCAGGATTTGGTTCAGGAGGGATAGTGGGTGGTAGAAGATCCTGCGGCCGTTACTGGTTAGATCGCACATGGAACACGCCAAGAATTGTATATACCTGGCTTGTCTGAAGGTGTAGGGGATCCTGTGCGCTAGAACCCGCGACTGTGGGTTCAGGGTTGGGAGACTGTCGAGCGCTTCGAGTAGACTTGTGAAATGACTTGGGAAGAAACCTTGATAATCCATTCCTCGAAGGTGAGAGACTGGACGGCTACAATCATGATTAGAAACAACAGTGTAGCTGTAATGGCGAAAATCTATACTTCACTAGCTGTCCTCCGGCCTCTCTCCTCTGCCAACTGAGGGTTTGAACGACTTCGCTTCAGCAATCTCCAACGCTTCTTACGAGCAGGATTCCCTTCACTCATCGAGTATGTTGGAAGGACGGTCGAGTGTAAGTTTTAAGAGGTTTCTTAGTAACAAGGAAGGTGGTGGATGGTACGCAGGGTAAACAGGCAGCTGCCGAACATGTGTTTTGAAGCGCCCAATATCGATTGGCTGGACTAGTATATCGATGCACATGCTGGAAGTTCGGAACCTTATCGATGACTGAGGTGGATTGATCAAGCAATAGGCCATCAGAAAACCTCGCCGTTGTTGGGTGCAAATACTGGTGCAGTGATGCTCACGAGCCACAGTATTGGAAGGACAAAGTTCATTCACCACTACAGACTAGTCACTGGTCAGCAAAAAGACGATGACAATGGAGTGGGCAGCTGAGTAAGCTTGCGCGCCTTTATTTGCCTATGTGTAATTCATGTTGTACTATAGTTGACATTATCAAATCAAACGTTCACCGTCACCTTCAATCTCGAGCTGTATTTCCTGGATAAACCAATAGACTCCATCCGCTTTTGAAATTTCACTTTTAGACCAAGGCGGTCCACTGTGCTGGGGAAGGAGATGTGATTTGGGAGGGGGTGGGTTCTAAAGCGGTTCAGGAAGCTGGATAGTAGGCAGGTGGGTGGGTAGTTGGTTGATGATAGTGCTGTTAATTTGTCAGTGCTGTTGCGAGTGGGTGAATCAATCCGATGTGTTTGAACGTACAAATATAGCTCAGCGTGAGTCTATTTTTAGACTCACTCTCATTCTGAATGAGATGTTGCCACCCACATTCCTCCCATCAGTCGACGCCTGGGGATGAGTGCCCCAGTGAACGGATTGGCACCTCCATATAACCTTTTTGCTCACAGTGATGTTGTGCAGTAGGACAATGTACCTATGTAAGTGGCCCTTCACTGTTTTCTCCTAACTGCATGGAGGTTGATGATGCACTCCTAGTGATGAGCATAATATTCGCATTGTAGGGACGAGGACGACTCGCTCCAGTTATGGTTTTCCTTCTAAATTTTATATGCGATTTAGATCTGTAACAGCAATCGAATATGCTATCCATTTTGATATCCTGCTGTGCCCCCAGTAACTTATCAGCCCAACGTGATCATGCCGCGTTGCTACATCACTATCCTTTACAAACCAAAATCCTTTTGAAGCAGGCATCGCAAAGCATCATGCATCATGACGGAGAGCCTTTTACTAAATATCAAAGACGTGTGCGGCGGCGATTGGTCTTGTTTTGTAGCTCTATACCCCGTCCTAACTTACATATGGTATTACAGAAACTTTGAACCTCTAAACAGTAGTCGACGCCCAGACATAATTTTCTAACACCAACTTCCACACGCAGCTTCGTCTTCGTCTTCGTCTTCGTCTTCGCCTTGCCTCCTCTGATCACCATCGCCTACCTATTTTTCCGCCCTTCCTTCCCGTGAGTGCGCATCGTAAGCAAAGTATTCCTTAATATGCTCAGGGGAGGCTGATTGCGGACAAGCAGCTGCTCACACCTGACCTGCCTTGAGAGTTGTTTGGGTAGTTGAATGATATCACGATCTATATTGTTGGACACGGCTTCGAACTTAATTGCGGTGGAAGCAATGAAATCTGGCGAGGGAAGAGGATGGAGCTGGATGAGGTGAAATGACCCTTGTCGAGTGGTGACATCGAGTTCTGACTTGTACAGTTTAGTTTGTGAGGAGTAAACGGGGAAGCAATTCTAACGCGATGGGAGGACAGCATGTAAACATAGTGAATGAAATATTCGTAAAGCCCTAAACTGTTTTGCGATCCCATTAAGTAGAATGGAATGAATGAAGTGCAAGATGGTAAACAGGTATTGTATGGAATTTGTAGAATGGGAATGAAACTTCAGTCGAGCAACATAAGTACATACCCAAAGTCCAACTGACAGATACAAACGTGAAGACAACGCGATCTACTGCTGTTCGCAACACTTGTGCCATGACGTGCCGTGTACGACACGACTCAAGTCCAGCTGGAAGGCATTGTTGGCTATCACCAGCGTGTTGCCTGGGGCATACACCACCGGGTAGAAATTGAGCGGGATCCAGAGGAGAAGTCGGCCTTCGGGACCTACAATCCATCCCTCCTCATTCAGGCTGGGAAGGGCTGGGGTATCGGACTCGGACTCGGAGGATGAGGGTGAGGCTGGGACTGGGGCTTTAGACTTGGAATCTTGGAGAAAGGAGGAGGCGGAATGAAGGGCATGAGTCATGTCGGATGAGAAACATTGTACGTGCTTCAAATGATTCGTGCTGCCGGATTAGAAATTCTAGATCCCACACCCGGATGGTCTTGTCGTCTGACCCAGACACGATGCGTTTGCCATCAAGCGAAATTGCAACAGACCGAACGTATCCGGTGTGCCCTTGAATAGTGGCTACTGCCTCACCGGTCTTCATATCCCACACCCGGACAGTCTGGTCATACGAGCCAGACACGATGCGATTACCATCCGAGGAGATCGCAACAGTGTAAACCCAGTGAGTGTGGCCTTGGAGAGGGGCGCCCACTTGCTTGCCAGTCCTCATATCCCACACACGGATAGTCTCGTCTGCTGAGCCAGATACAATGTGACATACATCTGGCGAGATTGCAACAGACATGACATAACTAGTGTGACCTTGGAGATGGGCACTCGATGCTTCGCTAGTCCCCATACCATCCCACACCTGAATTGTCCCGTCATCTGAGCCGGACACTATGCGATTTCCGTCCGACGAAATTGCGACAGACCGAACCCAGCCAGAGTGCCCACTGAGAGAATATACCTTGCCAGTCTCAATATGCCACACCCGGATTGTCCTGTCAAATGAACCAGACACGATATAATTTCTATCCGGCAAGATTGTGACAGACGGAACACGGTCAACGTGACCTTGCAGAACACCCAATGCCTTCCCAGTTGCCGCATTCCACATACGGATGATCTTGTCGTCTGAACCAGACACGATGCTCTTTCCGTCCGACAAGACTGCAACTGACATAACACAGTCTGTGTGCCCTTGAAGAGGGGCGACCAATGCCTTGCCAGTCTCTATATCCCACACCCGAACTGTCGTGTCACCTGAACCAGACACGACGGAACATCCACTGGGAAAGATTGCAACAGAATTAACAGGGCCAGTGTGGCTTTCGAGTGCGGCAACTGATGGCTTGCCCATAATGGTGTCGGCATTCCACACCCGAATCGTCTTGTCGGGCGAACCAGAGACTATGTGACTTCCACCTGGCGCGATTGTGACAGACAGAACCTCAGAAGTGTGGCCATGGAGAGGGGATCCTACTGCCTCGCCAGTCTTCACATCCCACGCTCGGATCGTCTGGTCATATGAACCAGACACGATGCGGTTTCCATCCGAAAAGACTGCGACTGATATAACAGCGTGAGTGTGGCCTTTGAGGGGGGTACCGAATGCCTCGCCGGTCTCCATATCCCACAACCGAATTGTCGCGTCTTCTGACCCAGACACAATGTGTTTACTATCAGGCAAGATTGCGACAGATAAAACACCTCGAACGTGGCCTTGAAGAGGGGCGCTCAATGCCTCGCCGGTCATCATATCCCACACCCTAATGGTCATGTCTTCTGACCCAGACACGAGGCGTTTCCCATCTGGTGAGATTGCGACAGAGTAAACAATGCCCGTGTGGCCTTGGAGTGGGGCACCAAACGCCTCGCCAGCCTCCATGTCCCACACCCAAACTGTCTTGTCCCGCGAACCAGACACGATGCGTTTACCATCTGGTGAGATTGCGACAGACCAAACCCAGTGAGTGTGGCCTTGGAGGGGAGATCCTAATGCGTCGCCAGTCTTCGCATCCCACACCCGGACTGTTTTGTCCCATGAACCTGAAACGATGCGATGTCCATCTGGCGAGAATGCAATGGACGCAACACATTCAGTGTGGCCTTGAAGAGTGGCGCACAATACTTCGCCAGTATCCATATCCCACACCTGGATCGTTCCGTCATATAAACCACACGCAACGCGTTTTCCATCTGGCGACAGTGCAACAGATTGAACCTCGTCATTCGCATGGAGTATCTTTTCCATCTGAGGCCAATTTTCGACATGGCCAGCGACGATGCGGGGGGTGCAAGGAAACTTCGAGGCGAACTTGCGGAACATTCTTGACTGCGTAGGAGCAAATGGCAGAGCGGACAAATATAAATGGGGAGTGCTGCGTAAAATGGTGGCTGCGAAAGTTCGGACGAAATGCAGGGTATCCCTGGTGGCGTCACTAACGTGCGTGAACTCAGCATAACCCTACGACCACCCCGCTAATCGTGGGAATTCGTTGGGAAAAGAATGAGCTAGAGCTACTCACCGAAAACCACTTTGCGATGGATGAGAGGGTCACTACTGAGCCACCGAGGTTTTTTGTTAGAGCCAGTGCTTCCAACCACCATAGAAGGCACTCTCCTTCGAAGAAAGCTTCAACTTCATTGGCTAGCGATGATTCGAAGGACATGGTTGCTACATGCATACCCCAGAATCGACACGAGTATGATAGCTGCCTCGAAATAGAGTCCTTGACCCGCGTCTCCAAACCAGGGACGGAAGAGTTGGGTAAGTAAGAATTCTCTAAGGAGCAAATGTTGAAGCGAAGTCCGTCCCTCATGACCCGAAGGGAGGCAAAGGCGAGGTCGCCCTGTACCGATGATGTATCAATGAAGAAGTCGTGGCTCCGCGATTCCTCTGTGAGAAAGTCGTAGAAGGACGCGTGGAGGGGACGTATGGGAGTATGGGAGTCCGAAGTGCCCGTCAAAAGGGATCCCAATGGCCCAAGGACCCGTTCCATTTCGTAATCACAAGTCCCTTCGGGAAAATAAAGTCACATAGCCATCAACGCAGGCATGGGAAGTGGTTCCAACGAGGCAAGGACTTGTCCCATCACTGAGAAAAACACCGGGATAGCTTCCTTGCGCTCGTCCTCCGGCATGATTTCTTCCAAGATGCGTGCATACATATTATCCAACAGACGCGTCCCTTTTTCAGACGTTCCAGTCATCACAGCTTTGCAACGCCCCACCGGACCCACACCCACTTTGTTCGTACCCTTGATGTACTCACAGGCGAGACGAGCCCATTCAAACAGGCCATCAGATTTCAGAGCGAGCGCCTTGAAGTGCGCATCGTTGAAGATGTGGTGCAGGTCTTCGAGCTTGTGGGAGATATACAGTTGTATATCGAGTTCTGTGGATGCAGACGAGATACCATCCAAAGAAACGTGGCGAACATGTGGCGCGGTGTGCAAAGTATTCTGAATGTCTTCGAGTGGACGGGAAGTGAGCAGAATGCGGAAGTTCGCTGGGAGTTTGCATGGTTGTGAGGTGGAAGTGTTCAGTTTGCCAGCGAGCAGACGAAGAATTTGCTCCCGAGAGTTAGCATCGCCGCTCTCGTCTAACGCATCGATGACTATCAGCACGGGTGCAGCGATGGACTTTGAAGCTAAGTCTGTCGATCCGACGATGAGTTCCTGCCATTGCTTTATGATATCTGGAGTGCGCTTGAGTCCGTTGTGATCACGGACTGCTTGCGCCAAGGCTCGTCGCACGATGGGGTTGCAGTCCGCCAATTCCCTTGCGATCGTCGTGAATATTTTGTCTTGACGCCGATCCGCTTGCCGAGTGCGATCGAAGCAGAAGCATGAGCCAAGACCACCGTTTTCGATATACCAGTTGGCTATTGTATGGGCGACAGCCGATTTGCCCTTGCCTGCTGTGCCAGACAACCATAGAACACATGGAGCGCCCTCCTCGGTGCTGCTGATCCAATTCTGAATGTCCTTCAAAAGGTCTTGCCGAGTATTTGGCAGACAGCATTTAGACGTATTCAATCCGACACCCGTTGCGTACTCCATCCCTGCGAGGTCCAGACTCTCAGCTACGCCAGGAGTCGTGGAATGTCAAATCAGGCTCAAATATACCTGAAAGCTTCTCTTACCCATACGGTGGACGATCACGACGGTGTCACGAGCCGCTCGGTCTCGGAATTGCTGCATGAGACCGTCGAGAACATTGCTGTAGCTCTGAATCGTCGCGTCCGTTTCGCCGAAAACGTGCTTGCCGAGTCTTATCCCTATAAAAACAGGAAACATTGAGTCCCAGGCGACGAAGCAATGGGACCAACTCACAGGCACTCTTCGTCTCGGAGTAATGGCTGATAAAATCAGCGCACTCCAGTGTCTGCTGCGCTATCTTCCCATATATCACTAGCATGGATTGGATCTTGGCCAATTCCTCCTCTTCCGTGATGAAAGTATAGACTTCAGATATCTTTGAGAGTAGACTGGAAACCGCAACGTCCCGGTCTGCCTGATCGAGAATCATCTGTAACCGAAAAATTGTCGATCTACAACGGCAATGAACGAGAAAGAAGCCTACCTTGGACGCGCAAGTGAAGATACTCAGTGCCACCTTGGCGTAGGGATGGACCTGCGTGTGAAAGTCAGTCATGTACAGAAATGAGATAGATGACTGTACATTGGCAATGGAGTTGAATGCCTTCAAGGGTTCAAGCAATGCGGAGAACGTGTCGATTGTATCAGAAAAAGATGGTATGTTGTTGATCGCGGAAGAAGCATCTTGGACTACTGTTGGGACCTGGCCGATGCCTGCGACACCTTTGGTAGCATTGGCGATTCTTTCGTTCACAAACTTCGGGTCGAGATGTTCGGCCTAAGTAGAGACGTCAGCACGTTGTCGAAAGAGACGAATGAAGATATTGCAAACCTCGATGGTCGAACTTGCCTCTACAATCCCTGAATCGGAAGTGGGAGCGGTGAGATCCTGTAGAGGCGATTAGTAGCAAACAATGGCATGCGCTCTGGGCATGCTCAGAATTGAAATTGGACATGCCTTGTTGGACTGAGTGGGTTCAGGGTTAGGGGACTGTCGAGCGCTTCCAGGGAAGCGCTTGGTCACCTTGCCAAAGAGCTTGTGAACGGACCCCGAGGATCGTCCACTGGCCCCATTCCTCGAAGGCGAGAGAGAAGATAGCTGATATGATTAGAAACAAACAATGCGAAATTCTAAAGACGAAAGTTCATACATCTTGACTGGCTGCTTTCCTGCCTGCAGTGTCCTCTACCGAATGTGGGTCTGAACGTGGCTTCAACCACTCCCAGCGCTTCTTCCGGGGAGGATTGTTTTCATCCATCTAATAAGTGGGAAGGATGGCTAGGTGGACAAAGCCTTGGTGAAAATGGAACGAGGAGGGTGGTGTGGCATGAAAGATAGACAGGCGCCTACTGCATGTTTGCGATGAGAATTATTAATGATGGACATGCGCTTAGAGGCGCCAGTTATCGATTGGCTAGACCACTAATAGCATGTGAGATCGTTATCCAAGGCTGAACAAGGTCAATTGAGAAAAAGGTCATGACTCGTGAGTAAGGAAGGGCGAGCGGGGCACGACGAAGAGCAGTTTTGTATGTTCATGCTGGTTGCAGCTGATCGAGATCCCCAAGTACATGTAGGTCAAGCTATGTATAAGAATTGATATCGTGCACGTGTGGTGTCCAATCAGCGATGTAAGTAACGCGTGAGCAGCATCGTCGAAGAATCGACGAAGATGCCATAGGCTGCATCATAGCTAGCTAGTCAGACCATATATGGAAGACAAGAAATTCTCAATATTTGATTAATATTGGAGTATTATGGACGATCACACAATACTACTTAAACGCGCTTATTTGCAAAGTCCATCACAGCTCTAAGGAATTAAGATAAACCACTACTGCACTGATCCATAACCTGATATGCAGTTCTGCTTGGCGATGCTAGCAGAGCCACTACGGATATAGCAGATCCTAGCAGGAATGCATTCGCCCGTGCATGGCGGAGTGAGTATCGAGCCCTTCCCCTGGTATGAATTGAAGGCCTGGAATAAGTGAGACAACAAGTTAGAAACATCTAGTCACGAACTTACCTCCATCAAAGTCGGGTCTACTTCCATCTCTGAAAGAACAAATATATAGCGATGGTGGTGGAAGAGAAGGAATATACGCACGCTCAGTTACAAGATGCCACCAGGTCGCGTTCAGTGGGTCAGTTGCTCCCCAGGTGATGTTTCCTCCATATGCCTCACGAGTACTATACTCGAACTCAAAAGTAGGGCCGAATTGAGTCTGCGAATCCAGCGCAGGATAATCGTTGACATAACTCTTCCAACTACAGGGAACTTGTAAGTACCAGCTGGTGACAGCAGTCTCGAGAAAAACTGACGTATAAGCATCGACCACTTCAAAGGTCTGCGTGGATGTGTAAGCTGGATTTAGCAGACGTAAGTAGGAAAACCTACAGCAGAGTCAATTTCGTAAACGCGGAACCCAGAATTCAGGTTGGTGAGGGGTGTTACAGAGGGCCCAGTCTGGAAGCCAAGTTAGATTGATCGTTACTATAGATCCGTCAAAGGACACACCCATGATACCGCCTGAGCGGTCTCAGCACTTATATTCGTGCCATTATTGGCATAGAAGATCTGGACCAAGAAGATATGTCAGCGTTCCCTTTCTATGAAGTGGCGTCGGCTCATACAGATAGCTGGTCCTCGTGTGTGTGACCCCAGAAAATGTCTGATTATGTGAGTCGTCAAACTGGTTCGGGCATTGTAGAGGAATAACATACTAGCAATAACGTGAGGGGAAAAGCGATCAACACTAGGTATATCAGTTCCATGCAGTGATTTCGACATCCAGCGAACTTACATTTGATAAACTAGTGCAGACGCTGCTCAGCATATTGCACGATAATAGAGAGGTTAAACTTACAGAGATTGGTTGGGTTCGGCATCGAATTTGAACCATCCCAACCACTGACAACATGGCCAATGATCCAGACTGAGCACTGTCAGATCGATTGGAATGTAGTATCATCCATCAGCGCACCTCGGTCTCCCGCATCTTCCGCGTCCTGAAGTTCATCAGTGAGGAACCTTAGTATTCCAGAAACATCTGGTTCGGAAGAGTTGATGTAATTGAAGTAGTTTGACCTTTGCACAGTTTATATCATGAAGCTTTTGACTGTGTCTGGATCATTGATTACATACCTGTACCCTGCAGACAAGTTGGTTAGTGCTCATGCCAGTTAAACATTTTGCCTCACATAGGTTGGTGTCCAAGCTGATTACTCTCAGGCCATCTGCACGCTTCACCATGTATGCTGCATAGTGAGTCCGCGAAAACTCGACGGAAGCCTCCGGAAGCCATCCCTCTTGCTCCCATAACGCTGTAACGTGGTCGTATAGCCTAGTAGATGAGATAAGTATGGGATGGAAATGGATGAGAGAAATCATACCAGCTGAACTGTTGCCCCAAAGCACCTCCTAGGGATGAAGGTGAAGCTTGATCTGGTAGACAAGTATCGTGGTTTCCGAGTGTAGCATAGGTAGGGCCAGATCCGAGCATGCGCTTCAATAGATCATAAAGGACGACCTGTTAGGACACATGCACATGATATGTAACGGTCTAATTTTAAAAACACAAATATTACCTCAGAGTACTCGGTCATAGCCCTTGAAGGGAAGTGAGAAAAGACCGACAATGTGTATAAAACACGTACCTAGACTGCTGGTTATCTGGGTCATGCGCTAACAGGTCGCCAGTGAACAAACTAAAGTCGAAGCCAGTTGATTCAGTTCCGGTCAACGGTGGGATGGCCTCCAATATGGAGGTGATCAATGAATACGGAGCGTCGCTAAAAAGATGTCAGATTGTATTCTTTCAGTGAAGGAGAGCTCTAACCAGAGGAACGAGCCGTATCGTGGTGCAGGAAAGAGGGGTGTCTCAGGGCTGAGAGAATTGTAAGCATTGTCACGACAACACAAACCACTGGTGCAGTTTGCTTCTGCGCCGTTCGCATAACCTGTCAATAGAATATCGGTGAAAATAAACAACGCATACGTGCAAATGCCGCTTACGGGCATCAATATGCAGGTCCGAAAGATGTAGAACTTTCATCAGTTGGCCACTGGGCTGCTTGGGAGGGGGAAGAGGATTTGGCTTCGGCTTTGCAAACCAGCCAGTGAGGTTGAGAGTCGTTATCGTAGGTGCTGGACATAAGCCAAGAAACTCGGAGCAAATCGACTGGGAAACAACATGAGCAGTATTCTTCCGTTCCAGCAACTAATTCTACCTGTCCGTCATATCCTCCGACATCGGCAAAAGATGCAACTTGAGTAAGGATCGGTCCCAAGACGAGAGGTCCATAATTTTTCTCGCAAGAGGATGAATAATCGAAGTACTCGCAAAGCGTCAGAGCGAGATTGGTCCCTTGTTCAGGAGCCGCAAGAGCAAGAAATTTGGCCACTTCTAGGGAAGCCTGGCACCGTGCACATGATGTAGTGAACATTGGGTTTACTGCAATTGACTTGATCTGCGCTACAGCTTGTTGAAGAAGTTGTTGAGAGGACGCCTGGGGTGGAAGTGGGTGAGGATCCACGGTGTCATTCTGTCAAAGCCGGAGGGTCAAAACGATGAAACCGACGCGGCACACATTGGGAATGCAAGTTACCTGAGGAATGTTTTGCGGGTCTGTCAGGGAAAATGGAAAGATTTCATGCTGAAGAGCGAGTTAGTTTCAGTTACGTAGCAGTTACAGCAGAGAATTACTGTGACGGGATCTGAAATGACTGGCTGTGGCTGCGCAGAGGTGGCCGTTGGATTATTGTAGTAATGAGAGTAGAGAGAAGTTGGGAACGCTCCTGGGACCACGTATGAAGAGGGAACAGTACTGGTAGTAGCACTATTCTGGACCGATGAGGCAGCCAGGACGAACTCGGACCCTTGGCCATAGTGACTCCAAGCCAAAGTGGCTAAACCTAAGAAATATCTGATTTTAACAGACATTCCGAGCGTCGTGAAGCAGGAAGATGAACTGCACGTACGTACGAGCACTTCACACCACATTAACCGGCTTTGTTTATTAAGAACTCGCTAAAGTGATCATATGACCTACAGTAGGTCCAGTACTCTCGGACTGGAGATAAATCGGTTGCCACGAACGTTCGAACGCCGCGCGGTTCATTAGGTGCCTTTGCACACGCATGTAGTGCTAAATGAGGAAGTGAACAGGCCCGAAAAGAATGTCATTAAGCTGTGTATGGATAAGTACTTCAGCGCTTAAGCCCGCATACATACCAAGTCACTTTGGCGAGTGAACGTTACTAGTGCTTATATCCCCAGGTTATAGAGAGACGCAATGTTCTGAGCTTTGAATATCCATGAATGTCCAAAGTGAGAGAGAGGAAAAGTAGAATCAGAGGAAGACCATATATGCTTACACACAGGCCCGGTGTTTTTATCTTACATTGCTCTCATTAGTATCATACACAGCTGGTACATTGTAACGTGATCCCTGGTCCTGCTAAAGCAAACCCACCTGCTGCCATTCACTCATTCAAGCTGGTCAATTACTCTAAGCTGTCTGACGAGGATCCGGTATTTTGGCCAAAAAAAATCAATGTTTGAAAAGCATTGTACAACATAACAATCTGTACATTCATCATGTGGGCAATTCGGACACCCACACTCCAGGCATTCCTGGCAATGAACCCTGTCATATGAACCTTTTCCCTGTCCAAGTTTTGCCGAACCTGCGGGCTCAGCGGACACCCTTAAGTTCCATGAGTCTATGTCAAACGTGTGTTGACACGTGACACGGCGGCGCTCACTTTATAAGAGTCCAGATAGGACACTCAATCGCAAAGCAGTCAAACAGAAAGTGTGGCAGGGCTAGTGAACTGAATATGTACATGCCTGGTCGAATTCAGAGTGTTGAACCTTGAATGTCCGGACAGTCCAGTCCTACTGCAGTGCTTTCGTATTGCGCTTTTGTTTCCCGGGGCCCAGTTCCCAAAGCTGCACGTAGTGTCAAGATCTGCTGAGCCCGCTACTCGTTCAACACCAGACTCAGCAAAGTTCCAGGAAGACATCATTCCGGACCCGTTAAGGCGAGGCTTCACCACTAAAGACAATTCGTCGTCTCCATGGCTTATTGCAGATCTCTTGTCCACCCGTGGAATCATCATCTCCTCGAAGCTCGAGCAGTGCCGGCTTCTCCATCACTCTTTCTGTCACTGTGTTTTCGGGAAAAAGGCACTTTCAGGCTTGTGTTGCAACCGGTTCTTTTGACCAAGTTAGCATGTTAACTGGAAGCCCTGGGATAAAATCAACACCCTCACATACATATCTTTGAAGTCGCCTCGAATACCTGAGTTTGGGGTATGTTCACGTTCAGGGAATATCTGCTTCATTCGTTTGTATTCGTTCGTACATGTCCGGCACGTTTCGCAAAAGGAAAGTTTGCGTTCGGGAAGGAATGCGAAAGCCTGAACAGGTAAAATTACTTCGAAAGCCAACGTACACTGCAAAACTGACAAAAGGTTTTGTCAACACCTGTCTATCAAAAACTCCTACTAGTCGATTCGAAGTCCACCGAGTTCGCTCGGCTGTGGGTTTCCTGAAACTGCCACGTGAAAAACTAGAAGTATTTCTTATTTCGATATGTCAATGCCAACCAAAAATTGTTGTTCGAAGATCGACATACCTCGCATTCATGAACACATACGAGTATTCTGTGGAGCAAGTCATGCGCGCATAAACTCCCCACATCCCGGACACTCGTCATAGTCTGTGCAATCCTTGCAATAAATACTGTTGCAAGATTCACAACGGGATTCGCGCTCATCAAAGCAGTCTATACATATTCTGGACTGACATTCCTCACACGTCGCGACGAGGAATGCGCTATTGTTTGCGCGTGAAGACTCCTCCCGATCAGATAATCCTTCTTCCATGCAATCGTTGCATAGCGTCACCTTGCGGCAGTCCGTGCACACGCCGATATATCTGCACCCAAAAAAACAAAGATAGTTCTGACATTTTGGACACCGTCCACACCTGTCGAGAGATTTATTCTGAGTGGCACACGGGCCACAAATCCAGCTGTCTCCGCAGAGACAAAGTATGTGACCGTCCGTGGGGCTGACGCAATCAGGACAGATTACACCACCAGTAAAATGTACGCGAGTGAAACAGTCGAGCTGGCTGCACATCTTCGCCATGGCAAGGGTCGAAAAGCACGAGTGACACGAAGACACAAAACTAACGAGGTCAGCACCTTTACAGTGACTGTTGTCACAGGTGACATTCGAACAACCATGACATGTGATGAGAAGATGCGAACAGATGGGACAGCGAGGATAGTCGGGCATGGATGGTGAAGTGGGTATTTGAGGTGGTTGGCTTGCTTGTGACTGGGATATCAAGCCATTATCGGCGAGTAGCTGGTAATAGTTCTGCAAAACAGCTTCATTTGAATGTGAAGTGCCTGAATGCTGAGTTTTACGCACCTGGAGCCCTACCTCAGAAAGACTTTGATCCATCGCGGACTGTCGCGTGCCCTCGTGCTCGCTGTGAGAACCTACTTATAAGGTTTTCATCTTTGGATTCATGTATCCTCATGCTGTGCAGTCCAGATGGTTTAGGAAACGACGAAAGCGTGTTTTAGGAACCAGTGAGCTCATTGTACAGGTCCGGATACTTCCGGTATTCCTGTGTCAAGACCACTACTAGCTCTGTGTACATGTGGATCCAGAGTTACCAGTGTGTGGTGTGCATGCATGCGCAGCTTACCTTCAGAAGTTCGACATCGCACGATGTTATGTCTTCCCTCCGATTGCGGCGGAGGCTGTGGCGTCTTCGAAATTGAACCACTGGCACCAGCTGTGTAGGTGCGTCGACACTCCAGCTGCCCTCAGATTGACACGGAAGACGTTTAGAACTGTTAACGATATCATCATTTTAAGGGAGTTCAAAGTTGAATTCTGAGTCTGATTTGGACTTAAATCCTTTGCAGCGCTTGTAACGGCCTGCAAAACCTTCCACAAACCCATGGTGGATGTGCTGTGAACTGAAATAAATCCATCAGAACAAATGCTATGCTGTATAATGAGGTCCACTGGTATATCTTAGCGGTATCGCACTGTCAGGGTCAGTTTTGTGCTGTTCATTTTTTTTACGTTCAATGGCAACCTAGGCCTGGCTAAGCGAACATTTAAATAGTGGAACTGTCGGGCAAAGGCGTCGAACCGTTATCTGCCAATGATGCATGTCGATTTTTGCATTCGCTCCGCTTGTTACGGTGTTCCCTCATCGATTATACCATCTGACCGCCTTTTTCACACTCTCAGTCATCCCTATCGAGGCAACCTGCTGTGTTTTCGTCATCTGGAAATAGATAACTTGGGTCGCCATCCACTTTCCGTCACAATCCACGGATTATTCACAGCCCTTTGTCAATGACCCCACTTGTTTTGACTGCGAGTGTTAATTGATACCGTGAATCTTGATATCGATCCTGCTGTTGAGCCGATACAACATACCTCTTTACCAAAATTTGGACACACCTCTCGGATTCTCGTAGCGGACGCCGAAGTTCTCGCTCGTGATATTTTCACCCAGCTCCCTTGCATAGCACGTTCGTGGGTCGGGGGCATTTACAGGAAGGCAACATCTATCTCACATCTGCTGCGCTGCGTGACACAGGAGTCACCTCAAATACCTGAGTTTGGGATACATCATCCCTGTTCGGCAATATACTGGACTTGCCGTATTCGTTTGAGTTCGTTCGCATGTGTTGGGAACGTTTTCGCAAAGTTTTGTCGACAACCAGCCCGTCAAAACCCATTGCCCCCGGTCGATTCTAAGTCGACAGATACATCGCTATCCTCACCACGTCGTTGCATTGCATCCATCAGGATGCCTACTTTATTTCGATACATCAATGTCAACTAACATTCGATGGACGAAAATGAATCTACGAAAACTTCATGATATTTCTTTATTCCCTTGCAAATCGGGTACAGAGGTGCCTTGCAATCCATTCTGAATTATCCATAAAAGTCATTCATCCGCTATTGAAAGATACTATTATTTCAGAACACTTGCCATTGCCCTAGCAATACCGGTACATTTCCCGCAACAGAATTCGCGCTCTTCGAAACAGTCTACGCTGGTTTTGCGCTGGCAGTGTTTGGTTTGTACGGCGCCGTCACGAGAATTGTGCCCTCGTAAACGATTTGGGACCCCTCCTTGTCGGGCATATGCATGTCCACCTCAAATAAATGAATCTCTTTCTCGTCAGAAATATGCTCATCTTTTTCAAGTTCCGTGCAATCGTTGCACCCCGCCGTCTTTTTGCACCCCGCGCATGCGTCGATGTATTTGCATCCGAATAAACAGAAAGAATTCCGACATTTTGGACAGCGTCCACGCTTCTCCAGAATTCGAACCGTCTTCATCAGTGGCACGTACCACAAACCCAGTTATCTCCGAGCAAACCATGTCCATGGTCTGACACGATCAGGAAGTACTGATTACGCCATCACGAGGGAGTGACAGACGCCCTGGCTGCACTTCGACACCATGAGGGTAGAAAAACACGATTGATCGGACGAGGTTGGCATTTTCACACTCGACCCGTTGGCTTATCACAGGTGACACTGGACCACGGTATGTGATGAGCAGATCTGCGACATAGCATCATTTGAATGTGAATTACCTTGAAAATTGGTGTCACGCATCTAGAAGCCAACCTCAGAATTTGATTCATCATTGACCATCACTGGGCTCAGTGCTCGAAGTGAGAGCCTACTTATCAGTTGGCTTTCAAGCTTCAAGTATTAGTAAGGTGTGTTTATGTAGTGTGGCAGTCGGTGATATCAACTGGTCACGGTGTCTCGACGATAACATCTTCACAGAAATCAGAAATTGAGCGAGAGTCAGCTTACATTCAAACAGTATTAATTGCAATATGTAATGCTAATGGAGCTACAACTGTCCAATACAGCGCAAAATAGTGTACTGCACAACACCATACAGTAGATATATCAACGTGAGACCAGCGTTCCCGCTGGGGTTGTCCGTGGTTGTACATACATGAGTAGACCATATAAGTACAGTCATGTTAATGCCATGCGCGTGGCGTCGTGACAATTCCTAGTAATAGGAAGCGTCGGTGCTTTCATCAAATCGCAGAACCGCTGGAGGCGAAATGAGGTTCAGATTCAGGTTCAGGTGAGGAAGAACGAGAGGACCGGGAGGGAGCGCTAGTGGGACGAGCTGCGTAACGGGGGCGACTCTCAAGAGGCTTGGAGATCAAGAAGCCTAAGAACCATGATGAGAATATAGTATATAAAAAAAGAACAACAAAAACTGACCTCTAAGACCTGCAGCCTTCTCACCTTGTCGCCCAAAGCCGTAACCAGCTCGGCTTCCATTCCGCATTGCGCCGAACTCCGTAACATCTCTAGTCTTCTCATCATAGACTGTCGAAGAAATGTATGTCTGCCCGGAGCTAGAACGGCTAAGATTGGTAGGAGGACGCGGGTTGTTCGTTGGCAATACATCCTTGGCACCCTCACGCCACAATGTAATTGAACGTCTGCTCTTGGCCGATTCACGAAAGAGGAGACCAAGGAACATGTTTATGCAGCCGAGGACAAAAAGGAAGAAAGCGGAGACAAGGGTGAAGTCATCCACATGCTGCGAGAGTACTGCAGCTCCGATACTAAAAAAAGTCAGCGCTGTGTACGAAACGGCGTAGAGAAAATAACTCACAGTCCTTGGAAGATACCAAGAGCACCAAGTCCAAAGCCAGAACCAAGCACAGGGAAAAAGCGATCAAAGAAAGGGGATGGCCAGCCAATTTCGGAAAGGAAAAGAATGACAACTTGGAAGATAATAAGCAGGCGGTTGATGATAGCCCAGAAAACGCCGCCAATCTGGTTGGGTACAGTGCTGTTCCTATTTACGACGTCAGTACACAATAATACTTGTACCTGGGACATTCGAACTTACTCAATGTATTCGCAGTCAGCAAAGTCTTGTTCTGTGACATTGCCGCTTTGTCTTGCAGCTTCAAACGCGTTGACAGCCTCAACGTCTGTGACTATGACAAAGATGCTACTGGCAAAGACCAGTATGAGAGAGACGATGCTCAGGAAGCGGACAACATTGAGTCCAAAGAAGATATCTGAAGCCAAGTCAGCTAATCCGACCAAGCAAAAAAAAAACAAGCTGTACTCACATGCTCGTACGCCGGTCATTATGAACGATAGAAAAGAATGATAATGTCTAGGGGATGCTTAAGATCACAGACTTGGTTGACTTGAAAACAACAGCAATTGCAGGGGTGTCTTTGGTGAATGAATAATCGGGTGGCCCAGCACCGGTAGAAAGCAACGAGGACGGTTAAGGAAACGAGGCGGGGGATGGAATACATTTTGACCAGCTGAGAACAACGGTTTATGTAGTTTGGACTGATGTGGATGGTCCATTGACCTCCCAACCTTATTGTTCTTCAGAAAGTCCACACACGATTCATTGAACAAAAAGAGCGAGTACAATGCTTCATCCGACTTTTACGTAATTGGTGCCCGGAATCAAAATTAAAATATCTCAATCGCGGAGTTAAAAAGTACCACAACACTTTGCTGGCTCGTCCGGTTTTATTGTTGGTCCACAGCGTTCGATGCTCGTCGTTGTTAGCCTTGGGTTGCCCAGTGGACGTAGTACAACACATGATGTTATACGCGATCTCCCAATTATATACGGTCTCAGAAATCGCCGCACTTCTCAAATCATAATTTACAGTAGTACTATGTACAGCTCACCAAGCCATGACTGTAAGGGTATTTGTATCCAGGATCCGTGGATATACTTATATCAAGACAATGAACAGCGCTGGCATACAATTCGTATCTATCCACTCCGTAGGCAGAATAAGAAACCACAGTGAGGATATCTTCGAAGACGATTAAAGTGTATTGTCCATAGGCTACGTTCAAACAACTGTATATAGGTATGGAGGAACGTAAAAGCGCGTGGGTGGTTATAGTACGGTCATCGCAAGTCCAAATATGGGGTAGGGTTAGTAAATGTGATATCAGTGCTCAATGGACTGTTTTCAGCGAGAGGGATGAACTATTCTCTCGAGTAGGGTGGGGGTTCGTTTGCTGCAGTACTACCCGAAGTGGGAGAAACCAGCCCGGCATCTGTGTGCACAACAACACTGTTAGATCTCCTTCGTCTTGGGGCACGTTTACCAGGCGGCCGAGCAGGCACAGATGAAGAAGGCGCGGGTGCGGGTGCAGGTGCAGGTGCAGGTGCAGAAACAAGAACAGGCGATTTGGGCGACTGAGGGCCATCATTGATGATTTGCAAGACCCGCCTGTCAATCACAGGGGTAGGACTTCCTGTGCGATTAAGCGGATCAAATACGCCAAGCTCATCAACGCGGTTGTTCGACGAAAGCAAGGAAGATCCGGATCCATCTAACAAAGGCGTCGCGCTGGTGGTGGAAACCACAGACAGCGATCGAGGGCCCATGGAAGACTGGGATGTCGATTGGGATGTCGCACTGAGATGCCTCTGCGCAACAGCCGTTTGTGCTGCCTGCATGGACCCTGAAATGGAAGCCTTCGAAGCATTCCCGGGCGCAGAACTCATGCCAAGCAAAGGGGTGACTGACGTATTGCGGCTGTGATTACTTGCCACGGAAGTGCTGAATGAAGGATGATGAGATTGGTGAATGCTTGGCGGTGAACTTGACCCTGGTGGTGGCGTTACATGTCCGACGAGACCATACTGGTATGGTTTAGGCTCAGCGCCGAGATCAAGCATGCTCCTGTCACGGTCTCGGCGCACAGCAACTGGGGAATCAAATTCTTCATCTTCAATGGCTTCTCTATCAAAGATATCATCCCAAGATCTGCGTCTGCGGCTGCAAAAGAGGAAGAAAGGAAAAAGTAAATCGGGGAAACAAATGAATGCTAGGGTAACGGAATTTACCAGAGGTACCACAAAATGCCCACGATCGCGATCAATCCAACAAAACCGCCAAGCACACCCCCGACTATGGGGGCTACATCTGTGCCTGATCCACTCGCACTTTCGGTACTTGTGACAGTTGGGTTTGCAATCACAGATGGTACGTAAACAGAAGATGCTGGGAGTGTAGACGTTGTAGTGATTACAGTCGCGACCACATCGCCGTTCGAAAGGGTTGTAGAAGACGATTGGGTGATAATAGACGGCGCAGGTGTGGTCTCTACTAGCACGGACGTTGTGACTGGGCTAGGAGTTGAACTAGAACTTGTTTGACTAGCCGTGGAATGCGATGTTGTCTGCGACGGGGTGGAACCATCAGAGCAAGAGGCGAAGAGAGTGTTCGTTGGTTGAGTCTGGGTGACTGGAACCGTCACAATTACGGGTACTTGTGTGGTGACAACCCCGCCTGGAAAGAATGAAACCATCAGCACCCCATTCGGAAGCGAAGGATGACCAAAATAACCGCGACAAGTGGAAGCATCGGTGCCGTCAACGCGGTCACACAACACCGTGGTGCGACAGCAGAAGGGAAATGAGTACGATAATGAACTACGCACCTGCAATGGTGTTCACCTGAGTGACCGCTGTGCTCGAGATGCAACCTGTACTATTTGATCCACTCAAGGTGCCAGTGGCGATACAGGTCTGCTGCACAACGGTGGTGACTGCGCCCTGATTGTTCGCTACACTCTGTGAGAGGGACGTGGACGTCGTAAATGTGGTGATAGTGGTGTACTCCGTTGCAGTGGCAGACGGGGTGCAAGACATGGTCCTTGGAAGGTTGGGCAACAGAATCAAGCAAGTCTAGCACTAAGGGTTCATGCAAAAAGTAATTAAAAAAAACACGGGTCCAGAAAGCCCGGAGAAAGAAAAGGCAAGCAATCGAGAAAAGGGAACTGGGGAGAATGAAGTCAAGAAACAAAGGTTGAAAGTTGAGCAAAGCTTACTTGTGCAATTCGAAGGCACGAAGGCACTGCTTCGCTTACCTTTTCATTTTCGGCACAGTCGGTTAGCCGTAATATCATCATATCTGCACTCTATCATAGCAACGTTGCAGTGCACACGACGGACAAACTGAAGCCCCGTCGACGAAGGTGTGTGCAGATGTAACAACAATAGCAACTATTACTATTACTGGTGAAAAAGTAGCACAACACTGAGAACCTGGAACTTTTGCAGGCAAGCTTCAGTAGAGCTTCTGCCAGCGGCATGAATTATCTGCATGAAAGATCAAACTATCATAATTCGCCGTAAAAAGTCTTGAGAGAATTAATGTAAGCCTGGAGCAGAAGGCATATTAGTACTGCCCGTAGTCCTTCTCCGCCGCCACTTCAAGTTCTTGTCATCGAGCGCAGGGCGCTCAGAACGCGTTCCCACCTCTGAGATAACTGCTTGTCTATGTGCTGGCACCACTTCCACCAGCTGCTCGTGACCATTCCTTGGTTTGATTTCAAGAACGGCATCGTGTTGGATAGGCTCCGCCTGATCTGCAAGCCCATTCCTCTCTCTCACGCGTCGCCATAGGTTTCTACTTGCGCTTTTCACAAACTTCCCCAAGGTGACAAGCGGATCCTTGATCAGTGGGTCTTCTACAACAGGGTCATAGGTCCACAACGGCCGTCCTTGCTGACGCCCTTCACGCGTGGGACGTCTTCTCCGCGAACGGGCCGCCATCCCGAGCGGACAGTCCGAACGCTTCCGGTTAGGGTCTGGTGAGGGAAGCGGTGCGAATCTGACTGTTGGCATGTGCCCCAGCGAAAAGCATGTGGATGAAGGAGAGGAGTTTGATGAGTTAAAGTTTGTGATGGTAGGAAAGATTAATGATGAGTTAGGGGACGGGGTATGCTCGGATGAGAGCTTGGCCACCACTTCATGGTCATTATCGAGGCGGGTGGTGACGGACATGGTGTGCCCTTGACGAGTCGGACTGACTCGGAAGAAAAGAATGTAGGGTGTTCAAAGAATGTGACGAGTCTCCGAGAAAATTTTATCCGAAACGACTACACCGCGGTCTGCAGCCCAGTTGGAAGACAGCTTCAGATGGTGGATCAGAGCAAACCTGAGAAGCGAAAATGATTTATTATGAGTACGACTTTGGTATAGCTCCATGTATATCTTGGTAACAGGCTAAACAGCACTATAGTCGAATTTACTTTGCAACCGATTTTGACTCAGAGCTAGCTAAGCGCATAACCGCTTTTGGCTGTACCTTTTGCCAGTTTTTGTTACGTATATGTAATGTTATAACCGAATACCATGAGCACAGTCCGACCAGACAGTCATGCACAACAATTTGGTCGGAGAAGGTCTAATACTGCACAATCAATCTTTCGCAATCCCCCTGGACCGCCGCCACAACCTCTGAAACTCGGAGATGTCAAAGTTCTCAATTCATGGGTACACGACCAGAAGGAGTCTTCCACCGCTATATTGAATCAAACATGGTTGCCCGGTGTGGCAGAGGGAGATATGCTACAAGTCTCAGGTTGCAATACAGTAAATGCTACTGCTGGGTATCTATTCATGGTTCCAAAGGACGAAGGCTGCTCGAAACCCGCATTACAGGTGCCTATTCTGCCTCGGTCACCCTGAAATCGCACTCAGACAGGCCCAGATTTCACTCCCAAAGAATGTTGCAGACGCGTTTGGAATAAAGAACAACGGCGAGGTGGCCGTAACGAAAGTAATTGTATTCTTGACAATTTCGGTCAAAGGCATGCTCATATTCGAGGCAGGTGGACAAGCAGCAGTATTGTGCAGACTACATCGAGTTCACATTCCAAGATCAATACCTTGGTCGAAATGAAATGTGGAGACTAGCAGAGCACCTTGTAGGGCAGTGTGTATTTGTCGATCAGGAAATATCCTTCATAAGCGTGATCGCCGCCAAGATACAATCCATCTATGTCAAGGGTCGAAAAGTAGGTGTATGGCCTCCCGCTTCCCTGTTATGCTCAAAAGGCGCATTCGCAGGTATCCGCAGGATATGTTACTGCCACTACCAAGGCGATATATCGGTCTCTCTCTGCGAAGGTGACAATCTTCATTCAAGTCTGCCGTGAACTCTGGGAATTTGCGGGAGATGGTGAACGCTACAATGAGAAAATCGTACACTCGTTTCTCCCTGCCTTATTTGCCAAGTGGCGCGAGGCTGGCACGAATCACACAGTGACCATCGTGCTTATCTCGAGGGTGTATTACGATGACTCCGAAAAAGAGTATGCCGCAGGGCCTCTAAGACTGGATGAAGATGGTCGACGGTACAAGGATTTTTACAAGGTCATTACTGACTTGGAAGTCATCCATGACTGGAAACCTACACTTGTGGGACTCAAAGTGTCCTTCTGGGCTTTTCAAAGGGACATCTTGCTCGCCCATCACTACCATCAAGCCTCTGTCGAATCTACAGCACCAGAGCAAGCCAGACTTGTTGGTCAGCTATCGGATGCGCATGACGGACCTATTTTGGAGGCTCTCAACTTGGGTCTTAACCCAAACGAAACGCACTACATCGATCGCTCACTGTCAAACACTGGGGCATCAACCATCCTCATCACTCCCGGTACAGGCTATTACAAAGTGTCCAAGCAATTGCTCCGATTAACTACAACTCGCATGCTTGACCAGGGTTTCGGTTTGGATCTCGTATCATTAGCAAAACGCCCTTTACACCAGACTCCCATATTCGCTTTCAAGGGATACGAGCCACGCTTGGATAAGGATGGGAAGAACGGAGGTCGAGCCCTAGATCCGCTCTGGGGAGGTGATGAAGACCCAGATGAGTCCAGGAGATTGGAGAAGATTACGTTCTGGTGGGAGCCATTCTGGATAGGTATTTCCTTCTGGGACAAGCAGATGGATCTACCTTTTCGCGAGGATAGGTTTGTTGTTTGAGCTCGATCCTTCGCTTTGACTGACGGCATTCTCAGGTTCGTTGCCAGAGCAAAAATGCATCAGATACAGATGCTTGGGCTACTCGAGCATGACGTCCTTTCTGGCATAGAGGTTCCTTACCTCCCAGAGTTACGTGACCCATACGCCACGCCCCCACGAGACAGCTTTTCGGAAGATGACCGTGCTCCGACACAAGCAGAAGCTGATCAAGCCGACATGGATCTGTTCGTCTTGAAGAAAGAGCCCCGACCCGTCACCAGCACGCGTAATTCATATGGCTCTTCTGCGAGTGGGACTGTCATGGCCTCGTCCTATCGTTCATCAATCATGAGTGAGAGACGTGGGCTAGCATCGCAACGCAGTTCTATCGCCTCCACGCGTATCGCACCCATTGAAGAAAGTCCCAGAAAAATCATCATGGATCTACCTCCTGAAGGCAATGAAGATGGGTTGCTACCCTCCGTGACAGGACTCAGCACATCTCCTTCGCACTCCATACGCTCAGTGAGGACCAACGCATCTACCACGACCAATAACGGAAGCGACCCCCAATCCCGCAACGCGGCCTCTTCACGTCTTGCTAAAATTGCATCGTCTTGGTTTTACAATGCCTTTCAAAGAAGCTCGAGTGACTCTCAGACACCTTCAATTACTGCCTCATCAGTCACAGGTTCCATATCTCCCCCCACTCCAAACATGCGCATCCCGATCGCGTCAAATTTCTCCGCTACACCCTCTGCCTCGCTTTCCCGCTCACCTCAGCCAATGGCCATATTACACGGTGCATCTGGTCGATCGGCTCTGAGCAGGACGTATGAGGAAGAAGGCACCCTTGCACATCGAAGCTCCTTGAATCGGCATTCACCGATGAACACCCCTCCTCGTGATGAAAGCACTTTTGGGAAGAGGCGCAATACGACACTAAATGCACTAAACCTGCTTTTCTCATCGTCTTCCCCAGTCCCGACTCTTCGCACCAATCCGTCGCGACCTCAACCTACAGTCTCGTACGCACAGTCTTCACTTGCCAGACGCCGACAGCATGTGTTTCCTACGCCCACGTACAAGCACGAGGTGAAATGGAAGTCCATGGTCACTCCAGCGTGTCTTCCGCTCACGATGGACCACTTCCCCAGCAATTCAGAGCTGGAATTGTCATATGATGTATTCTCGTATGACTTTGTCGTCGATCCGACAGAGATGCGTTCCTTCCTCGTGAAACCGCCTCCTGCTCAGGGGAACACTGAGGAAGTGCGACGTGCGTGGGCACTCACTGTAATGCGTGGTATGGTTGCCGTCCGACTTGCACAAGGGTTCCAGTTTGTCTTGCGACCACGTAAAACGGGTGACAGTGAAGACCACACGACCATGCGGCGGACGAAATCTTTCATGGGCGAGGACGATGCATCGCCAAAGCCGGCTGGGGCAGCGGAAGTTCTCAAGACCACCAATCTGCCTGTTTACTTGAGCATGAGCAATGAGATTCACCGGATATCTTATACTGGCGAGGCGATCCAGGTGAGGCGATATGTGAGAAGAATGCCGCCGACCCAACCCTTTGAGTACGAGTGTCTCATCTGGCCTAAGCTCGGGGTGGGGTATACGGAGTTGAAGACAAAGTTCGTCTCACATGGGCTGGAAAATTTCGGCTGGAACAGGTCTGTTTTTTTTCGTGCTTGTGCACGATGTCAGTGCTGATTTCTCATTCTAGATTGGATATGTTGGTTGCTGGCTATGAACACCAATTTAATGAATCCTTGCGATACTGGCGAACTCGGTTCGTAGTTATACCGTCCGCCGTTCCTGAGGGTAATGTGGGACCCTCTGGAGAGAAGCTCAATGATGAAGAAATTCAGCTTATGGGAATTGACAAGCTTGCCGAGATATTCACAAAATTACGGTGGCAACCTCCAGATGAGCGTGGTACGCCCGTTGCACCCGTGCGCTTCCTCCCTACGACACTCGGCCCTGTGCACAGTGTCCTGGATGAGTCGCTTATGGCACAACTGGACGAAATACATGCTGCAGGACCTCTGAAGAAGAAAATGCAGAGTACCAGGGAAATCGCAGACACCTCTCTTTCGTTGATAGCGAAACTCATGCGTGAAGAGGATGGCGTGCCGATCAAGTTTCATCAATGGCATGGAGCGAAGTATCCTGATTCTTTCACTGGGTTTGACTTTGTTTCGTGGCTTGTGCGCGAGTTCCGAGATGTGACGTCAAGGGAGCAAGGTGCTGAATGCGGGGCGAGGCTCCTTGAACAAGGGTTGTTCTCTCATTGCCGAGGGCGCCACGGCTTATTGGACGGGCAAGTTCCTCGGATGTTTGATACTACAAATTGGACTCATTTGTCATTCCGCCACAGGCACTACTTCTATCAACTAAATGGTGAATATGCAACCGTCAGCACCCCAAGAGGGGGGTGGATCAAGACATCTCGTTATATTAACAGCGATGAGGTCAGTATCACTAGACCAGGGGGAGGATATTACCCGTCCAGTCTCAGTAAACCCTCGGGGCCTAGGCGCAGCAGGAAGTGCCTGATCCTGAGTCAAACTATGATAATTGATGTTGATCCCACCAAGGTACACAAAGTTGTACTGTACGGCTTCCCTGAGCTTACGTCATTTGTACAGAGGAGTGACCAGGCTGAATCAGTAATTCTTCACCACGACATTATTCAAAACCCTGGGACAGTCTTTCACTTCGAGCTGCAGTGGATCGGATCCACTGCGCGTTGCATTGAAGACTCGCTCCGGCAATGGAGTCGGGCGATTGAAAGGTACGGCCTCAAATTGGTCGAGGCCTATGTCATGGAAATTGGCGACATACGAGAACGCAACGCGTTCCAGTCTTGCTTCCCTTTGCGTTTGGTAATACCGCCACCCATTGTTCCGGGTCTTGAGAAGCGCGTACCTGAAGGAACGCATACGACGCATTACTTCGAATATGCAATTCTCAAACGCTTTGACTTCATCCTCGATGTGGAAGCCACCAACCTATACCCGAAGGATGTAGAGGTCTCCTACTCTTACCGCCGAGCACCTTTCAAACATTCGCAATTTGTGCATCGATCTGGTGTCGCATTTGTGCAGGTCATAGGTGGTTCGCAGGGACTGCTGTTCCTGACCAACCGTTTGTTGGGTCCAGGTCGCATGGGCAGCGCGATGAAGAGTAAGGAGCAGAGACCTGAAGCTGCGGCGGAAGAGATTCGGATAAAGATGCAGGAGTTCTGCTCTGACGAAGCTGCATTGATGCAGTTTTATGATGAGGAGCTGGCTGCTCTTGGGCCGGACGATCCTCCACCACTTAGTATATGATGTATTTGGTGCATTGTAATGCAGGCAATAGTTTGTGAACGAGCATCCACAGAATACGTCTACCGATTTACGAGACATCATGAGCGCTGACTATCATATCTCGACCATTAGACCGTATAGATCGTTGTGCCACGTCGCGTGACAGACATTTTCGCATATCTGTCAGATATCAGTATGGTCCAAAGTAACCATTGCAGGCATACGCACCAAACGCGTCCTCCTCGTCTCGTCCATCCTTCCCTACCCCAAGATTACCGTAGTATTCTCTTACTCGCCTGTACACACTGTATCCCATACCCTCGTACATTTTGATGGCTAGTGCATTGTTACAGCGCACATAAAGATCCACGAAGTACCCCTTGTATATCCCGTCTGAGGCGAATTCGAGACGCTGGCACATGTTTCGTGCTAGAGAGAGACGACGGTACTCTGGAGCAACGGAAACGGCTGTAATATGACCATGCCATTCGGTTTGTGCACCTTCAGCCTTGCCAAGAACTTTCAAGACGTGTGATTTGTATCGGCTGAGGACACGAGGGAGATGAACGCACTGTAGCCTTGCAACCGGCCTCTTGGGCTTTCTTGAGTGAAACAGAGGTCTGACCACCTTTGAAGGTAAGTTAGGTAAAAGGGAATACCGTACTGTTAAAAACTATGAGCTAGATCCATGGTCGAAGGTATGAGAGACTCGCAGTCTCCGTCCAGACGTCCGAATTACTGTGATTTTCGTTCAGAACATGACGGCAAGCTCAAAAAATGTCAGACTTGCATGTTGTTGAATCTGAACAGATCATTCGCTTTGAAGGGCCTGAGGACGCTCATCGTGATGAGGTTTATCTCGTTTTGAGAACAAATGAAATTGTCACTGTGTAGAAGAAGGAAGGAAGCGGGCGCTGACGTACATACTAGCTAGTATCAGCTTATACGGTAAGGCCATTCAGTAAGTACTTCTAGTCCAAATTCAACCTACTAGTAGTACCCTCAACGTTGAGACTGACATGTGCTATATTAGCACGGTACCGAGCTACCTAGTTAGGACTAAGCCCATATAATAACAACAATAATACAGCAGTACTCGTTTGCTGGTGTTCCAGCAATTAGAAAGAAGTTCTGATGTGCTCGGATACACAGTGTTCTGAAGAGCCGCAGGGTCGCCAAGCTTCTGCCGCAAATGATACATGAAAATCTCTGGCCAGATCTGCACATCGTCTTCGAATCTACGTTCAAAGAAGATGAAGTAAGTATCCCAAAGCGTGTCGAAAGCCTTGGTTCCTAATAAAGACAAACACCTGCTAGCAGTGCACGGAGTCCTAGCAAATTCTGCACTCAACCACTCTCATACCTACCCAAGACCCCAGGGCCCTTCGCTGTAGCTGGCTCGATTTCTGACATTTGCAATGTATCAACAGTTCCCTGCTTCATCATCCAACGATTATGGCCAAATGATAATGTCTGCACCCGCTGCAGGCCCTAGTACTGTAGCACCACATGCAACTACTACAGCTCCACAACCAGTGACGCCAAAGCCGCAGCCGCTTGTGGCGACCGGTAATTGGACGACTGAACTCGTCCAGCTTGCCAAGACTGCTGAACTCAAGTGAGTTTTGCGCGTCATTAAACTAGACTGGGCTCGTCATTGCCTCAACATCGTGATAGTATGGTACTGAACTAGCTGTGGGCAGAAAACATTCCCTGACACTGCAACTGCATACCGCTAATATAGTTGCTGCCCATAATACCCTCGAACAAAAGGATAAGACAATTCAGGACATCAAAGAACAAAAAAACCGGTATGAATAACCTTTTCAATGATTCGACCAATCTATCACATTACCTTTCCCAATCCATCGTGACCGTGTCTGATTCGTCCATTTTTGATTTCTCGCGTGCTACTGACAGTTTTTGCTAATTGCCCTCTGGCAGATTGGACAGCGAACGTGCACGATTACTTAACGCACTCGCAGAGGTATATATTCCGTCACGCAGCTTATGTTATTATATTGATAACAGTTATTTTGCTGACAGATAAATGCAGACCGTGACAAGGTGCGTTGCATCGTCGGTATTAAACGTACCATTTAAGGATGATATTGCTCACATGCTATCTTTCACCTTTCCCCAAAGGTGGATCTCCTCGAAGCATCCATCACACGAGAGTACGTATTCTTCCCACGTCTCTTATTCCCCCGCAGTGCGTCCTAATCCATTCCACTGTGTAGATGTGTGGATCTAAGGCAACAAATCCAAACCCTCCAAGAAGGTGAATATGCTATCGCAAAAGCGGACGTTGATCGCTTGCGGACCGAGCTCGGCCAGCCCCCGCTTCCCCCACTCCAAACTAAGCTTGATGAGAAGACGTCTCAGTAAGTCCAAGTTCCTTCCGGCTGTAGTTTCAGGGAACTTCTCCCCGGTTTTGTGTGTGCGCCGCAGCATGTTTCTGGCGATCGGCGCCCCGCCACAGGAGTGTACTGGTCCTGTCGCACGGCGGGCTCGGGTGCATTCTCTGGGGATTGTAAACCGCCGCCGCCTTGCGTAGTCTTCGTGAGCGTGTGCTAACTACTTGCTCTTTCCTAAATAGGTATTTGCGTGATCGTCGGGTAAATGGGGAGAAACGGCCTGTAAGCGACAGTCAGCCAGATCAACAACCTAGCACTACGAAACGCCCACGAGGTCGGCCTAAGGGTAGCAAAAACCGTGGTGGCAAAGCAGGTGGCAACGTACCTAGCGGAAGTACGAGTGCTAGCGGAAGTGCAGTGGCTGGTGGCACTGCATGATTGACCAGTGACAGGTGACAATGGTCGCAGTTTGGTATGTAATTGCTTGGCAAGCGTGAAGGAAAGAAAATCGTTTTGTGGGCCGCAAACCTACGAGCTTGTTTTGAGTTTTCTTCGCTTGATTGATGCGGGCTTTAGTGACTTGGGGGCTCGATGCAGGGACAGCTAGGGACGGATGGTGTGGGTTCTATCATATGGATTCCTGTGACTACAAGTTGTACTATATCACATACATGATAAATGACTTTATTGAACTCCGTGACTGATCGATGATGATCTGCTCCCCTGTGATGCTGTGTCGTAGGCCTGATTCATTTCGACGACTATCTTTGTGCCTTGGCGTGAGCGCTGGAGTGATTCTCCTGACGACCAGTGCACGCTAAGTAGTTTGAGATGTGGCTCCGCATTAAGATCTACTCTGTCCATGACTACGAATGGGTACTACCATACATTCTGATTGAGACACCGGAAGGACCACATGCGTTGGATGCGCATGATAATGAACGGAGGTGATAAAACACCGCACTTGATGGACGTACGGTTCCTTGGCCTTGTATGATTGTGAACAGGCCAAGTGTTCCTGTGGAAGTGGCTTGAAATGCCCTTGGTATCTGAGTATATCGGAGGGCGCCACAGGCCTATTGACATGGGATCTCTCTATGTAAGTAATGAAGATACTCGTATACCAGAACAATCGACGTGTATATACATCCGACTCGGATGGGCAGAAGCTTTGATCTGATACAGGGTAGTAACTTGTATTGGTAAGTGGAGTGAGTCATCTTCCCCGCAACAATCGCAGCTAAGGGTGGGTAGATCGTCGATGGAGACTCCCTTCTACGCGGAACCCGTGTCAGCATGACTAGCCTTCTACCGTACCGGCCGTTGTAACCGACACGTTCCTACTAGATGATTCTGGTGGTAAGATTGCGCTCGGAAGCTCTGTTGAAGTGGCGGGAAATTATAAGTTATTATAAGTACTTGAACAGAAGATTCCATATTAGCGTCATACAGGTATACTTATACTTAACTCGGGTAAATATTGTACCCTCTTTCAAGCCGAACTAGCTAGTACTACCTCACTCACTTGACACTGTTCGCATTGTCCCCATCGGAACGTAAACCAACCGGCGGCAGGCGCTGGCTGGTGGTGCACGCTCGTATCGGCTAATGACACTGCGATTGTTACGGTGCTGTGCCGCGTCTTGCCGAATTTAACATTAAATCCAAATTGGGATGTAATTGTAAGCCCTTTAACGGCAGCAGTGTATTCGTGTTCATTCACCGACGCCGAGTCACAACCACAGCACACTGAAAGCCGAAACCGATTATGCAATACTCCGGCCCTTCCTTTCTAATCGCTCATGTCAACTTGTCCCTTTTCGTAAGTAACCGATCCGGCTCTCTTGCTGTTCCTCCCATCCGGTGTCCCTTTATATACCACACCATTCATCCAACATGAATACCCCACCAAGCCGTCCTCGCTTCAGGCTATCATCCATTTACTTCAGACAGCAATAGCAACAGCAATGGTCTCTTCTCCAATCCACAAGGCAAGCCTCGTAGACCCTGCTCTACATTCTCCTGCTCTCTTGGAGCTCCTCGAAATAAAGCTATCACGACCTGTTATCGGTATGTCATAGTACTCCACTTTACAATGTCTCATTCATTCTAACAATGTTTCCAGAATATGTCGTTGATTGCGTAGTAGACACCGTCAACTACGCTATGGGTCGTCCATCATCATCTCATCGTGGCCGCAGCGTGTCTCGCCGCCCAGAGCACACCAAATTCACTACATTTGTCTCAAATGTTCTCACCAGAGCAGAAGTCACACTCCCTACACTTCTCGTCTCCCTCGTATACATCAATCGCGCCAAACCTCACTTGCAAATCGCCCTAGAGGAGTGGGCGTGCGAGCGTGTCTTCCTTGGCGCCATAATGATCGCTAGCAAGGTACGTTTACTCCAAGTACTTTCTCCCATGTCATCAACCCCTGACTCCACCATAATAGTTTTCAAACGATTCCACACTTAAAAATGTTCACTGGGCTCTTTGCACCGGCGTATTCGGCAAACGTGATGTCGGCCGAATTGAACGAGAATTCCTCGACGTGCTTGATTTTGATCTGTCAATTACCGAAGATGACATTCTCAGCCATCACGATGGCTTGTCTTCAGTCGCTCTTCCTTCCCACGACTTCCGCAGACTCGCAGATTACTCTCCATCCCACGCGCACTCACAATACAACCGTTCGCACCACGTTCGCTGCCCAGATTTGGATCCTTCTAGCCCCCATTCTTCATCATCTGGGAGCTCTCCTCAGCCTCTCACTCCAGAGGCTGTGCCAAACTCTTCATTCAATCCTGCTGTGAATACACACCATGATGCTATGGAACTCGTGATTCCTCCCCCACCACCCCCGAAGAAGTCGTATCAAGCTACATCTACACTAGACTTGCTACGCTCATTTCCTATTCCCGTGCCTCATTCAAGTTCACGTTCTCAGCCGGCTTCCAACAAGCCACACAATCGTTATTCGCATTTTCCTTTTAAGAATCCAGTGATGCAAGTCGCTGCATAGATATCCTTCTTCATATTCGTTCGATGATCTTATTATTCTTTTCGTAACCTTATTGTGGTGTCGCTATATTTTCAAGACTAATTCCACATCAGCCTCGTGCTCAAAAAGCTTATCGTCATACTATCGCAAATACCATGATCCTCATCGTTTATCTCACTCCAACCACATGTTCATCAGATCTGACGTCCAGTGACTCCATCACCGTGAATTTACCACGTTGCAATTAAGTGTTATTGCGTGCACATGATGCAAATCATACCAATAAGAAAGCACGTCACTCGTTGACGGTAAACGCCCAACACCCGGGGTCCGATGGGCCTTCTGGCTTCGCATGCTTGGTCGGCTGCGAACAGTCTGGACTTTGGATCTAACCGAGACCAAGGCGAGGGCCGTGTCACTCTAAAAATTTCCTTGACCACCGGGCAATGTTGTTGAATGAATGAAACCCAATTGTATTGAAACGCGGAAGTCGTGCGAGAACGTCCAGCCCTACGCAGCATCAATGAAGATTGGTAGTCGCCAAGCACATTGCCTTGTTTTTTTTACTTATAGCGCTCGTACATACTTTTACATCATCTAGCGATGCATAGCCTATACTGTATAAACGGTATCACGGAAACGGAACTTGTCCTCAAACCAGAGTCGCGACCTTCTATCATGGCATGCATGGGTCACAGCCAATATAATTGGTCTTCTCACGAGGAGAATCACAGACACGATGCAATTCACTCATACGAGTCATACACGACGATCGGACACACGTTGGGCCCGCGAGTCAAGTCACACTAGGCCTGTCGTATTTCAGGAACAACCCTAACCGCGAATCTCCCGGAATCAATGGAGTCCGAAGACTAATCACAGGGCTTGGCTTGGTATGGGTTGGGGGTGTGACCAGCATCGAAATGTTATTCAGGGTGTGAGTAGTACCTGAAAGTCCTAATGCTCGGGTTTAGTCTGACATTTATGGGCGTCCGACATCAATGGGAGGGGGTCTGATCATGCAATGCATCGCTTCTGGTGGGTTGACTGCATGGTGTGGTCGTGCGGTCCTCGACTGATACTGCGGGAGGATATTATATTGGTCTGCATGAGTTTCGTTGATGCTGCATTTTTCACTATATCGTTTACACGAAGGCGCCCGCACAGCCGCATGTCCAATCAAACGTCCTTGCCAAACGGCCGATATCGTTGGCCTGCAATCTCGTATGTACCGTCCTACCCGGGAGCTATTTCTATTACGAGCGGTTAACTGATAAGCCAGTAATAATTATAGATCGCTTCGGCTGGCGCGGGGAGGCATATGACCGTACGTTTGCTCGAGTCGACGCAGCGGTGTGTAAAGCTTGAACGTGGGGGCTTGAGATATTCAATGTATTGATGTGCCTTGGCGTCCGATTGGGTGGGTGTCATGTGCTGTTTTGTAAGTGGGCCGGCGCCACAGCGTGAATACCGCTGCGGGCTGAACGCCGTTGAAGGCAGCGCTTAGTACGCTTTACTATATGACGCACGCGATGGCGGCACCCGAGCTCTTTCCGATGGGTGATTTGTCTGCGATCCTGTGCGTCCTGGCCGGAGTGTCGTGTACGTATAAGATAGTTGATAAGACCAGTCGGCAGTTGTCACGGTGTGGCTTTTGCGTAGTTTTGCTATATGCTTTGCTACGTGCACTGGCTAGTGGCTTTAGACGTACTAGGGCTGTCAGTGACAAGCGGGCGTAGTAGTGTCGTGACTGGTTGGGGTAGTGTGGCCATTGCGGATTTTTGCTATTAATCGCTCGATCCGTATACCCTGCACGAGCGGTTCCGTGGCAGTGGCGACTAGTACTGGTAAGTAGGTGCCGATCTCCTGTTTCATATTTGCAATTACTAGTCAAACGTTATGTTAACGGGTTTAGTGGCGTATCATTGTTCGAACTGAGGTGAGATAGCACCAGATACGTTCCTTGGACACTTCCTTAAGAGCTTCCCGCATGCAGTCAACAATTAGTCTAGAGCTTAGCGCTAAAGTCTCCTGCTTCCCTTGATACTGTCAGCCGGGTCTTCCCCGCACACGTTATCATGCCAAGGTTCGCAAGAATAGATCTACAAAACTAACAGAACGCGCCATTATCTACGATCCACGTCAGGAATAGCGACACCTGCTATCGTAATATTACATTCTTCAAATCCACCCAATAAAACCCTTCACATTAGGGGATGTAGATCTTCGAATACCCATCCACGCTGCAGTAAATGAAACGTCAATTCCAGTCTGGTTACCGCCCTGTAAAGATACTCACTTTCTTCGACAGCAAGGGCACGTGTGAGTAGATGCAGACGAACGTGACGCAAGATTTTCGCGGCAGTCATCACACACAGCGAGACATCTGCCGAGCAGTCAGTCTCACATCAATCCCAAAAAGAAATCGCGCTTGATTACTCACCGACATGGCCAACATATGATTTGCCGTGGCTCGACTGTGCATATCACACAGTTTCTCATTGTGTCCTGCGAGTCTTCATGTGTTGTTCCAGTCCCGCTGGAAAATGGTCGTCGGATTGCAGCAACGTCCGACCAGTCGCTCAGGAAACTGTCACTCCGTTGAGAAGGCGTCGACATCAGGTGCTCGAATCGCTGTCTTGTCATTGGCAATGTCGAATTATGGGTCATATGTGCCATCAAGACCGAGGCAGAAGTCATGGCTGAGGGAGTGGAAGAGAGGTCCGAAAACAAGTTGACAATCTCGTCTGTTACTTGCCCTGGAACCTCTTCTCCTTCCTCCTCCTCCTCCTCCTCGCTGCCATGCTCGGACCTCGACGGACTGGGGCTAGTGGACCCGTTCCGCTCCGTTTCCGGCGGGTGATATTCAAAATCTTCATCGTCTTCGTCCATGGGTTCTCCCCTAATGAATCGTTTGTACAATTCTTCTTGTTCTTCGGCCTCTTCAGCATCTAAATCTTGATTCCGCTCACTCGTAGTGGCCTCGTTTCTGACCACTATACGTCGAGGAGGGAAGTTGGGCGGCTTTCGCGACCTTCGTCTGAGTGCATTCCAAGATTTCATTATCAGCCCTCTGGCACATTGCACCAAACTCATTCCGAGTCTTGCAAGATCCCTGCACCAAGCCGTATCAAACCAGATATCTCCTCCAGTCGTTGTGACCTTGATGGTCTTGACTTCATTGGAAAAACCCTTCTTGAAACGACGGCGTTTGATGGGGCCTTCGACAGCTGGAGAAAGCGAAACCACCCCCAACCGATTCAGTTCCAAAGTTCCATCGTTCAGGGGAAGGGGCGTGACCGCAGTAACACCGCCCACTTGATTCCCAAGGCCCAATACACTCGAGGCCTCGAGGCTTGCCGTACCCATGCGTAACAATGCGACCGAGAAGTCTTCATCCCATTGCGGAATAAGAGCAGCTTGGTGGCCAAATAGGAGACGAGAGACTTTACCCTCCGTAGCAATTTGGGTAAAGGCATTGAGGAATAGAGCCAGAAATATGACGGCTAGAAGGGAAGATTCAAACAGGCAAGGCACATAGCTGAGCAGAGGATAAGATGAGTCCGATAGCCATAGAACTGAATGGAAGTGGATGAGTGCAAGAAGCGACACGAACGCCGATGGAAAGAGGCGATGGGACGACCAATCTTGCTTAGTCCCAATCAAGTGGATGATTGTGAGCTAGAAAGGGTTGTTAACTATCATCCCATGAGGCGAGGTAAGCTAACGAACCTGAAGCAAAGGTAACAGAATAGTAAATACAACATGCTTGTCTGGCCGTGAAGTCGAGCCTTCGAGCGTTATCCAGTGAGTCACTGGGGAAGAGTATGTGTGCAAAAGAAAAGCATAGCCAAGCTTTTTCTTCACGTAAGTGAGTGATCTTGCACATTACGCTAGAACCGCACCAGATTAAATGGCGAAGGGCGGTGTGCACCGCCTTCCAAACCATGTGTTAGTCCTTCCATGCATAAAACACCACAAACAGCACAAAAAGTGGACCAGCAGAGATCCGCAGTTTCTCTCTTGGCGACATAAGTCCCCGCTGACTGCAACCATGACAAGTTCCACGTTGGAAACTTGTCTGCTGCTTGAGCGAGAACGATGAACCATATAACGACCATCTTGGAAACGAAGTATAGCGAGGGCGAACGAAGCACGAGACGAGTTACTGAAGACGACAGATCCAGGGGGAAGATAGATTGGATAGCAGAGTATGGGAATGCACGGAGCCTTGTAGTGCGAGTGAAACGGGTCATGAATTCGTCCCTGGGCACTACGATGTTCCGTATGCGATGTAAGAGAACCGCCTAGTGCAAAGTCAGTCACAGTGCACATTACTTGCGGGTATAACACACCATAATGACCAATCCAAAAACATACCAAGACGTCAGAAAGCTCCATGGACCTGGTAAAGGGGCAGATACAGGTGGGGGAGGAGACTGTGATAACAGGAATTCATCGGACAGGTCATGCTTAACTCCGAAGACGAATAGACTCTCGGAGCCGTGCATCCATCTGTCATCTGTGCCCAATTTCCGTATGCGACCTAGCAATTGGACTGGGAAGGTCAACAGCGTGACAGATGCCTGGATAACACTTGACTTTGCCAGTCTGAACACTTCGACTGTAGCATTCGCCAGCATCGTGTTCAGTTCAAGAAAAAGAGAATGATAGAAACAGCCAGCAGTTTAGGTTTAGCCTCGTTGTTAAAACCGTCCCATGCCGGGACTCCGCTGGTGTCTAAGTGATGCAGGCTGTAACGCGCAGCAGCCATACTTAGTTATCATTCGCTTAGTCAACAGTGCGCTTTTACTAAATTTGCCTTTTCGGCGTAAATAGCACCCAATACTTACATGCTCGCAGTAGCATACAGAAACGTATGCAGGCACTCCGGCACGCACAAGGAACTCCTGAAATCCTTTACTATTTCCAAATGTGCGCGCAACTTTTCTATGACGCGCAAATTTGATCCTACTATCCGTGAATTCGTGTCTTGTCTCGCGCAGAAACAGCCGAGCTTCAAGGTAGCGTCCAAAGACGTGCATGTGCTTTCACAGCCTTCTGACTTTTACGCGAATCTACTTGTAAGCGCTCGTATCTTGTCTTTATGAGATTTTCCGACGGTGTGCATGCTAGAACATCATCCGTCGTGCACGGCGGCGGATTTTTCTGTCGTCATTATACATTGGTTTCTCGGAGACAGAGCTGGTAGGCACATCATACATTCTCCGACAAAGAGTATTTTCCTGATAGTCACCAGATAAACGCTTTGAACGATGCACTTCGGACGAATCCTGGTCTGCACCTCTACTTAAACTTGGACTACAACCGGTCTACTCGACCTGGACCATCATCTCCCATTCTCTCCCTTCTTCCCCTCCTACGGAACTATGAGCATAGAGTACATATATCCCTATTTCGGAGTCCAAAGCTCAGCGCAACGATGTCAAATATAGTCCCTCCTCGATTCAACGAAGGTTGGGGCACCTGGCACGCCAAAATTTACGGTTCTGACGATGAAGTTATGATTAGCGGGTCAGTCATTTGGAATTCAAAAATGCTCAGCTGACAAAATAACAGAGCGAATCTGAACAAGGCATATTTCTCGAATAGACAAGATCGATATCTCCATTTCAGCGCACAACCTGCTCTTGCAGATTACTGTTTCTCATTCTTGCAGGCCGTCTCTGGTTTTTCGTATCGAGTGCTGGCAACTCCAGATGGACCTGCCCTTCATTGGGACGACACGTCTGTTTTGCCGTGGCAGATCCAGTCCAAGGCAGAGCGTGTGTTGTCACAGTTTCAAATGAAACATCTGGTTTCGTCCGTGTCCTCTACCAGCAGTGAAGAACAGACAAATTCGTCGGATGTAGTCATCTTTCCCGTGATCCAAGCTGGGCAATTCAATATCCGAGAAGAGGAACATACTCTGTCGATGCTCTTCGATCACTTGGCATCTCGCGAAGACCGCTTGAATCAAGAACCTATTATGAATCTGACAAGCGGCTACTTTGGACTGTCCAAGGAATACCAAGATCTGATTTTGAAATCTAACGTTGGATGCAGTATCATAGCAGCCAGTCCGAAGGTGATTTTTTCCCAAGATCAGCCTGCTGATCATGATGTAACCTGCGTTCTCAGGCAAATGGTTTCTATGGGTCTGGAGGCCTGTCTGGACTCATCCCTGAGGGATATACCCTATTGGAGAAACGTTTTATGTCGGCAGTAAGAGCCGCGAGACGACCTTGTTCAAGTAACCACAATGTCAGCCTTAAAGAGTGGGAGAGGGATGGTTGGACGTACCACGCAAAAGGTCAGTACTTGGCTTTGGAGCGTTATCAAATCTCATATCCTCCATTCAGGAATTTGGCTTTCTCCTTCAGTAGATTCACCGCCAGTCCTCACGCTTTTTGGGTCGACGAACTTGAACTCACGTTCAACGAACCTTGACACAGAGCTGTCTTTCATGATGGCGACCTCATCAGATGAATTACGTCAAAAATTACAGGATGAAATTAAGGGACTGCATCGTTGGGCAGTGCCTTGGAGGGGCGGAGAAAGAAAGGTCAGGTGGCGTACGAAAGCCATTGTGGCTCTTGTCGGTGGTATGTTGTAGCCGATTACAGTTGTCGCTGTCATCTCGCGTATTTTCTGCCGTCACACTTCCGAGTCGATGCCACATGGCCCAGCTTACTGTGACATCGGCTTTTCAGTATCCAAACCTACAAAACTAACTTTCGCAGTTCAGTTTACCTTGTCAGGAACGGCAACAGGGTCAAAGAAATTGACATTGTTCGCGCACACGAACACTACGGAACGTCGACCTCCGAATCAGTCGAGCGATTGACGCTGGCAACAGATCTCGAACCAGCAGCGTCAGCCGTTTGATTCTTGGCCTCTTTATTGCCGTTCTTACTCGATTTCTTGTCTGCACCTCCTGAAACCGAAACATACTCAAACTTCCGAGTATCCAACGTCAGAGTAACAGGTCCCTATGAAGCCAGCATGCATCACCGCATAAAAAGCTCGAGTAGCGATACGCCATACCTCATTTGTCAACGATACATCCATCATAGCACCGAATTGCCCGTCTGGAAAGTACATTAACCACGTCATGGTGCACTCGACGAGAACGAAGCTAACCTTGTATTCGATCCGGCACGTACAGACGCCGCATTTTCTCAAGAAACGTTGCATACAGTTCTCTGGAGGCATTCGAGGACTGGAAAAACAATGCAATTGGCGTTAAATTATCAAGAAATTGAGATGGCACACCATCGCACGATGAAAATCAGGTTTGTTGCCTTTGGTAGTGTTCGCCATCAGCGTGAACTGGGAGACGCAGAGGACTTGGCCAGCGATATCCTTGACGTTCGACTTCCACATCGAACCATCCGCATCGAAAACGCGGATGTTGAGTCTATTGCTAGTGGTCAGTACGGAAGACAAGGGCCGAGATACGCTCATCCTTGCATTTTGTTGGTCAATGTTTCGACATCCGCAAGCGTGTCATCTATCCTGTGCAGGTACTCATTGGCTGTGTATCTGCACAGCATACATATCCATACCAGTACCGATTCCAACTAAGACCATCAGTCCTCGGGATATGCTTGAGATCACATTTCCGTCGACTGCGATGCAGATTAGGTACATTAGCTTTGATGGATTTGCTAATAGTTTTTACCTGATACCGAGGCCGATGCGACGCGTTGAACTACAGCTCTCATTTTGTGCTACGCGGCGGGCCGTCGATGCTAGCGCTGACCTAGAGTGATGACAGTCCGACAATAAGATTGATTACATGATAAAGTACTGAAGATTATTGTGTATGATGACTCATTCAGGAAAGCCCCGCGGGTGGTCGCTATCTTTAGATTATCAGGTACATTGTTCTCATGCCACTATGACATTGCAACATTTTCACATCGCGCAATGGGCCACTGGATGAATATTGTAAGCCGTCTGTGCATCCCCGGAGCTCGATGTATGACTCATGTGCATGATGTATTTGGCACTCGTACTATCATGACACGTTGATTTAACGGCCGAAATATGTGAGTACATACTGATGACTCAATACTAGTCAATACCCATCGAGGAACCAGTGGTCTAGCCACGTCAAAAAGATGGCAGATACTCACAAGGAGGGATACGACAGTCTGCCGGCAGTTACTCATCCACTCGGACACTCCACCGTGATGCATCTCCGTCGGCTCTTACTTATGCCTGGTCGCGGCAAAACACATACTAGATGCTCGGACATGTGCACGACGAGTACGTACTGTCACAGGATCAGGGGAAACAATTGTGGTACTAGGTTTGCAAGACATGACTTCTTTATGTAAGTTTACCATGCTCTCATCATTGTAGATTTGGTTGTGTGGCCTCAAGTTGTCGTTTCCCAGATTCCGTTATAACAGCTCAGTCAGCCTGAGTTTTCGTCACCCATCACATTTGTCATCTAATAGCGATTCGATCTCAGGGCGTTCTCTTATGATCTGGCGTTCAAAAGCAGGCTATTTCCGTTAAACACAGGATGACGTGGGTGATCACTAGTCACATCTTTAACTGTTCAATCGAAAAAAAGCGGCTTGATGCATATCATTTCCGGGGGTGCGGGGATCTCCGACTCGCATATCATCAAATTTGTTTCCATGTCTCGCAAACTCCTCATATTATCGCAGATCATTGGGACCCTGGTGGTACATGCCTGTCGGTGCCGGATCTTTGGCTTTACGGTAGATCAGCGCCCAAATATCACTGAAACGGGGACTGCCTTTTTCGCTTTTGAAACCCGACATATGTCCGTGCAGGGCGTTCGTACCTTTGGTGTCATCTTCAACGCCCCGCGTAGAATTCGGGATAGGTCCGAACCCACTGACATTATTGACCTTGGGAAATGCAGCCAGTCCGTAAAGAGCACACCCACGATTTGCGAGGAAGATATTATCCGGATCAATGCGAGCCAGTGAGTGATTCCTTCGAATGGGCCCAGGCCAGGGGGACGAACCTGGATATCTATGTCTGATTTAGCAATTGGGTGAACGTAAGTCTGACTGACACAAGGTCTTTGAGATAAAGTTGCTCGGACAATCAAGATGCGGGTGTATGCAGCAAGAACGGCATGTTTCGATGAAGCCGAGAGGACCGTTCATGGTTACATCGTATGTTCACTCCACTATCAAATTAAACTCATCAAACTCCTGACCAGTATTACACGCTTCTTGGACATGATCTTGCGCCACAACGGTAGCTACGCCAGTTCCATCATCTCTCAGGATGCTGGACCGCCAAGCACCGCAAGCACTAGCGGTTCTGCCATGGCATTCTCGCAGTCAGACCGTTTACAGAGGCGTGGCTCATTCTCCTCTGCTGCTGGTGCTTCCGATATGGCCAGCATGAGTGCGTATGATTACAAGAGTCAGGACGGCACGACAGACCTCGACGACGTGAAGAGCCAGTATGCGGGGACACAATCGGGCGGGACTGCGTTCTAGATGGCGCGAGTTATTCCACTGCTGCGGATCCTATGCGCGCACTATGATTGCGCGAGCTGTTATGTGTAGGACTGGTTCATGGCTGGTGACGCCACGGCCAGCTAGGCCAGCTCCCTTGCACTTCTTGTCGCATCTTGGCAGCCTGTTGGTGTCTTCAGGTTATCCCTTTTCTCCAGCGAGCCGGCGGTTATCATGCGACAGTCTCGTCGCGTGCGCGAATGTTACGGTACATCAGTATACCTGCATAGTGGTCCGCGTGCTGCTCTCCGCGTATGCGGTGTTTGACTTTTGGAAGTACTTTATGCTTATGCTGAAATCAGGATATGGAATGCGCTATATTTCTTGCATGCGACAGTCGATAGATGCTTTGTCAATACATTAGGTGGGCCATGCGAGTATGGGATAAGGTTACATATCATTGTGTGCTCTGTTAGCGCAAGCAATCCAGAAAATTCGGTATGACCGGTGAACGAGTGGTATCTATTCAGCTGAACGAGAGAATGCTGCCTACGATGGTAGTCCTCTACCGGGAACATCATTGAATTGTATAAGTATCCGATGGATCCAGTGACATCTACTCCGACGAAAATGCTCAAAAGGAACAAGAAGCCTAGCGAGAATCTGAAGCGAGTCGTGATAAACATGGGAGCCACCTTGCGAGAACTGCAAAGCAGCTGATGCGTGGGGCATGTGCGACATCTAGTGGGGAAGAGGGTCTGGCGCTTCCAGTTTGCAACGTTGCTGGCGCAGTTTCATTGACCACATTGGATGTCTCCGCTGGTGGCGTGCTGCTGCTTGAGGCACCAGTGAGCTTGCCAGTTGCGAGGAGGACATTGTGCCTTCAACAACCTATTCCTGTTTCCACTGTGGGCATTAGCGGTGCGCTGCGAGACAACATCAAGGTTACGAGATGGATGTCGAAAAGTCAGGAAAGCTTACATATTTGCCTGGTGTTGCAGAGACGTTCACAAGAGGAATCTCGCGTGGGGGAGGAGTTGGGTCCTGGGAAGCGGAGGAGCGAGAAAAGATACCATCTATCATGTTTTTGATTTTGGAACCTTTGGCGTTGCGTGTAGTGCCGGCGCGATTGTTGCGTTCAGTTGGATCAGACTGTCAAAGGATAGTGAGACGTGCATCAGATCTACTGTATCATATAAACTTACATCATTGAAGAATATATCAGTCGGCATTGAAGCGCGTTTTGGGCGAGGCCGTGGGTCTGGAATGGTTTTCTGCAGGACTGAACTTGGTGATTGTATAAAACAACGAGCTGAAAGCGGCGTACATTGAGAATTTTCTGAGTGGACTATATGACAGGTCAGCGGGCGTGAAGTATGATACGACGAGATAATTTGCTCACCTGTTGAAGCTCCTTCTCTGACTCGCTCAGAGGAACTGTCCATGTGCGAACATGGTTGTCGACACAGCCAGTCGCGATGAGTTTGCTGTCCTCGGAAAATGCCACACACCAGACTCGATGGGGGTGCTCGAGTGGCTCGCCAATGGGTTCGAAAGTGGTCAGGTCAAAGAACCGCGTCGTCTTGTCGTGTGATGCAGTGGCTAATTTGGTGCCATTGGGAGCAACGGCTAGTGATGAAAAGGAGTCGGTAGTATGCGCGTCGAACTGTTTCATGATGTCTCCGGTGGTAGCATCTGATATTCGGATGTCTCCTTGGTTTCCACTGACGAGACGGAGAGTCGGAGACTATCTGGAGTGAATGCGACTCGCCATGCCCGCTGTTCTATTTTCAGCAACTCTTCTCCAGTCGCTAAATTCCAAATAATGATGTGCTTCTCTGTGCCTGCTGCTAGTTTCGTTCCATCCGGAGAGTACGACACCGAGAATGCTACCGTGCCCACTTTGAGTGGTCCGAGAGCTATTTTTCCCGTCTCCCTCTTCCACACGCATACCGTTTCGTCCTGTGATGCACTTGCAAATGTCTTGTTGTCCGGTGCAAATACGATGCCATAAACCAGAGTCTGATGGCCCTTAAACGAGACGGGCACTCTGTCGCAACTTCCCAGACCAGGATGCTTCCATTCCATCCGCCACTCGCTATCCAACGTCCGCATCAGGGGACGCCGAGACCGCCCAGACTTTGTCATCGTGTCCCAATAAGGGCTCTCCCACTTGTTTCCCGGTGTCCAGATCCCACACCCGAAGACTCTTGTCATCCGAGCCAGTGACGAGGAGACGGGTACCGAGGATGAAAGCCACTTCGTTCACACGTTCCTCATGACCCTTGAATGCCAGTTCAACAGGCTGGGCGGGCGCTTTTGTGGATGCCATTCAATCTTGTTCGGTATCTTAGTCAGCAGGAACACTGAGGGAACAGCAATCACTTACATGCGCTGTGGTGAGTAGTCGTTAAGTTGCATCTTCTGTAAGACACTGACTATCGCTGAACCATTTGCTGTAGACACGTGGTGCCCCGCATACGGTTTAGCAACATCTTCAGCGCTTCTTCTAGGAGCTTTCTTCAGTAGGCGCCATGGCCACTTTTACTGTGTTTCAACCTGTCGTAATTTCCCGGCCACGTTCGACTCAGTTGACCCGAGATCTTTTCCTGCATGTATATTGTACTGATAAGTGGTAACATGAATGTAACGAATCAATCGCTTGATACTGATTGGATGTGGTAATAGCACCGTCCAGGTCAGGCGGAGGAAGAATGAGATGTTCGTTCCTGCCAGCATCATTGGGTCTTGAAAGTGGCAACTTCGCTCCATTGTATACTCTCCTGGCCATTGCTGCACCGCAAGGCAATCAATTCCGCAATTACAAGTTTTTACAAGTTTGACCGCCATGCGGACACGGAGCGAGAGATGCTGAACTGGCCCATATACGCGCGAGGTTAAGCATACAAACTGCTATCGATATAGCGTGGGCGTCGAACTGTGTAAGGACTGTTGGAGCGTCTCCAGACGGGTGGTAGATTATGAGTGGAGCGTCCGACGGAAGCATCCCTGATGATCACCACTGGACAGAGAACGCCGGCTGTGGATCGAGGAGTGTGAAACGAGCTCCTGTGCATTGTTGTGCTCTTACTGACCAGTCTGTAGTGGTGAACGAATTTTGTCCTTCCAATACTGTAACTCGTGAATATCACTGCACCAGTACTTACTGAATGGTTCCCGCCGACAACATCTATGCCCTGGTCACCGTTGGCAACGGCATCATACAAGACTGCAACTGTATCAGATTGTTGGGACTCTGGCTGATGATGCCAAGCTAACATGGAAAACGTTGAGATACAAACATCAGTTATTGGACATACCAATTTGGCTTTCCTTCATCAAGCCGGGGTGGTTGTGTAGTACTCTCCAGTGGATTGGTTAAGATCTAGGTTGCACTTTCAGCAAGTGCTTTAGTCGAGATTGCGGGGATATCGATGACACCGACCAAAACTGCGGTCTTTTGATAGTCCGAGGTGGTGTAGGCTGTCTAGGCATGCGAGATCGGAGTCTTGACTCTTGACTGCTTTTTCGCGTTCTGTCCAGGGTTCGCGAAAGGAGGAGGAAGAGAAAATACCATTTCGAACAATGTTGTGTATCATAGTACAATTGCAGTCGTTTATCGGGAGTAACATTGATTTGCATAAGTATTTGAAAGAAAATCAATGCAGCAGTTGTATCTATGCCAACGAAAAGGTTCGGATAGGATGAGGTCGCTTAGCGGGTGTGGGGAGTGGCAGGACTTATTCGTCGAGTACGTGAAAGACGCGGGAAGCACCTTGTGAGAGCTGCAAAGCAGCTGATGCCCGGAACACGTTCAACATCCAACGGCAGCATGACATGTAGTGGTAGCAGCAGGATTGTTACGTCCAGGTGGAGGATGTGGATCAAACTATCAAAGGATGGTGAGACATGCATCGAATATACCGCATCGTATGGACTTACATCATCAAAAAATCTACTAGTAGGTATTGGAGCACATCTTGGCTGTTGACGTGGGATGGTTTTCTGCAGGACTGAAGTTAGGGATCGTACAAAATAACGAGCGTGAAAGCGTACCTGGAGAATTTTCTCAGTGGACTATATGACAGGTCAGTGGAAGCATAACATGATGAGAGAACTTGCTCACTTCTTCGAGCTCTTTCTCTGACTCACTCAGAGGAACTGTCCATGTGCGAACGAGTTTGTCCTCACAGCCAGTAGCAATGAGCTGGCTGTCCTCGGAAAATGCCACACACAAGACGACATCAGGGTGCTCGAGTGGCTCGCCGATAGGTTCGAATGTATTCATGTCAAAGAACCGGGTGGTCTCGTCGGTTGAAGTGGTCGCAAATTTGCTGCCATTGGGAGCAATGGCTAATGATTGACAGGGTTTGTTGTGCGCGTCGAACTGTTTTATTATGTCTCCAGTGGCAACATCTGTGATTCGAATGTTATTCCAATCCCCACTAATGAGACAGAGACTATCTGGAGTGAATGCGACTCTGTACGCCCGCTCTTGTATCTTGAGCAGTTCTTCTCCATTCGTCGCGTTCCAAACGATGATGTGTTTGTCGGTGCCTACTGCTAGGTTTTTTCCATCCTGAGAGTACGAGACCGAGTTTGGCAGCTCCCCCAGTCGGAGTGGCCCGACAACTATTTGTCCCGTCTCCCTCTTCCAAACGCATACCGTCAAGTCATTCGATGCACTTGCAAATGTCTCGCTGTCTGGTGCAAATGCAAGGCCCCGAAGCAGAATTTTATGACCCTTGAACGAGACAGGCTCTCTCTTGAGATCTGTCTTGTCTGTTGCAATTTCCCAGAGCAGGATACTTCCATTCCATCCTCCACTTACAATCCAACGTCCATCGGGGGACGCTGCGACCTTCCAGACTGCGCAATCGTGATCCAACAAGGGATCTCCCACTTGTTTCCCTGTGTCCAGATTCCACACCCGAAGAGTCTTGTCGGCGGAGCTAGTGACGAGGAGGTTCGTACGAGGGATGAAAACTACGCCGGACACCCATTCTTCATGACCCACAAGCGTGAGCGTGGGCTGAGATGTTTCCTCTTGAGTTGGTGGGGTGGATGTCCTGTGACCGTCTTTCTGAGTGGTGGCCGCCATTCGATATTCAATCTTGCTCAATTTGTCGGTCAGCAGGAGCTTCGAGTGGGGGAGCAGACACTCGCGCGTGCTATGGTGAGTAGCGATTAAATTAATATTTATATCCTATAGGTCCTCACTATTGTTGCTAGCGCATCCACATGTCGGCCTTGCTGCAGACACGTGGTGTCCCGCATACAGGTTGTACGTTATCCATACCGTACCTTCAGCGCGTCTCAATCCTTCCAGTGCTTGACTGTAAGCAAGTTGTCCTCGGCCATCACCAACAGCTTGGTCCAGTCATTATCCTGAATAACTTGAAGAATGCGGCACGCGCTCGTCTGACACAATCGCTCTTCGAACAGTTGGTTGTACTTGGTCACAGACCTATTTCGAGTCTGCATGCGCCCTTGTTTGTCTCAATTTCCTCGAATGTGCTCTATGAGGGCGCACTGTAGAATGGCGTCACTGCTCTCGAACGTCTTCACAATAATGTGGACCCCCTCGCCCCGGGCATCCTGGTGTTCCTCTGCCAAAACCTTGGTCGGGAGGAAACATCCTCCAGAAGAACCTCGCTCCTCAATAGGTGCTTCCATGTCCTCATCTCTCAGTGGCACCTGCTTATCATGGGACGCAGGACAGAAGTGTCTGACGTGGAGAAGATCCTGACCAAGCTCTTCAAGTCGGGTGTCGTACTTGCCCCAATTTCAGGGCCAGCGTTCCTATATGCAGTTCAACGAGTCTCTTAATAACGACTTGTACAGTCATTGTAGTACACTAGGTTGACTATGCTCGGGATGTGACACCATGAGGTCGAAGTACTAGTCAGATATAAAGCAGTGTATTTTGGAAATTACATGTGTCTTCGAATACTTTGTGCATGCGTGATATCTTCTCCAACAAAAAAGATTTGGAAGGGAAAGGACACTCAGTTGGTGCGCGGAGCAGCAGGACTTATTGGTCAGGTTCGTGCAAGACACGGGAAGTACCTTGTAAGAATTGCAAAGCAGCTAATGCCTGGAACATGTTCAATGTCCAACGGAGAAGGGTGGTTAGTGGTAGCAGAAGCGTTGGCATTTCCAGTCTGCAACGTTGCTGGCGCAGTTTCATTGACCACATTGGATGTGCCCGCTGGTGGCGTGCTGCTGCTTGAGGCACCAGCGTGACCTTGCCAGTTGCGAGGAGGACGTTGTGCCTTCAACAACCTATTCCTGTTTCCACTGTGGGCATTAGCGGTGCGCTGCGAGACAACATCAAGGTTACGAGATGGATGTCGAAAAGTCAGGAAAGCGTACATATTTGCCTCGTGTTGCAGAGACGTTCACAAGAGGAATCTCGCGTGGGCGAGGAGTTGGGTCCTGGGAAGCGGAGGAACGAGAAAAGATACGATCTGCCATGTTTTTGATTTTGAAACCTTTGGCGTTGCGCGTAGTGCCGGCGCGATTGTTGCGCTCAGTTGGATCAAACTGTCAAAGGATAGTGAAATGTGCATCAAATCTACTGTATCATATGGACTTACATCATCGAAGAATCTATTAGTCGGTATTGGAGCGCGTTTTGGGCGAGGCCGTGGATCTGGGATGGTTTTCTGCAGGACTGAAATTAGGGATCGTACAAAACAACGAGCGTGAAAGTGGCGTACATTGAGAATTTTCTGAGTGGACTATAACTATATGACAGGTCAGCGGGCGTGAAGTGTGATACGACGAGATGTTTTGCTCACCTGTTGAAGCTCCTTCTCTGACTCGCTCAGAGGAACTGTCCATGTGCGAACATGTCCGTCCCAACAGCCAGTCGCGATGAGTTTGCTGTCCTCGGAAAATACCACACACCAGACTAGATCAGGGTGCTCGAGTGGCTCGCCGATGGGTTCGAAAGTGGTCAGGTCAAAGAACCGCGTCGTCTTGTCGTGTGACGTGGTGGCGAATTTGGTGCCATTGGGAGCAATGGCTAGTGATAAAAAGAATTCGGTGTGCGCGTCGAATTGTTTGATGATATCTCCGGTGGTAGCATCTGATATTCGGATGTCATTCTGGTTTCCACTGACGAGACGGAGACCATCTGGAGTGAATGCGACTCGCCATGCCCGCTGTTCTATTTTCAGCAACTCTTCTCCACTTCCTGAATTCCAAATGATGATGTGCTTATCTGTGCCTGCTGCTAGTTTTGTCCCAGCCCGGGAGTACGACACCGAGTTTGCTATGTTGCCCACTTTGAGCGGTCCGAGGACTATTTTGCCCGTCTCCCTCTTCCACACGCATACCGTTTTGTCCCATGATGCACTTGCAAATGTCTTGTTGTCCGGTGCAAATACGATGTCAAGAACCTGATTCTCATGGCCCTTAAACGAGACGGGCACTCTTTTGAGCTCTCTCTTGTTTGTCACAACCTCCCACACCAAGATGCTTCCATTCCTTCCTCCACTCGCTATCCAACGTCCATCAGGGGACGCCGAGACCGCCCAGACTTCGGCATCGTGTCCCAACAAGGGCTTTCCCACTTGTTTCCCCGTGTCCAGATCCCACACCCGAAGACTATTGTCGGCCGAGCCAGTGACGAGGAGACGGGTACCGAGGATGAAAGCTACTTCGCGCACACGTTCCTTATGACCCTTGAGTGTCAGTTCAACAGACTGGGCGGGCGCTTTTGTGAATACTTTGCGGGTGGTGACCGCCATTCAATCTTGTTCGGTGTCTCGGTCAGTAGGAATATTGAGGGAGCAGCAATCACTTACATGCGCTATGGCGAGTAGTCGTTAAGTTGCATTTTCTGTAAGATGCTAACTATCGCTGAACCCCTTGCTGTAGACACGTGGTGTCCTGCAAACGGTTTAGCAACGTCTTCAGCGCTTCTTTCAGGAGGTTTCTTCAGTAGGCGCCGTGGTCGTTTTCACAATGTTTCAACATGATGTTGTCACTGCCCGGCCATGTCCAAGTCAGTCGACCCGAGATCTCTTACATTTATCTTGTGCTGATAAGTGATAACATGAATGTAACGAATCAATTGCTTGATGCTGGTTGGCTGTGGTGGTAACACCTCCAAGTCGGGCCGAGGAAAATGATATTTTCGTTCCTGCCGGCATCGCTGGGTCTTGAAAGTGGGAAATTCACTCCATTGCGTAGCTTCTCCTGATTACTACTGCACTGCAAGGCAATTCATTCCGCGATTATAAGTTTGGCCACCATGCGGACACGGAGCGAAAAATGCTGACTGGCCACATATGCGCGCGGGATTCAGCATATAAACTGCCAAAAACTGCTATCGATCATATAGCGTGGGCGTCAAAGGACTGCTCCAGATGGGCGGTCACTGGATTATGAGTGGAGCGTCCAACGGAAGGATCCCTTATGATCATCACTGAACAGAGAATGCCAGCTGCGGATTGAAGAGAGTGAAATGAGCTCCTGCGCGTAGGTGTACCAGTGTTTGGGAGACCTTTGCAGTTGATGAGGACGTTGTCGTACATCGACCGGAGTTTATTTGTATTATCATGCTCAGCGGGCTAGTTTACTTGGACGTTCAAAATTCAAACATTGAAGAGTCCAATTATTGAACGTTCGAACCTTCTCTTCCCAGGCCGGTCGTATGCTTTCAATCAGCGTCCCGGATCAACGATCGATCGATCAAGGACCGTCATTCCTTCAATGAGAATGCTCCTCCAAGACGTATGTGATGGCGTCATCGAGCTTCGCGATCATCTATACGATCTCGAGGACTGACGGAAGCTGGCAACACGAGCTCACTATGCACGCATGCTCTTGTAGCAAATGAGGGGGTCCTCTGGGCCAGGCACGCAGCACTCTTACACGATATCAAAAATCTTCAGAGGACCAGTAGCATTGTCTCGAACGCACTGGTTGACGACGGAATGCTCGGAGTGCTCAGGGTGCATACACGATTGTTCTTGAAGCTTGAAGCTTTCAATCCCGAAAGATCTGCGCTTGAATGGAATGCAAACTACCTATTTCACGTTTGAAACCCGACATATGTCCATTTTGGACACCCTGGCGTACTACGTCTGCGCCCGTTCCCTGACAGAAAGTTTTACAGAGGTATTCCAACCACCTATGACTCAGTACTCAATGGTGGCTGGTGTGCTGAGCCACGACTCGGATTAGCTCATGACTCCAATAAGGTTAAGAGGGGCCGAAGCAGGGTCTGATGCGCCGATGTAATGTGGATGATGCTGAGTTCATGCTGAGGGAAGTTAAGTCTGTCTTAGACCTGAAGGATACTTTGTTAACATGGTCCCAGTAGAGTCACCATTACTAAGGGAATTCAAAGGCTGCACATTCGTGTAGGTTACAGTGTCCGAGTCACATGTTGCACTCCCGAGGGGCATTCCGCATTCTTATATCCTCTCAGTACTCTTTGAGATGATTGCAACAGGCAAGAGATCGGAATAGTGAATTCAGGCTGTCGTCGACTTTGTGAATATCGGATTTCAAGTTATGCTTTTCACCTCGCTGAATTTTAATCCCGATTGTGTAGAGTCCTCGTTGATGAAGCGCTCAGGTTCGCGTCCAGTTGTTCCCCAGGTCGCAGCCAGACGTGCTGGGTTGACCAGTGCATTCGTTTGGTATCTGAACGCATGACTCTTGGCCCATCATCGCAGATATCCTTCCTCGACTTAAATTTGAACGTTGCAGCTGGTTACGCAGAGCCAAACCTTGGTCAGCTTTATCTCCTTCTCAACTTCAACGTTGCAGCTGGTGATGCAAAGCCAGCCAGCTTTATCTCCTCTCTTTTCCTGTCAAGTTCCAATTAATGAGGTTCGTATAAGCAACCTTCTACTACGGAGAATAACCCTGGAGGTTGCTCTTTGTTGGTAGGGCGTTAATCTCTGACCCCATTAGCCGCATATGTCACGGTGTTATAGCGCTCGCCGCTACTACATAGCTGAACGAGATTCCCTGCAATGGTCGGGTCTCACGCTAAAAATATTCCAGAGATCAGAAGATCGATAAGCCACAGCTTGTGACGCAAACCAAGAACAGCTGTACAGCATGTACAGCCTGTTATCTGGGGCATATAAAAGCCCTCCTTCCTGAACCTCTACTAACTGCAGAACTCGACGTTCTCCAATCCATACTTACTCTCAACTGCATTTTGTGTTTTAGAATCACTTTACAACCTACCATGCAGTCGACGCCTCCTGGGGCCATCGTTAGGAACTTGACATTTCAGTCGTGAGCGTCTTTGAGCTATAGCGCTGTTTCATCCTGACCGTCTTGCAGCGAAAATCTCGGCCGAGACACGACGATTTTGCTCGTTTTTGATACTGACATGGAGGGCCTCTACGACACAATCTACCCTGTGGTTTGGAAGTAAGCGCCCCCGCTTTCACTCTCGAGGAATACAAGACTTTCAATGTTTTCAGAACCTTTACTTTCCCAAAGACAGGTAGGCCCCTCGCGCCCAATTCCCACTTCAATTATGAACTTTCGTCTTAGACTGGTACAGCTATAATGTGACCTACTCGGACGAGTAAGTATTGTCCGAGAAATATCCAATATCATGTTCACGAACGTCGTTTTTATTCGACGTATAGCCTTGGTTTTTCCAAAGTAAGGATCGGAAATAGAAACCTCCTTGATACTCTTGGTCACTTCAAGCTGAAGGTGGGAGACTCACATCTACTCTGCGGTTCCCAGCACAAAGACGACCCATCATGCAGCCAGGCCAAAAAACCACACTATCCCTGAACGATGACGATGATCTACGTTTCTCTGTATGAACAGCGTTCATCTACCTTCATCTCTGCAGTTTACTAACAACCTGCGTAGCTACCTGTGAATGGTACCAATGATTACCTGACGGCAGAGAACGAGACTGGGTTTCATCAGGACCTTGCAGTCGGTTTGTGACATCTTTTTCTTCTCTTTTTCTCACCTCATTGGAACCATCAGGCTTTTATGACCCATCAAGAACCTTCACGTATGGGCCTGCTCCGATGCTCTTCTTCAAAGAAGTTGGGTATGTCAACTCCCCTTCATTCTCCTTCCAGGAAACTCACAGTTCATACTGCAGGAACGGAAGTAAGGCCACTGCTCAATGTAAACCGGTCCTGCGCATCTACGTCGAATCGGACTATCGAGAGACCGAGGTCTTGGTCGATGCCATTAAAAGCACTGCCATCTTGGAGCAGGATCTTCACCAGCTTTTTCGGAACACGGTCTTCAACCTCGAACGGAACATGCTGACTGGACGTTACAAACTCACGAAGACTAAACCGTAAGTAGGTCGTACTGCCACTGGCATATACCAAACGGCAATATACTGAAAGCTTACCACCAGTGGCTCGGATTATACTAGGGTACAGTGCGCAAACCAATGAAGGAATGCCAAATTGGCGTGCATGGTAACTGTTGTCAATGCCTTGTTCTCTCTGTTTTCGCCGTCTCAGTTGCTTGTCTTGTATAACCTTCCATCTCGTGTAATCACCGTTGTACCATATTGGGTCGCAAAACGACTGTCTTGATCCGCTCACCGTAGGATGAGTAGCGACTTGAAGCAAAGACTACTTCAAGTCGCAGCTCATCTTATCGTGATAGAGGCCCTGACAGTGTTTGAGTGACCTGACATAATTGGGATGGAGTACAAGGGTATGAGTATTACACCAAGTGCTAGCGGATATAAGTATGCTAAGCCAACGCTATAACCGTCCCATTCATTTCGTCGACAGAAACGACACTTAATTATGATAAGTTACAGTGAACCGATGACGATAAAAAAGAAACTGCAATATAAAGAAATGCGCTATTAAATTCACAAATTTCATGCTGAACTATTCACATCTTCATCGACGTCCCCCTCTTCGCTACCGAAGTCGCCCCCTCACTCAACCGCTGGGGATGCGATGAAGGAGGCGCAGAGTGCGATACGTGATCTAGTTGCTGATCTTCGTCTAACGATACCTGGCGAGCTTGCGTGAAAAAGACTTTCGCATCTCGATCGGAGATGTTCTCGATGTAGTAGGTGTTGCCTGAATGTGGATGCAGTTTATATTATACATGAGACCAGCGGACGGGGCATGAGGAATGGGACTGACCACGCGGCACAATGAACATGCCCCCTGTAGCTACAACATATTGTGATTCGTGAATCACAGCGGCTACGGCGCCTTCAATGACGTAGAAAACCTGCGTAAAATGATGTGAATAGATTGAAATGCGCAGTGTAGCGACGAATGCGAACATAAGTATTGTCTTTTGTGCCTTTGCTTGGTTTGCGGCCCTGCGGGGGTATACGAAGGACGCCGGCTGCAATAAAGTCGCCCTCCCCAAAGACCTTTTGAAAAAACCACCCGCCGCCAGCTGCAGGTCTCGGGTCGACCTTTTTTGCTGTATAGACAATACCTGAAACAACGATAGTCAATATAAGACCATAAAGTGCCGATGGGAGAAGCTACGTACGTCTTAACACAGGCTCCTCGGTGGCATAGTCAATGACCACACCGGATTCCTGTGTTTCGTCGTCCCAGCCTTCCTCGGGGTCAAATGGCTCAGGTATACTCTTCGCACGTTCACTGCCTGTGCGCTTGCGCTTCTTTCCTGCCTTCCCGAGTGGTTTAGGAGGCTCTTGCGGGATGCGTATGATTTCTTTAATTTGAGGAACGAGAATCAGGCCGGAAGTATCACCACCATAGACGACCTTTTCTTGGCGCCAGTATTCGAGCGGTTTGTACCGATGCCGTCGACTGCGACGTACCCCATCAAGTGGTGGAGAATCTAAGGTGGATGAATTTCTTGTTCATGATGTAAGAGATGACTTACTTTCTTCGACTGATTTGATGACTCGTTTGGGTGCACGCGCTGCTTTCGGTTTCTTCGGTTGCTGCTCTTTCGGTTTTTCTTTGCGTGGCTTCTTAGGGGGTGGGTCTTCATCTTCTTCCTCATCTGGCGCATTCTCAACTTCTTCGAGTCCCCGGGCAATATCCTCATCGATCTCGTTTTCCTCCTGTTGCTCCAACTCTACATCTGCGCGCCCCTTGCCCTTGCCAGCCTTCTTCGCCTGTGATGCCATTTGTTTTTCGACTTCTGCAGCGTCATCCTCATCATCCTCGTCCGCATTCGCATAATTGAAACTTGTTCCTGTTTGCGGTGGGCTGTCGTTCGGTAGGGGATCATAGTCAAAGTCTTGATTTGCTGGCTCGAACTCGGGGTCCGAAGCAGGGCCAGGCTCACGAGGGTCGTTGTATACGGTGAACGACTTTGACAGTACTGAAGGTCCTGCACCATTCACAGTAGATTCACGCCTAGATGGTGCAGCGCGCATACGGGGCGAAGGTACCTCGTCAAAGTCGATCTCAGACGTTCGCGGAACGGACCGCGACGAGCCTGGTTTGCGCGCACTGTTAGGCGCCATTATGGGAGGCGCATTGGTAAGGTAAGCCAGCGGACTACCCTGGTTGCCTGTGTAAAATTATGGTGATAAACACGTCGGATCGTACTTGCGGTCAAAGTCACTCACTTTCTGCCAACTCCATGGACATCTCCCCATCCTCGTCGTATTCGTCGACTTCTGGAACGGGAGTAGCGACGACTGGGGCCTTCTTCTTGCGTGATTTAACTCGGGGCGGTGTGCGATCGTCAGCTTGCTTGATGACCTCGTCGAATGGCTCGAATTCATCAGAGTCACGGCCGACGTATTGGACTGCAATTCCGGTTTTCTTTCCGAGGCCAAGATCATCGGCGCGGAATGGAATATGTTTCTTTGGGGGGCCGCGGCGACTACCTATGCTTGATTTTCTGCGGTCTGTAGATTCGCGTGGCATCGTTGGTGACGGCGAGCACCTAAGCTGGAGGAGTAAGTGCCGTGGGAAACTTAAACAAGACACGCTTGTCGCGGTTAATGGGTCACGGCATGTCACGCGACCACGCGTTTATGTCACTTTGCGAGCCACAAAAGGCGTGGCACAAGGTCGATTCAAAGAGTGTCAATGTGATAGAAAACTACTATGATTTCTCTAAATCCCCATTCCCGTTCGTATCAGGACCCTTCTTTCTAAGGATCTCCTGCAAAAAGTCTAGTGTCGTCTCACTAGGATTGCGTGGTGGTGGTTGCGTCGACTTGCGCACGATATTATCGAACCTTGCTGCGCGCTTAGGGTGTGGGGTGTGATTGGCGAAAGACTGCAGAGGTTCAGCCGTGATGTACTCCAGTGAGCCAGGCCTATGTGTGTTGCTTTGCGAGTGACTCTGCGCGTCATTTGCAAATGCTGTCATCGAGAGCTTCGCCGCTTTCAACCCTTGCCTCTTGTATACCACTTCTGGCGCCTTTTCCAACACTACAGACTCAGGCCTGAGGTTCGTCACACCAGTTTTGCTTGGATCGCCCCACGTCATCACGTTGCCCACTCCTTTGTTCTTCTGCTGTACGAGGGTGCCCATACCAGCGTATGATGCCACGAAATATATGGGCTTTCCTTTGTCGCCCTTTACCTCTTCAACCAATCGTCCTTTGTGCTCCTTCGTAGAGAGATATGTTTGAAGTGATGAGAAATGAGAGTAATGGAGACCTGCAGAGCGATGTGGTACGCTTTCGAGTGAACGTGATCGAGGATGCTCTCGTACTCCTTCAGACTCCCACATAGCGAAGTCATCGAGGGAATAATCCGTTGGGAGTTTTTCGGGAGGGGCTTTTTTCGCCTTAGACAATCCTTTGGGTGTAGACGATTCCTTGGACGAGTCTGCCTTCATCAGCTTTAACGCCTCTTCCTCCCTCTCTTTCATCTCCTTCTGCTTCTTTAATGCTTCCGCCTTCATTTTCTGATATTCAAAGAAGTGCTCGCGTTTGCGACGGATATGCGCAACATATTTCTTGAATTCCGAATTGGACATGGCATGGACATTGGGGACAGCAGGCGAGCGCCAACATTGTGGGTCCATCCGCATTGGCGCATACTCCGAGTCTACCATATCACCAGAATCCTCGCTCGACGGCCGACGCAACTCTTCCGACCTGGGGTTTAATTGCAACTCATCCCAGTTCTTCATCCACATTGCCTGAGGCTCTGCAGAGTTCCATTCCGTCTGCTGTTCAAGTGAGTCCACAGCCTTCACTGTGATGTAAGCTCCACGTCTGCGTATCGGGAGCGGGCGTTTGAAGCCCCAGTTGCCGCGGTGAGCATCACCACCATGTGTGGTGTAGACTTGAGCGATGCGGGGGTCAAAGGAGGAGAATTTTGACCGTTTGAGAAGAGTAGCGAAAGGAGATTGTACAACGGAAGCCATGCCTAGACGTCCTCGTCAAGCAACAAGTCCAATTTTCTGTGATGCCCGATACCTTGCCAAATTGGGACGGCTTTGTAAGTCCGCTCGGTATTCGCCGTGCTATTCAAAACCTTCTTGTTCGTCCTACATTTTTTTCAACAAAACCACGACGTCCAAATTACTGTTTATCCTCTGCTTTACGCAACTTCCAAGGATGGATAGTCCAGACAAACGTCGAGGATTAAACTGTTGTCTCAAAAACAATCTTTGCTGAATGTTCCTCCCACTGGTCGAGGGATGAGGACGCAGGATCACCTGGAGATGCCTACACCTCTTTTCGTACTGATGTTTGTAGATGGGTACCGTGCAATTATAATATTGTAAGTCGTGCATATTCTTATCGCTTGAGCTGTGATGGGTACCGATGCATGCCGAAGAAGATTATCCTGGTAAAAACACACAACCCGCTCGAATGGGTCCCTTGAAGTGCGAGGGTGTCTGATGCGGTTTTTATCAAAGAACCGCACAGACAGATGGGTGTGGATGGAGAAATAAAGGCGAGGCTGAGGTATCGCATTGGTGCCCATCCTGTGACTCGATCAGGAGCTGTGATGATGGGCTGATGACAGTTTCACAGATTGCATAGCTTGGTAGATGACATTTAGCGCCATGAGCTGGTAGTCTGTAGTTCCCATGATCATGTCAAAATGTTGCTCCGTATGTAGCCTAGAATGAGTTTAGAATCATATATTATGAAGTTGATCATAGAACCATTTTGTTGATCAAGTGACTTATTATATAGCCGATGTTGGTGAATGTCGTGATTTTTTATGGATACACCTTTTTTGTGTGTGCGCCTCCATCATCCTCGAAGTTTTTCCTACACTGCCCCAGTGCTTAAGAGCACTGACTTTGTTGAAGACTAATACGTCCTTGCTCTCTTGGCGACTTGGTTTTAATTCGGTGGTCACAGATTTTGACTCTCTATTTAACTGCCACGGTCGAATCGGACGAGGTACTGCTTTTCATAGACGATTTCTGTTGCAATCCTTTCTCATCCCTTTCACGTCAGCAAGCTACAGCCTTTTATCATATTTCTTGTCGGTCTCCGTTGAACTATACGTGGAAGGAAGCACACTGAACGATATCCGAACCAGCCAACCAATCGCGTTCGTTGAAAAAACGGAACACGCACGAGTAGTCAGTGAAGTCATCCGTAGCGCCCTTTCATTCTTTACTAAACCTTGGTCCGCAGTGCCTTCATCTTCTCATGAAATGTATCATCGTGCATACCCTTCCATTCGTTCCGTGCCTTCATCTTCCAACCTCTCCGGTACCACAAACACCAGCCCACGCCTAGCCCCATTGCTCCCTCCCTCAGGCCTTCACGGTCTCTCACCCAAATCAACTGGGTTACTTCTCAACCAGCATCTGAACGCAGCTCTACCAGAAACAGCTCCGAAACATCCAACAATCTGCGGAATGCCTCTGAAATACGTATCGTGAGTTCAATCAAGTGTTCGGTTTGCAGATGGCTAACTTTCCCATGTATCAGGCTCATCACCCTCGCCGTTCAAAATGCAACCTTATCCATTGTGATGTACTACTCTCGCGTATCCACACCCCCGCACCTGTCATATTCTCCTGCAGCAGCAGTACTACTATGCGAAATACTGAAAGGATCCATATCCTTCGTCATTGCAATATGGAGAGCACAGGACATATCAGAATCTCATTGGTCATCCCGGAAATCTTTCACTGGCTTCGTGCAATCACTCTTTCCATGGTCTGCACCCTTCCGCCAAGTATGCAGTGAGATTTTTAGCCCCGATTGTTGGAAGCTGTCCATACCAGCTGTCCTTTACGTCGTGCAGAACTCGTTGCAGTTCGTTGCTATCAGCAATCTGCCCGTGGCGTCCTTTCAGGTGGCATATCAGATGAAGATCCTAACTACTGCGGCGTTCTCAGTCATCCTCCTCCGGAAGACGCTATCTTCGACGAAATGGTTATCCTTGTTTTTTTTGGCGATTGGCGTTGGTATCGTCCAGGTGCAGACGACTGCATCGAATAGTGGAATGCGGGAGATTCGAGTTGGGAGTGCACATGATGCGGCACCTCTACACATCCATATTATGAGCCCACTAAAGGGCTTTGGTGCGGTCACTGCTGCCTGCTTTACATCCGGTCTCGCAGGTGTCTACTTCGAGATGGTACTCAAGAACTCCAAGGCAGACCTGTGGGTGCGCAATGTCCAACTCTCGCTCTTCTCCCTCCTCCCTGCCTTCCTCCCCATTCTCTACGGCCCTGCGCAACCGCCTTCCATGAGTTTCTTGAGTTACCTCTTCCGAAATTTTGGTGGATGGGCGTGGGCCACGGTGGCAGTACAGGTCTTTGGTGGTTTGGTGACCGCTGTCGTGATCAAGTACTCGGACAATATCTTGAAGGGGTTTGCGACGTCACTATCTATCATTATATCCTTCCTCGCCTCCGTCGTGCTCTTCGACTTTCACATCACCCCTTCCTTCATCATCGGGGCTTCTACGGTGCTCGCAGCGACTGCCATGTACAACCAGCCCGCGTCGCCTGAGACAAAGATAACATCCACAATCAGTGGTGGCTCAAAGCCATTTTCAGACGCCCCTTTAGGCCCCGATGATCCTATAATTGGGCAATTCCCATCACAGAAGAGGTCGTCGCCGTTTGGAAGCCCCCGAGCTATCGCCAGTGCTCTGGGCCTTGCAGAAAAGCCCTCGAGCATTGTTGAGAGCGACTACTTCTCCGACATGGAATCCACCTCGCGATACCTCAACGCACCATATGGTTCTCCCTTTCCGTCACGTACGCCCACGCCCAGGCCCGAAGAGCGGCTGTAATTAGCACACCAGGACATAAAAAGAACATATCAGAACTTTCAACTATTATACGACGTCTTATGATGATTTTTTCTGAATATACCCGTTTCCTAGATCTTTGCAAGTAAGCCCTTTTTATCACAGATATTGCATTGCGCCACTGCACCACGATCTCACGAACAGGCAAATCTGAATCTATTTCATGGTTATCATATCAAATCTTCTCTCTTTCATAGCCAAGTCACATTACGATTCATCTCGCTCATTCCCTGCAGTCTTTTCCGGTCGCGCCGCTTCAGAATGTTTCGTGCGTTTTTGCTATTCTGGAGCTCTTAGTGCCGTTCACATCAGATTGCATTTCTACCTTTTTGCTTAGTTTTGCTACCTTTACGCACGAGGACTTGGGGTTGCTGATCATAAACTTTGAACTTTTTTAGTAGAGTATCGACTTTTGCTGACATGTTCTGTTAGCTGTAATTGGGACTGAATTTACATCTTTTACATCTATTGTTCTGGCTTGCTGAGGTATCAATTGCATAGATAACATCGACAATCAGCAGTGCAGCTCAAGAACCTGCCTACCTCTGGCGCAGCCTTGAATGACTGTCTCCCGGGGCCCCTCCCTTGCCGGGGATGAACGTAAGCTTTCGTTGGACAAATATCAACTCATAGCGACTCAGTGCATGAAGGGCCTTCCCGAGTTTGTCCTTGGGGCTCACTTCCTCCAAGAGCGCCTTCTCGGCACACGATCTCATGGATCATGATTACATTCCCATCTGTGGTATTTCGTGTTGGACGTAGGTATGCGGACTCAAGCTTAAGGTGCGTATGGAACGCCAGCATGTACATGATGTCTGATCTGGCTGTTGCTCCACAGTATACTCAGCGTAGCTTCCCTTGGTGTCGTACAACTTAAGATCGGCATCAGATAACTACTCTCTGTCAATACTAACTAACCTAATTGCAGTTATGGGCGGTACGCCAATTTAAAGGTAGACACGTTCAACCGTTAATGACGAACGTGACATGTGTCAGGTTTTACAAGTGAAATCAGGCTTCTTCCAGTGGCATTTGAGCCATATACAGTGATCCTGGGACTTCTGCCGCTCACTGGGGTCTTCAACGTTAACCAAGTGTCGTTTCGTCTCAGTTCTCAGCGATTTGAAGTTTTGAAACGCCGTGGCTAGTGTTGTGGGCAGAACTCTGCCATTCTGCCACGTGGCAGGGCAGAACTGGCACTGCCAGGCAGATGGCAGAACCTCCAAGGCAAAATGTGGCAGAACTCGAGACCGTGGGAGCGGTAAAGGATGTACTATACAGTGTTAGATTAGTGTATGATAGCGTGAATTGAGGTACTGTAAACTCTACACAATGGCTACTAAGTCTGGAGGCCGGCCCCTGAACTCCCTCATTGAAAACAACTTCAAAAAGGGGGATGCTACTTCTGCAAAGTCCAACAGATATTGGTGGAACTGCAACCACTGTGACACCCGCATTGATGGACGGAATAATAACCTCTTCGAACACCTCACGGATGCCGTAAAATGCATCAATTGTCCACAAGAGACTCGTCGCGAGGCACTGCAACACCTTATGAAGAAAGATTCGCGCGAACCTTCGCTATCATATTCACCTTAAAAATGTTGCTGATGGCAAGCCGACACGACGCCGTCACGCTCACATGCACACAACCGAACTTCCGGGCATTGATACAGATGTCGCCAAGCAGCTCGAGACCGACTTCGCATTCGTTCCGCCACTTGCAGCAGTTTCCGGCGACACTAGCTGCAACCTCGAAGGTCCCAAATCAATTTCACTCGACGACATTGATGCTGAGTTTGCTCGCCTCGAAGATATTCGCAACGGAGAAAAAGTGATGGACCTCGAGTTTCCGTCAGACTGGGATGTGGACGGGAAGGAAGTTTTAGAAGGGAACGTGTTTGATTTTGCAGAGTTGCAGCGCGTTGACGAGGGATTAGTGCCTGCGGCAGTAGAGGATGAAATTATGGTCACGGATCATGATGCAAACGAAGACGGGACTTGGAACATTGATTCGATGTTAGTATCCAGCGGTCTTACATCCATGTAGCTACCTCTAGTACTACGCTACGCGCATCCAAAAAAGACCGCTTCTGCCATCTGCCGCGCTGGCAGAACATAGTTCTGCCAAGTTCTGCCAGTTCTGCTGGCAGAACTACCCCAAAATAGTTCTGCCCACAACACTAGCCGTGGCCGTAATTGAAGTTGGCAGCTTACTAATAAAAGCATGATTAAGATTGGTTGTAATTTAGACAATCGACCATGAGCTTATGGTGGCAAACCTTCAATGTCTACCACAAACGAAGTCAAGGTCCCCTTCTTCAAGAAGGGAAAATCTCGACCAGCAACCTCACGAAAAAGATCGGATTCTCCCCCTTCCCGTGGATCAGCGCCGATACCGTCTTCATCCAAGTCTGCGGTGGTTCTTCCTTCCCGCAAAGCAACTGGCAATCTTCTGAGCGCTGGCACGAAACGTACTGCTGCACAACGAAGGGATGATGAAATGGACGATCCAGACTTTGTGGAACGTGATGGTCCTGCTGTGAAGTGGACCGCAGCCGGATCACACACCAACGCAGCACTTGAGATACTAGCTGGTGACGAAGCCGCAGAGCTACTTGCAAAACGTCAGAAGAAAGAGAAAGCAGACAGAGGTGAAGAGGAAGAGGAAATACCTGATGATGGGCTGTATAGGGGCCAGAATGCTTATCGAAGTCACCTGAAAAAAAGTCAGGAAGTACCCAAAGCTATGCGTGTTGGTCCTCAGCGAGGTACTAGCACCATTCGCACCGTAACCATTGTCGATTATCAGCCAGATGTTTGCAAAGACTACAAAGGTTCGCAAGTTTTTTCTCCGACGGATACGGATGCTAAAACGGTCATCCCAATCAGAAACGGGATACTGCGGTTTTGGTGACACTTGCAAATTCTTGCACGACCGTGGCACATGTATGTTTTCATAGCCTTTACGCTTAAAGAAACTAAAGACAAATACTTTGGACAGATCTTGCTGGTTGGCAATTGGATAAACTTGCTGAAACCCCGCGGAAACAAGTTGAGGATGTGTCAGACTCCGATTCTGACAACGAGGACATACCTTTTGCTTGTCTCATCTGCCGCAAACCTTATATAGATCCAGTGGTCACGCGGTGCGGGCATTATTATTGTTCGGCCTGCGCAATCAAGCGCTATGCCAAAACTCCAAAGTGCTTAGCATGCGGCGCCCCCACGGGTGGAATATTCAATCGTGCCGATAAAATCATAGACAAATTGACCAAGAAACGCGCAGAAAAAGACGCTGATCACGTCGAAGATGACAATCCTGGGGTCGAAATTGAGGGCTTGGTTGATAACGCAAGCAGAGACAGTGACTCAGGTGATGATAATGATGATTGAAATCCATGTCAATTCATTGATTATTCATACGTGCATCAGCGCGTGCCGCGTTCTTTGTGAGCCTACCACCAGAATTGTCATGCATATTTTTTCATCCGGCAACGTGGGCCGCTATCACTTGTGGTTCCTTCCTACGTGAATCTTCTGCTAAGCTATTTCGCTAGGTTTCTGATGGAGCAGACGCGTCTGATGACATTGAACTTGTTTTTCAGGTCCCGGAAGCGGATTCGCAATGTCGCGAGACAGTTTCCTGAAAAACCAACATGTTGTACTATGTTACTCAGCACCGAACTTCCACCATCGACGGATTCATGCCCGCATTGTTTCCTGTGCTCTTCACAGTGACCCGCAGGTATACCCGTCGGGGGTAATACCCCGGTTCCATTGTGTTGATACCCGCAGGGAAACCCGTACCTGCACTGCGGGTATGGGTGTGGGTACGACTGCCCACACCCGCGGGTTTACCCATGCAGTTCCTAGGCTAAGCTGCTGCGCACCCCGCTCCTGCTCTTATGCTGCCGCGATACCTAGTACTACTAATGTCATAGCACATCATTTCTCGTCATATCAATCCATGCATGCTAATGTACTACATTATATGGTGTGATAAGATTTTATCTGAAAATCGAACGAAAAACTTATGTCGTCGGAGGAGATGGTGATTTCTCTGTCTGTCTCAAGGAGAATATGTATTTTTATGTTGCAGGCCAAGGAAGCAGAAACAGCCTTTGATCGCCTCTTTGCTGAGCCTCCATGTGCAGAAGGCGAAGCCCTTCAATAGCAATGCCACCCCCGACACGGAGCGCCTCCAATGTCTTTTGGCTACTGGGTTATGCTTATTTCTTTGTCTGTCTTGCAGCAACGATCTTGGCAAGAAAATGACGCTACGAAAGGGATGACCTCTACTATGAAACGTACTATCCCGTAGTTCGGAATCAAGGACCCTCGCTTTTGGTAAAGCACAGGCTGCGGACTCTGGGAACCTCATTAATATTAGTGCTTGTCAAGTTGCAGGTTGCAGACTCCTGCGATTCACACCAAACCACGCTGACTGGGGAGTTTCCTCCTCCATTTCTCTGCAAGTCTTGCCTTCGTTGTGCCTTTAAATATCTCGATCGGCAGCTCACGAACGACTTGCCTAGACCCCTGAGACGGGAGCTGATGGTTTCCTGCAGGTCGCGCACAAAACTGGACCTTGTCCTTGATGTGACCACCATTTTATCCTTGTTTTCACATGGTCTAACTACGGAGATTTTTGGACGTGGTGGACGAATTCGCACTTGTAACGGCGCTCTTCTTCAGGGACGTTTGGTACCCTTCAACTTCCCTACGGGAAACTTATAGTAGACAAAGGAGAGGTCGCAGCAATAAAGTTAAGACTACGTGGAAACTGATCCTTAGCCCCTGCTATATCACCAAGAAAATGAGATTTTGCTCGGTACCATCGATACCCTGTGACCTGGATTCAAGAGAAGATTTGTACGCAATTGCACAGAACACAACCTGGAACCTCAAATTTAACGATTCCACCGGAGAGTACACAAACGAAGATGCCAAACTGAGTTGCCCAATAGCCACCAGTGTTTGAGGTTAGGATCTCGTTATTCTCCTTGTTTTCGTAACATCCTGATTCTGAGTCCCAACAGCTTGATACGGTTGTTCGTCTTGTATCACGTCGTCCGACTCTCGTGTGATAGCTATATCGTGTTGAGTCGTCTGTGTTTTGGATATCACCAGATTGCGTTGGTCTTTCATCGGGCCATCATTTCAACTTCTTGATAATTTGATGGCTATCGCATTGGTACTCTGCACTGTGCAGGCCACAAATACCTCAGATAACTGTATGCTGCGACGTTTCTCGAGAACATGCGGCAGCCTCTCGGATACAACGTCAACGTCGTTCTAATCTGATATTGAATGCACATTAACGCGCTTTTCTAGCTGGGAAAATCGGCGCTTGATGATGAATGGCTTGTTGGCAAACGGAGTATGGGTTTTTTTTTTTTTTTTTTTTTTTTTTTGTTCCAATTATTGTCCATTGGGGTAAAGTACCCTATGTCGGACAGTGCTAATCTAGTCTAAAGGGGCCCCTGCCCCTACTACATCTCTGGAATCACGAATGCCCCAGCGTGGGGTTGACCCCGCTGGTCCGCCGTTCCCGCCGGCCGTTTTAGACGTGCATTCCTGCGAAGATGAGAGACTTGTCTCTCTGAATCGGCTTTGGTTTGGGTGTCTCTATCGTTTGGTTTCGTGTCTGAAGCGCGTACACGACCGCCTGGGCGGTCAGTACATGAAGCTATGAAAAGAGGGTTGTTTAGTGTCACGGAGTGGGGGTTCGTGTAGGGTGCAGGTGTTTTGAAGATGGTCGTTGGGTGGTGGTCTGTTGGGAGGGTTTCGTCGTCAACGATTCTTCCTTCTCTCTTGTCTTCTTTCGACCGCTGCCTTCGTCTATCTGTTTAGCCTCCACCTGTTGCCCTGGTCCCTCTCTATGTCGTTCTAGTGTTCCTCTAATGGCTTGCTAAGGCCGATGTCTTCATGAAGGGAGTGTTTGAATAGATAATTAAGTTGAAAGCATTGAATAAGTTATTTTGTCGTTTGTGATTGTCATGATTGTCTTGATTGTCGTGGTTGGGAATAGTGTGGTCTCGGCGGTCTGTTTCTAGGGTGAACTGTGCAAATGGCAAGATTACTGTCTATCAGGTGCGGGAGGGAGTAAGACATCACCGAATGTGCTCTTCAAGCGTCCAGTACTATTTACGTAGCGTAGGAAATGTTCCATGGCTGATGGGTCTGTTAGTAGGAATGGGAGGGAGGAGGCTTTGCGGCCAAGTTTGCGATTCAGGATGAAGCGTTCGCGGTCGTATTGAGGGCAAACAAAAAGGAAATGATGGATGGTTTCTTCTGCGTCTGCGCAGATGGGGCAGTTGGGTGTGACGCTTCGTTTGATACGATGGAGGTGCTGGTTGAGAGAGATATGACGTGTGCGGAAATACATGTAGAGACTGATAAGGCGTTTCGGGAGGTTAGCGACTAGCTTAGGGAATGAATTTGACATGATGTTTGGGTCTATCTGCTTGGTGTGTTCGAATCTGGGTGACTTGGCCCATATCCGTTCCCATCTGGATTTCGTACCCTTCTTATGTGCCTGTTTGATGGCGGATATGCTATCGGGGAGTTGTTCTGTTGCGAGGTATGATGGTAGCTCTTCGATTGGGCTGTTGTTCTGCGGGCCTTCTGCCGCTTTCTTGGCTTGTTCGTCCGCCAATTCGTTGCCTGTGACGTTGCTATGTGCAGCTATCCATCGTACAGTTACTGAGAATTCTCTTCGACGGTGTGATTTCTTGAGTGCGTCCATCATTCGTCTAAAATGTTCGATTAAGTAGTGTCCTGCTTTCGGAGTCGCGCTCTCACCGAATCGTAGGGTCGCTTGGTTGTCTGCTAAGATAGAAGCTGGAAAGGAAATGTTGTTTTCGGTGGTTAGTAACTGAGCTGCTAGGGTGAGGCCTACTGCCTCTGCTTCGTATACAGTGTGTTCTTCGTCGGTACCTAAATAAAATCGTAATGTGCGGGGAGCATGCCCCTCTCTCATCAGTACTGCTGCTGCTCCGATCTTACCATTGTGTCCGGATCCGTCGCTGAAGATTTGGATGGTGTCGGTGAGCCGTGATTGTTCGTTGATGGAGTCTTCTTTAGAGTTGGCAATGTGAATTTGGTAGGGACTGCGGTGCGAAGGGTGCTGAATTGCTCCCGTAAGGGTCTCGATTTCTTCTGGGACGATTTTGAAGAAATGCGTCAAGCGATGGAGGGAGGTTCGGTGCCGTGTTACGTAGCGTCGTGCAGTTCGTTTGATATGTTCGTAGAGTGGATGGGTCTTGGGGTGAGTGGCTAGGCGGATAATGGCTCGGTGACAAGTGTTCTGTAGGAGAAGTGGGATTGGAAGTAGGT